CTCATTACAGCACATACATACACTACATCACGTATACACACACTCTCTACAGCCCCTAGCCAAACACACTACAGCTTCTAGTCACACATATTACACAGCAAACACAACACAACTGAAACTGACCTATTTACACAATACACCACACCACAATCAGCTCACACTGTACACAAACAATCACACAAGCAGCCTCCAAACTCATGCACTTCCAGGCCATTTTGTACTCTGTTATCCCACTTATGGAGACAGCAGAGAGAAGTCACAAGCAAACACAGCGCAAGCATGTCATTAAATTAGTTTGCTCTCAGCAGAACAAATACAGAGCCTTTTTCTAATGCAAAACCGCTTCAGCAAGGCACTGTGCATGGGCTCCCCTGGAGAAGCATTGAACCAACATTCTCACTTTAATGGGTAGAGCTTGTCATTGATGATGACACAACACCTCACACCCTCTGGCCCTGCTCCCTTTCCACTGGGACGCTGTGATAAAAAAATGCCCTGGCCCAAATTTTGGTTGCTCAGCTGCTCTGCACCGCCGCCCCAGGTTTAGGTAAGTTAAGCACCCCTTCCCCGGTCCACAGAACCCCCAGCGACAATGTCAACATCAGACATTAGGGGTCTTTGCAAATTATGCAAAGTCCCCAGACAGTAATATCTGTGAATCTAAACAAAATCCCTGTTCTTTTTTTTTCTTTTTTTTTTTTTTTTAAATTGTCATAACACAAGATATATGAAAATTGACACAAATATATGAAAATTGTACCTCTGCTGCTATAGAAGACTAGATGGCAGGAATTAGTATTGGGTCATCTTAAGGTAACTATAGTGCTTATCAGACACTTCCTTGGTTAGAAATATTATTATTTTACACGTTGGTACCCAAGAGATTATGATGAATCATATCTTTCCAAGAACATCCTCGAACACAACACTGGTAATTGTAAAGCACTGAATAGAGCTCAACTAATCAGGAGCACAGGGCATTATTTGAAGGGCAGTAAACTCTGGCATACCTGTGGGACTGCTAAGTGTTGCCTCTGCCGATTCTCCCTCTAGACTTTAGAGCAATCCTAGCAAGTAACGGATAACATTGCTCATTAGAATTTCCTGAAAATGAATGGTACACGTTTGATCTTGCTGTAGTGTCAAACTCTCTTAGAATTGCCATAGACATTAATGGGGCGCAGTAATTTCTATAATTTACGCCTCGGGAATTTTTTTTGAAAATACTTAGAATTTATATTAAAAAATGTTTATGAGATGCTCCATTTTCTTTTACATTTATATTAGATTTAGCAAATTATATCACAATCCAGTCCAGACAAGGGAAAGCTTGGACCAACAGCACAAATGAAAAGGAGGAATTACAATATTGTTTCATTCGACATCGCGGTGCAAAGGACAGAACTCATAACAATGATTGACAGGGAGATAAGATAGAGGCACACGGTTGCAGGATGTATTAAAGGTCCACTATAGGCACCCAGACCACTTCAGTTTAATGAAGTGGTCTGGGTGCCAGGTCCATCTAGTTTTAACCCTGCCTGCTGTAAACATAGCAGTTTCAAAGAAACTGCTATGTTTACATATGGGTTAATCCAGCCTCTAGTGGCTGTCTCATTGACAGCCGCTAGAGGCGCTTCTCACTGTGAAAATCACAGTGAGAAGACGCTAACGTCCATAGGAAAGCATTGAGAATGCTTTCCTATGGACTGAATGCGCGTGCGGCTCTTGCCGCGTATGCGCATTCAGCCGATGACGTCGGAAGGAGGAGGAGAGTCCCCAGCGCCAGAAGCCCGGTGCTGGAGAAAGGTAAGAATTTAACCACTTCCTCCATCTAAAGCCCAGCGGGAGGGGGGCCATGAGGGAGGGAGGGACCTATTAACATTATAGTGCCAGGAAAACGAGTTTGTTAAGGGTCGGATTTCTACAATTTTTATTTTTATTACACCTCACAAATACATATTTGTTAAATATAAGTAAACATAATTGTGACGAGAGCAATCTCGCCACATTGCATTGGAGAAGCCTGGCTGCCCGCCTGCTGCCTTTGGTCTATGGACCAGACTTTATGTAAATGTGTTTACCCAGATAGCTATGCCATGGAGCCCATTCGTGTAGTTAAAGACTTCGGCTCCATGGCATTTGAACTGTGAGAATAGGATCTGAGCGCTATTCAGTAGTTTTGTGCGCTCAGATCCCAGATATCTGGGGATATGTGAAATGTCTGTGTGTTATGTGTAAAAGGTGACTTTATGTATTTTAAAGTGTTTTATGTCTTTTTGCAACCATGTGCTCAATGGAATCTGCCTCTATCCCTGGATAATTGGATTACTTTCCCCATTGTCTCCAGGATAAAGGTTCTGTAAAACCTGTTTGAGCCAGATAGCCATGTGCTAGCCAGGGCCCAAAAGATACTTTTACTAACTTTTGAACCCCTGGTCTGATTCATGCCATTTTTTAATATGTTGTTCCCCTGAATGGATTGATTGTGAATATGTAATTTTATGTGAATGTGATGTATGGTTTTAGAGTTATGAAATTTGGGTAGAAAGTATGTTTTAACTGTATGTGTAATTGAGTTTTCTCTCAGGATAAGGGGAGGGAATATGTGGGATGTAACTATGTGATTGGTTGTTTTATACCTCCCTGTGGGTGGTCCTGTATTTGAAAAGACTGTAATAAAAACCAGGCTGGGTGTGCAAGCACCTCAGACCACTGCTTGACACTCAACATGGAGCCTTGTCTCGTTCTTGGGGGGATTCACTGTATGCTGTTAGAGACTGATTGCCAGGAGTGTAAGCTGATTGTCTGCTTTTCCTGTTCGTCTGCTAGCAGCTATTTGGGAGGTTCCAGTTCGGGAGTTGGAGTGCTATTTTGTATCCAGTTCGGGAGTTTGGTGTTCTGCAGTAGCTGTGCCTGTATCTCTGGAAAGGGGGCCGATCGCCTAAATGTTTTGTACCCCTTGTAGTTTTAATAAAAACACTGTCTTTGGTTGGAATAGCTCTTGCTGGCACAGCAAAAAGAAAGAAAGAAATAAAGAAACCATTACCAAATATTTTTTTCAAGATCCACATAGAGGATAAGTTCTCCCTGCAATTATGCATTAATGATACCACATCAACTTCCAAATATGCACACATTTACCTTTAGCCATCTGAGATCTGTCATTCCGAGCTGGATAATGACACTGTTAGAGGTGGACCTAGACCACTGACAGCACTGGGCTATATCTCTGTATGTTCAGCTTTTCAAACTGAATTGCTGCACATACAAATCAAAGCACCATGACCACATCATACCACCTTTTAATTAAAAACAGATCATTAAACAGACATTTTGGGAATCAAATATAGTTATACAGCTGTTGCTTATTAAAACAAGCCTATAATGTCCAGAAAGCTGTAGTATATAAGATTAGGGCGATGTGTAATAATTTTTTTGTTTTTAATTCACCCTATATTACTAAGTGTGTATTATATGTTTTATTCATTTGATAAACAAGTTTATATTCTATGTGACGGAAAGGGCTCCCTGCCTTTTATCTACCCTGTAAAATCAAGCACTCCATTGATATGTGCCTCTCATCATTAATCCTTTTAGAATGTCTTCTCTTTGTCGTAAAATCTACTCATGCATGTACTGTGCCAAAGCAATTACCAGTTCCATATTTCATCAATCAAGAAACGCTAACCTGTACCTTGCTGCCAGATTTATTTTTTTACTGTAGACTGAATGAAAAAAAAAAATCAGATATATGGCTTTTATGGTTTGGATATATTGATTTTCTGTATCTTGCTGGCATATAATATTTCAATATGCTGTAAAAAAAAATGAAACCCTCAAATGCAGCCCTTTAATGGGTATTCAGGAACCGTGTAGGTATATTTAAAAGGATGCTGTACCATGAATTTTGCCATTCCTTTTTCGAATTAATTCTCTATGTAACACACGAAACAATATGCATTGCACAAATAACTTTTTGACGGTTGCAATAGCTTCGTACTGCTACCATTTATTTGTATTTGCAGTGCAAAACATGTGAGTTTGTCACTACATCTCCTAAAGCCAGAGGTAACACAAATGGATGACTGTAGGCCAACAGGGGTCATGCCAGTGATGCATCGTCGTTGGCATGCTGCTGGAGGCCCCAGCATGCATGCAGACATAACTGCCAACCAACCCGTTCTGCACTTGTGCATGGGCCAAAACACGAATCAATGGTCTCCCGCATCTAGGACACTTTTGATGAAGCACTATTTTATAAGTGGCCTCTGTTTACAATGATGTTACGTATTTCATTCCATACCAAATAAATATACAGACATTGCTCACTTTGTTCTATGGATATGTGAAAAAATATTATGTGGGACAGGGTAAGGGGGGAAAGAACACTAAAAGAGAGGGAGGGGAGATGAACATTAAGTGGGGGCACTAAGGTACAGGGGAGGGAAGGGAAAAGAAACACTGGGGTAGGGGGGGATCACTAAAAGAGAAGGGAGAGAACCATTAAGGGGAATGGAGCTCACTAAGAGACAGGTAAGGGGGGAGAGGAACAATAATGGACATAGAGGGGAGAGTGGCATACAGGCAGGCCTGAGTGGGGAGAAAGATACACAGAGGGATATGAGGAGGGAGACAGACACACAGATGGGCCTGGGGGTGAGAAAGTTCACAGAGGGGCTGGGAATGAAAGCAACACACAGAAGGGCTTGGGGGCAGAAATACAAAGGGGCTGGGGGTTAAAGAGTCACAGAGGGGCTGGGGGGAGATAGACGGGCTGGTGGTAAAAGAGAAACACACAAAGGAGCTGGTAAGAGTAAAAGACACAAAGGGGCTGGGAGAGGAGACACACAAAGGGGGGTTGTAAGAGTTACACAAGGGAGGTGTAAGACACACAATGGGGGAAAATAGTGGATAAGACACACTAAAAGGGATAAGAAACAAAAGGCAGGTTAAGTGGTACACAGGTGAAGATGCTTTTGGGTGGGGGTGGATCTTGGGTTAGTTCCCACACCTTTACCCCCAGGTCTTGACCCCTGCTTAAAGAGTTACTCCAACTACCATGTCACGTATGCTCCTAGAAGTGGTCATAGTGGCAGGAATCTGTATGTGCAACATTTCGGCTTGAAACTCTGCACATGTAAAGATATATGTGCCAGGGCTAATTAAACCCCCAGCACATGGGCTGCCTAATGTGAATTCTATGCAAAAAAATACATCTGTCGTCAGTGCAAAAACATCTCGTTAGCATGCACTATGAGAAGCATTTGATTGGAACACGGAGAGGGAAGCAGTTTGATTGTAGTAATGTGTTAGTATGCAGTGTTGGCATTTGATTGTAACAAGGTGTTAGTATGCAGTGTTGGCGTTTGATTGTAACAATGTGTTAGTACGCAGTGTTGGCATTTGATTGTAACAATGTGTTAGTATGCAGTGTTGGCATTTGATTGTAACAATTTGTTAGTATGCAGTGTTGGCGTTTGATTGTAGTAATGTGTTAGTATGCAGTGTTGGCGTTTGATTGCAGCACGTGTTTACATGTAGTGTTGGTATTTGCATGTATTGTTGGGGTTTCAATGGAAGGTTGTGTTTGTATGTAGTGTTGATGTTTGAATTTGAATGCTGGGATATACACCTACATACACTAACACACAGATACACATACAAATTGACATGCACATATATCCCCACTAGCACACACACAGATAAACACATATACACAGACACAAATACACACACAGATGCACATACACAGATATTCAAGTTGTAATTTACATATTTAGCCACCCCCCCTGCTTCCATACCTTTTGGATGCAAGAGGGTGGCTTCTTGGGCTGGGAGTCGGAGGCAGTCTGCAGTGCTCGCTATCCTCTGAGCAGTCTGTCAAGAGGGAGGAAGTGACAAGAAATTGATTTCCCCTCACCTCTGTGTGTATTTAAAGGGGCCCAGTCGCACTGCTAAAGGGATACAGCACTCGACTGGGCCTCTGATTAGACCAGACTTCCTATCAGGTTTACTCTAAGTGAATGGGCTACCCAATAGGCCCCAAAACCTGCAGTGCAGTTGCACCAGTGATAGTACTGCCACTGGGCGGCACACCTAGCACAATGCTGCGGCACTCCGGTTGCAGAGCACTGCCCGGATACCGATCTCCTTCGCGGTTAAGCTTTTATTGTTTGACCCTGCTTGCTTCAGCTACACTCCTAACGAAGGCTAATAACTTAAACTCATCCAACATCCATTTGCAAATTAAAATTCACTCCTGGTGAGTGTGCAATGGCCATTGTAGGCCATTTTAGGCCTGTCTATAGGAGAAGAATTTCAAACTTTGGACCTTATCGTCCCAGCATCGCTGCTGCCTTTGATACAAAGGATTATTCTAATGTTGGCTCCTCCGGGTTTACTCCAATTTGTTTCTTGTTCTTGCTTTCTTAAATGATTCAGCTTCGAGGAAACCAAGTACTCAGTCTGTTCTATTATTTTTATTGCCATTTATATAGCGCCAACAGATTCCATAGCGCTTTACAATGTAAGAGGGGGGGGGGGGGATCTAACTATAAATAGGACAATTACAAGAATACTTACAGGTTGAAGAGGATCCTGCTCAAACGAGCTTACAGTCTGTACTACAATACTGTTACTCTTTTGGTTCTGATCTCTTCTCTTGTACAATATCAGTTTAATTGCAGATAACCTTCAGATCCTTTCTTTCACAACCAACCTTCCCTGCATATTCCCCTTCTGTGTCTTCACACTTTCTACAAATACACCCAGTCAAAACAGAAGCACTTCTCTCCACACCTTTGCAGTCACAGTCTTCCAGACACTTACAGTTTAAAAACCTACATTTTCTGTTACTCAGTGATTGGAAAGGAGAACACATTGTAATTTAACCACAAATAATTTTCAGAAAGACAAACTTGGGGCAATGTGATTGTCAGGTATTTATCAAATGAAAGCATTCTAGATCATTGGCATATTTTGATCATATCGGTCCATAATTGGCACCTTGCAAACAAATTGATAGAATTATACTGCGATTATTCACCCCATGTTATCCTGTAAGAGCCCACTGCTAAATACCATAAAAGAACATGCCGAATAAATTGTTAATAATTATGTTCTTGTGATCACTTGAAGATTTGTATAAACAATTTATTAAAATGAAAAAGAAAAAAAAAATACAATTACATTGGATGGGCATACATGCATTTTTCATTCTGTCTACATGCAAATTGATACTACGGTGTTGATATAGAAAGCTCGGAGAATGAACGGTTTATTACAACAGTGTACACATAACAGAATAACCGTAACATTGTATTACATCATATGTTAAATTTACCCCTGTTTCTGCAAAATTTCCTGCCAGTAATTCCAAGCATTTGTAGCAGAAAATGATTTAAGTACCTTTCAAAAATCCAAATAACACCCTCTTCAATTTCATCATGCTTAGAGTCTCACAAATTATTTTCTTTGAAGTGTTTTGTTATGACACCCATCACGTGTAATGGAAAATTACATTGATTTATAAGTTATATATTAAGGAAACAAGAAGTTGATCATCTACACGATATTTCACCCAGCCTGTACGACATTATTTTTTCAGTAATAGTGGCTTTTATGTCCTCCATATAGAAAAAATAGTTTTACCTACAGGTGTATTCTAACAGATGCTGTAATTCTAAATTTTGACCTATGAATTCTGAGGATCTCCTACCGTAAAATCTAAACGTCTCCTTTCTGTATGCATGGGAAACCAATTTTTGCTATTGTGTGCTTTGGAAAGTTGTATCGAACGGCACTAGAGTAACAAATAAAACATGTAAAATTATGCAGCAAAGCTGGAATATTACGAAGATCTTCAGGACATCGGGAAAAAATAGCAAAAGATAAATTATATTTATTAGCATTTCTGAATTTTTGATTAATTGAAACCTGGATTGGAGAAATAGGCACATTTTTTAATTTGCCAACTCTGTTAAAATGACAGCTTGGTGTAAAATTTAAGCCAATCCGGTATATAGGGTATAAACCCACCCAATAGACGTCTAAGCATATTGTAATTTATGCCAATAATGCACACGCATCATTTAGAGAAACTGGTCCATGTAACAAAACAATACATATGATGTAGTACATACAAATCATTGAATGCATACAAATTTAAGGATTTTGTGCAATGAAGTATAAAAAAAACAAAAAAAACTTATCCCTAAAAAAAAAAACGTTTAAAATAAAGATACACAATGTAAAACTACATAAAAAAAAAATAACATCCATAATGTTAAGTCCATAAAATTAAGCGGATGACAGTGAAGGCATCACTTGGTGAGTTCTGTAATAAGATTTAGAATGTTCTCCCAGTAAAGACACAATGGATTTTACAACCACTCATTGATGCAAAGCCACCATCAGTGCAAATTAATCCTTGGATCATATATTCAGATGATGTGGGCATTGCAGATCTTGTGTGTAGTGTTTTTCCAACATAAGAAAGATATTAACCCTTCTGTCACTTTGGGGGCCTTTAACAAATCACAGAGGTAGCTGGATCTCAAAAACAATAATCGTAACCTTTTAAATAGCAAACTTGAGCACAGATCTCTAAAATTAGAGTGGGTTCTGGGTAGTGTAAAAATGTAAAATCAGGCTTTCTGATAACATTCTATTAAAGTGTTGGCGAACAGCAGATTAAAATGAAGCCATATAACAGATGTAGGCTTATTTTAGTGCGTTGGTTAATACATTTGGTAACCACCAGGGTTGGTAAAGAATCCGAATCCCTGCCAGTTTCACAAAGACTTGTGTGCCAACGTTCGCCTTTTGTGCTATTGTGAATTGTGGTGGCTGAAGTAGATTTAATGGTAAATTAAAGAAAAAAATCAATATAATGAAATAAATATGCTTATTAATGTTGTATTATTCTAATCAGCATGCCACACTCCTCAAGGAACTGTGTCACTATTTAGGGAATCTCATTAACACTTCCGCTGCAGATCTAACACGTTATAAGGCAGCAAAGTACATCGGAGAAAGGAACATTTTATTACTCCTCCACCGACCATCATGTTCAGTTAGGATATCTAGATCCATCTGTGAAGGGCACATTCTCCACCCCTCTCTCCAACAGGCAAAGTAAGGATATTTAGGTTACATTTCCCACTACCCACTCTAAGCTATTCACCTTATAAAAAAAATATATATATATGAAATCCATAAAGATACACTTTTAACATGATAGGAATTCTGTCCAACAGAAACCCAGTCAAGACAGTAGTTTATATAAAAATGGTTAAAGGGCAGGGATCAGAATGTATAAAACTGGGATGTGCATTTTTCCAGTTTTCAACAGATTCCCACTCCCACTATTCTGATACAGCCAGATTTGTACTCTGACAACAGTCAGTGCAGCCGACTGGCTAATCGAGGAGAGAATAAAGAACAAAAAATGGGCTGACATTGGAATATTAAGTGGGAAAGCGTGGGCTTCTCAGGAAACAGCAGCCAGTAGAGAAATAGTACTTTTTTGTGTGTACAGTACCAGGGAATAATTTCCGACAGGCCATAAATAAAATAATTTTTTAAAACTATAGGGGTTGTATTAAAAAAAATATTAATCCAGGTACTTTAAAGTATTTCTAAGTCGAGTCCCTGCAGAGCTTCAATCTTTGAGGCATATGAAAAAGAAGAAAGCCATTTCATTTGGCACAAGTACAGAACTGTACTGATCATTTTGACCCTCCAATGACAGAGTTCCCCATTGGTTATGGAGGAGTTAACTGCACAAGAATGGCTGCTTTGAACTAGATTTAATTTTAGTAAGACTAAAAGCTTCTACAATAATACACTTCACAACCTTTCTGAAATTCATTTAACCCTTTGCTCTTCCTAAGATAGCATACAAAGCACTGTGCTGCATACACATTATAGTGTGTGTATATTTTATAAATATATGTGTGTGCTTCATTTTTTCATGATTCCTAATGAATAAGATTTGACGTACACTCTTCTTCAATACAGTGATTCTTACTTCCATAGCTTAGCGGGAATACATTGTTAAATAGGCTCTTTTAATTTAAAAGTGGTTATGCTTAATTAAAGTTTATTCACTAAACAGTGAGATCTGGTCAATTCAAAATGGAATTGGCAATATTGAGGTCAAGTTAGAAAAGTTCTCACATTCAGCAATACCCCATTTTGGATTATTTTGTACGCAAATTCACTGTTTAGGGATTAAACCCTTCAGTGTTCCAATTCATGTGTTTAATATCAGAATAAGAGTGTTACAAACCTGGGTATACTGTAGCAATCAGGTGCTATTTTTATGGAGCAGAATAAATGTTTCAATAAGAGTACACTGCGCAAAAACACAGTGAGTACCAAAAGCAATGCGTTTCATGGGTTTCACTTGCAGAATCAGTATCACAGTGCATAAGTCAGTCTAATGGAACACAAGTTCAGCGTGCTATTCCAAAGCTCCCTGTCACGACTTGTCCATCATTGATTCAAGGACAGGGGAGCCACAGGCATCTGTCAGCACTTCGCATGACGCTCACAGTCAACCTCTATTTAAAAACCTAAGCACAGCCAACTAATGAGAGTGAAACTAATTACTGAACCTAAAAGCGACCTCACAACGTGGCTATTAGCATAAAAGTGGTAGCTCGTATACAATGTTATGGAAAGATTGGGAGGGGGACGACGACAATAAATGTATTTCCCCTCCACATCTTGTATACCAAATAACATGGTATAAAATAGCCAAGGTCCACGTTTTAAATATACGTTTTTGGCATGTGTCCCATTTCCCGTACAAGAGTATTTTTTATGCATTCCAGACACCATAAATTAAGATGTTGCTCCGTGTTTTACCATTACTAATAAAGTGATACGGAAAAAAAAAGGCCATCGTGTGGAATGGGGTGAAACAGTAATCATATTAAGTTCATAAATAGTCCAGGCATTTAACAGGTCCTATTTCAGTGATTCAGATGTTTAAATAGCAGATATTAAATGCAGCAGCATGACACAACATAGTAGACAGTGTTGTTCCTGGATCATATTCAAGCACAAGTATCTGCTCAGCAGAATAATCTCGTCACTGATTAGGCCAAAATGTCTTCTAGGAACCGCCATAGAATCATACACATTCTTCAGCAGACATCAAAAGAGGATTGATATATTCAAAACCTTCAAACTCCGATTGGTCAATCTTCCTCACAACATCACTGTTTGAAAAAAAGACAAAAGAAAATGAGAGAACGCTTTAATGAGCTTCCAATTCGAGGTGTAAAACGCTTTTTAATAGCACTTATGTGGGGGGCCTTTTATCAAGATCAAGTGGAAAAGTGGCCGTCATCTTTTATTACTAAAGATCATATTATAAAAAGGACGTTTTAAGGTCATTCCCAGATCTAGTTAAATGTCTCCTGCATGTGCTTTTGTAAAAAATGGTGTGTTGTGAAACTGGAGAGAGGGGGCATTTAATAAGCCCATATGAGATGTTATATAAGACTATTCGTAAATACATTATTTTAAAATGAGTATTTTTTTGTTTCACACTATAATGATATGCTTACTAGCCATTTGTTTGCTATGTAGATTATTCTTCCTGTTTTACTCTTTAACCGCTTTAACAAAGCCCATAACCTCAGTGTGTTGTATGGTTTGGTTGTGAAAATCGTATATCTCCTCGATGGTTATTTATCAATTCCACTATTTATCATGTAATGGCTCAGTTCAACCTAACTATTTACACTGATCTATCCTCATTTCCCATTTGTACATTACCAAAAAGAAAAAAACATTTTTTTTTTTTTGTAGTGTATTTAAGAACAGGATGTCAACGATAATCTTATTTTTGTTTTTCTTTTCTCAAATTTAAGATAGCATAGTGGCCCTTTAACCAAACCAGTACACTACATTCCTTAATCAGGGAGTCATGTAGCAACGCATCTGAATGCTAATTAAATTCTGATTGTCACCTTATGATAACCATTCTGCTGAACACAGCCCCATCACCCACACAAACTTGAAATACAGAAAGGCTCAGCAAAATATTATTTTTTTGATCACTCAAGAAGAACAAAATATGACCACATACTCATCATCAGGAGTAAGCTGGACTGGTTCGTTTGTGAACTGTACATCAAAATTATCTAATCCAAATTCTCCGCATATGTTCGGTTTGAAGGGAGGAACCACTTGTTTTTGCTCCATCTGCAACAACATATAAAGACAATTAAAAACTTCAAGACTTGTTACAAGTACATTGGCATTGTCATTAAAAAGACCCATATTCTTTATAAGCTAAACATTTGACATGTGATGGGAGGACTAACCTATTGGTTTCACATATATTCACTGAGGCAAATTAATGTCCGATTGTCAGTCCCAAACTATCAATATACAGTTGTCATTTTTATAAATAGTAAATACAACTTCTTTTTAAACGACCATTATAGTGCCAGGAAAACATACTCGTTTTCCTGGCACTATAGTGCCCTGAGGGTGCCCCAACCCTCAGGGTTCCCCTCTCGCCAGGCTGGATGGAGAGGAAGGGGTTAAACTTACCTCTTTCTCCAGCGCCGGGCGGGGAGCTCTCCGCCTCCTCTCCTCCTCGTTGGCTGAATGTGCATGTGCGGCAGGAGCCGCGCGCGCATTCAGCCAGTCCATAGGAAAGCATTCTCAATGCTTTCCTATGGACGCTGGCGCCTTCTCACTGTGAAAATCACAGTGAGAAGCACGCAAGCGCATCTAGCGGCTGTCAAGAGACAGCCACTAGAGGCTGGATTAACCCATTTATAAACACCTCATTAAGCTGAAATGGTCAGGGTGCCTATAGTGGTCCTTTAATATAAGGCATACACATTAGCAGCATGAAGTTTGTGGATAGGGGGTTAGGAACAAAACAGAGAAGTGGTGATTCTGATTGTCATCGAAGGGAGCGGGAAATACATGCCATTAGTAACCCATAAGAACACTATATTAGTTATTCTTCCGTTTACACTGAACAGCTGCTTTTAGAAGCAGCTCTCTAAGCGGAGTTTGCTACCACACTGAACCAGGCGCCATTTCTAGTAGCTCCGTCTAACTTTTAGAATCCTGGCGATATCATTGAAACGGACACCCATGCAGCCTCGCAAACCACACAGCTTGAATCAGCACAGCAAGCCGCATCGGTAGATGCCATTCTTTCAGGCTCAAAAGCTGCCCAAGCGGAAACGCAAATCTGGGGCCTACCTCACGCTCACGATCTGAGACCTTGAGGAATTCCTGCTCAGACAACTAACAAAGCGACAGGGGCTCCCTCCATCCCACTCCAGCTCATACGACGGCCATTTGACTCAGATCCAAAAAACCTACGGCGGACAGCAGAGACATTGGCGTGCTGCTACAGCGACAGAGTACCGTGCCCACACGAGATGAGCAGGAAACAGACCGCGCTCCCAACCCAGACAAGGAACGACAGGAGACATCCTTGATGGTAAGGTATGTCTTTTTGCTGATGCTACTAAGATATGTAACAGGGTTGATGTTCCAGGAGGGATAAGCCAAATGACAAATGATTTAGGTAAACTAGAAAAATGGTCAGAATTGTGGCAACTGACATTTAATGTGGATAAGTGCAAGATAATGCATCTTGGACGTAAAAACCCAAGGGCAGAGTACAGAATATTTGATAGAGTCCTAACCTCAACATCTGAGGAAAGGGATTTAGGGGTGATTATTTCTGATGACTTAAAGGTAGGCAGACAATGTAATAGAGCAGCAGGAAATGCTAGCAGAATGCTTGGTTGTATAGGGAGAGGTATTAACAGTAGAAAGAGGGAAGTGCTCATGCCATTGTACAGCACACTGGTGAGACCTCACTTGGAGTATTGTACACAGTACTGGAGACCGTATCTTCAGAAGGATATTGATACCTTAGAGAGGGTTCAGAGAAGGGCTACTAAACTGGTTCATGGATTGCGGGATAAAACTTACCAGGAAAGGTTAAAGGATCTTAACATGTATAGCTTGGAGGAAAGACGAGACAGGGGGGATATGATAGAAACATTTAAATATATAAAGGGAATCAACACAGTAAAGGAGGAGACTATATTTAAAAGAAGAAAAACTACCACAACAAGAGGACATAGTCTTAAATTAGAGGGACAAAGGTTTAAAAATAATATCAGGAAGTATTACTTTACTGAGAGGGTAGTGGATGCATGGAATAGCCTTCCAGCTGAAGTGGTAGAGGTTAACACAGTAGAGGAGTTTAAGCATGCGTTGGATAGGCATAAGGCTACCCTAACTATAAGATAAGACTAGGGAGTAATGAAAGTATTTAGAAAATTGGGCAGACTAGAAGGGCCGAATGGTTCTTATCTGCCATCACATTCTATGTTTCTATGTTTCTATCCCCAATCACAAGGGCAACACAGCCCCAGCAGCCTGAACCCTCGGACAACGCGGCCCCAACCACCAAAGGAGATTTAAAAATCCTGCTAACCAACATCCACGAGCTCTTAGCAGCCGACTCAGCCCTTCTCAAAACAGAAGTACCAGCTGTTACTGACCGTGTGAAAGCCATGGAGGAAGACGTGGTGTAAGTCAAATCTCATCTAACATCCCTCGATGACAAGGTACATCACATCCAGCTTAACCAGAAACTCATGGCACTCAAAATGGCCACCTAAGACCGGCAAAGGCGTACACACATTAAAATTGGAGGAATCCCCACCGCCACCTCGGCAGAGTAGTTGCCACACTACGTAAGGCGTCTCTTGGCCACCATACTCCCCCACACAGCTGCAAAGAAAATCGCAATAGATGGAATTTACCATCTCCCGACCTACACTCGCTTAAAGTCCCCCGCAGCATGGGACGTAATCCTAAAATACGTTACAAACTCCATATTATATTATGACCGTGCTTAAGGGCAAGGTGCCCCTATCCTTTGAGGACTTGGAATTGACCTTTTATCAGGACTTATCACGGGCTACCCTACTGTGGCGCAAATCATACGGCCCGGCAACCACACAGCTACGCGCAGCCGGCATGGCCTACAGGAGGGGAACAGGAGGTTTATTTGAGGTCACCCACGAAGGGGCAACACACGTCCTCAACTCAACGGATGAAGCCACCAACTTCCTGGAAACCCTCGCCTTGTCGAACCCGACCGCAACAAGGCCAGCAAAACCCCCTGGAGTACACTGGGACCCAGCAACGACCTCACCTTGTATCCCGGGAGTGAGTGGGAGACTACCTGCAGTTCCATGAACACTCACGTTAACTTAGGTCTAAATGGTTGATACCTCTAACACTCCAACAAATTAGATGTTATTTTTACTGGTTTAACTGTTTTAATTTCTTTATTTTCTATGTTATGTGTTTCACATGATTACTCACTTATGCACACTCAGGCTTCAGCCCCTGAGGCACATAACGCCCAGACACACACCTTGGCACACATACGGGCACTAGTCCCTAAAACCCCGCATTTCTTTCAGAACACACAGAACTGAGGCCACACAGTCAGGTGCATACCGCACACCCCCTGCCCCGCAGCCCCCTTGGTTAGGGGTCATCACCCTCAATGCAGAGACAGAGCAGGGCAGTCCGAATGCCAGAATAGCTCACAGATCCATCATACATGCCCTCACTAGAGCAGACCACCAGCCAGCCGCCCTGCAGAGACAGGACATCGCTGTATGAGAGACCCACCCTGCCTGCCCAACATTTGCTCCACCACGACTAGCTTGTCGTGTAGTAGATACGACAGTCGTCCACACAGGCTACATACCTGAATAACCACACTGTAGATTAAACCTGACCACGAGCCTTTGGCTCCGATGAGTCTAACCCACTATGTAGATGTGACTAACCAAACTGTTTACTGTTCCTGTTTTGTGCATATTAAAAAAGGTGAAATTACTTTCTGTGTCATATTAACATTCATCTTGTATACCGCATCAATGTTTGAGCTTTCTAATATGGCAACATGTGTTTGTTTGAAAATATTTTGCACAACAAAATAAAGAATTATAAAAAAAAAAAAAAAAAGCAGCTATTTATCTAGCTACCCATTCATCAACTGAAGCTTACTATATCATTAGGAATACAAATATGTTTCAACTATAGTGCCCTGGTAGTGGTCTATAAGGAAAATGAATGTCATTAAATGGAGCTTATGAGAAAGCATTGAATTCATTCAATGTGTGCGTCATGCCTCCAATGCTCCTCTATAAGGAGAATTGGGTTGGATCATCGACATGGAAACAACATATCTTCAATGATGCTGCGTGAGGTGGAAAATAAAAGCACTTTTAAAAATTTTTACTGCTAAAGGGGGTCCCTTGGAACGAACTAGGGACAAGGGTGCTATAGAGTTAGGAACACAGGTTTGTATTCCTAACGCCATAATGTTCTTTTAAAATTCTGGGTATGTAGCTTATTGCCCATTCACAAGCAGATCCGTGATTGAGACATTTTGGATCGCTAGCTGTTGTGTGCTCCATTAACCACAAGGGAATGGCTGACTATTTCCCAAGGCATTATCCCCAAACATCAGTAGTCATCAATAACCAATAATAACAAATAAGCTAATTTGGAAATGTCCAACTTGTGCCTACCCGTCCCCTACTTGGCTATATAACACTATTTTATTGCTACCACGATGACCCATGTTTGAACCATACAACCCATCTCTTACAGTAAGAAAGCATTACTCACAAGGTCCCAGTCAACATTGCGGAAGAATTGATGGCCCTGGATATCAGCAAACCCAGTCTGTGGATGACAGCCAAGCCGGTCCTTTGGTTCCTGGTGATTTAAAAGAAGTACAAATAGGTTTGCTACAGTGTATTTAAAGATATATGGTTGTCACTGGTGGGCAATACTGAGAAAGAAAGCTGCTAAATAAAAATTGCCAAGACTGCAGGTGTCATGCCAGTAAATAACAAACTGTATTTTTGGTACAAATCACAGCCAGAAATAAAATAAAAATCAAAGAGAAAAAGGAAGACAAAAAAAAACGAATTTGTTGTGTGACATAGGCATTTAAAGGTGGGTTTGGAGACAAACAGATACTGTTGCCAAAGGGTTCCCTGCTACTCACTTTGTTAAGAAAGCTCTTTAATACACTAGCTGCTTTCACAGACAGAGATCGAGGAATACGGATTTGCTTTTCCAGAATGACTAGAAATCAAGGACAGAAGACACAAACAAACAACAAAATGTTAAAAGACATGTCTATATTAGCCAACAATAAATAAACAAAAATAAAAATATACAACATCTAGAAAATGAAGCTATACTGCTGGAGTTTTATGGTTCAGTTTTGGGAATCGATTGCCATATATTTGACTACAATTCAGATTATTTGCAGTAATGAGAATCAGTCTGTGAATCCTATAGAATCATTTCCTGCATCATCCTCCATTACAATTACCTAAAATGTAATTTGCCCTTTATCTATGCCCTAGGCCTAACACAGAAATAAAATGAAAAAAATAAATAAATTCCATTAAACACAAAAACATTGTACTTTTTCATGTGTTTTATTTATTTATTTAAATTGTTTAACATTTGCTGTCTTTGTTGGAAAATGATTGGAACTTTTAGCTTTCTTAGCTGGTAGTCCATCTATTATTAATGCTTTAACAGAAATATACCCTGTACGTGTTGATTAAAGAGTCAATCTAAGTACCAAAAACAATGTGCCATGACACTGTCCTGCAGTAAGTACTCAGACTGTTTTTAAACATTTTGACACTTACTTGGGTCACCCTGCCACTTCTACTCTGGCCATCTCATCTGGCACCGTTAATGCTACGTCTGCATTAGTAATTTCAATTTGGCCTGTTTCTGGACTCGACGCTGGACAGAATTTAGCTGACATTCTCAGCCAATTAATCCTTCCAAGTGGGGATGAAATTGACATATCGAATGAGGAAGGGGAACTTTTTATTTCAGATATACCAGGAGAGGAGGCCAGGCCAAAGGAAAACAGTTTAACCACTTACTGTGGCACAATTCCAAGACACTCCTAGCATAATAATCACTAAAATAGTAAAATAGCCAAAACGCGTTTAGCCACACAGGGCTTTTTCAACTGGCAATAAGAAACTAATTGCCAGTTGAAAAAGCCCTGTTTGGCGAAACGCGTTTTGGCTATTTTACTATTTTATTTTATATTAATAAAGGATTATTGGCTAGTATATATTTCTCCTCTTTGCCATATACCTTTTTATTTCAGTTTTTATATATTTTATACATTTATTTTATCTTTGGACCTGGTTATTAACTCTAACATCACCATCCCTGTGCTCAAGAATTCCAGGTGGGGATGATACCACCTATGCTATATAAGTGAGCAGTATATCCTGCTCACTTAAATGTGAGTATTCCACATATATATATATTTATCTCACGCTATATATAAGTATACAGTGAGCACTATTTTGTACCACCCTCTTTTCTCTCGAGGACTCCCTTTACGTGCATATGCCTATATCCCATCATTGGGGGACCAATACCACTGATTGCGAAGTACACCTGAGCTAGTTCAAGCTCCACAATAGGTGAGTGCGATAATTTTTCGTTCTGTATCTTCATAAAGAAACTCAAATTACAGTCTACACTATTGGAATTTTCCTCTGTTCTATTCGCATATTGCCATCCAGAATAAGAAACTGTTGATCACTCCTCTGTTTGGACTATTTTCTTTTTACAACTTTTCAAGTGGACCTGACCATCTCCTGTTTATTTTAGGACTTATTTATATTTATTGTTCGGATATATATGTAAGTACTTACCGTATTGCTTCTATTTTATTTAATAGCCTTTTATTAAGAGATTTTGTTCTGCCTTACGTTTATTACACTTGTTTTATTTCTACTAGTTTTATTTTGTGGTGCGACCTAAAATCCCCTCTCTCTCAAAAGTTAACACAATGACTGCTTTTTGATTTGTTTTACATTGCCAGATAATGGTACAGAGTCTTTGGACCAAAACCACTTGGACTGGTTTTGGTGCTTAGAATGTCCCTTTAAGTTAGATCACTTGCGCATGTATAAATTTCAGATAGCTTGAAAGGGCATTTAAATATATTAAATGTCTAACTTTTAATAGGTTAAAAAAAATATGCATGCATTTTAAGTTGATTGTATCACCCACCTAGTTTAGTATTCACACTTGTACTCACTTAGCTTACGTACCGTTATGTTGACCAAATAAAATTGTCAGCAGGATTAGAAAATTACGTTTAATGTTACTTCGTAATTAAGGGTGGGTCAGGCATACATAATTATTGGAAATGTAGCTCACAAATCTCTGCACTGTAAACAAAGCCAAGACTCGAAGGGTAATGGAGAGATGGATAACTATAAATTTATGCTTAAAAATAATGCACATAGGAAGAGGAAACTACCTATTACCTTGGAAAAGAAAATCCTCTGTGTTTTGGTCCGGATTGTCAGTGCTCCCAACAATATCGAACGGTGACCTTCCAGCCATCATCTCAAACATCAAGACCCCAAGAGCCCACCAGTCCACACTGAAACCTTAATCAGAGAGAAAAGCAATCTAAAGACCTGTTTATCATATCATAAAACAGTCAGCATGACACATTCTTTTATTCTCTATGTATGTAGAGTTCTACCTTACTCAAGGGCAATTCAAAGTCAAAACCATTATTTAATTGCTGCAGTCATACACTGCAAACCCGTGAAGTTATCCACACCAAGAGAAAGACAATAAAGAAATAATACAATCATTTACATTCTGGAACACAACTACCTAGAGACAGTTTTGTTTTAAAATAATCCTAAGCAATCTGCGAGCAATGTGTGCATTTGTGATGAACGCAGAAGCAATTGTTTTATCCATTGTCCCTCAACTATTCCAGTGTTAATGGGGCATATGTTAACATAAATCTGAAAAACAAGACTCTGGTGGCAAAGATTTTAAATATAATCCCCGAGCCAAGGCGGGCGCTTTATTTCTACAGCTGTTTATTGTAAGCATAGCCTAGCCTGTTCTTGCTTATTACCATAATCTTCTCCTCGCAGGATTTCTGGTGCAATGTAATTTGGAGTGCCGCAGAAGGTGCTGGTCGTATCTCCAGGCCTAAGCCCTTCCTTAAAAAAAAAAAAAAAAAACACCAAAAACAAATTTGTAAGACTTACAGGCATAGGAATCTCATTTTTTTTCTTTTCTCAAAAATGCGATAGAGCCAGATATCGTTAACTTTTGTTACAGCTTTATTGACTAGTTACAGGATGAACATACATAACTGTGGCAAAATAAATGGTCATAGGTGTAGATAATAGTCATAGGTACCCATTGTACAGCGCTACGGAATTTGATGGCGCTATATAAACAATAATAATAATAATAATAATAGGTAAAATAGATATGCAATGACTGTACTGACAAGTAAGCTAAAAATATGATGAAATGTCTAAAGTTTGTAATGATACAGAATTTAACAACTGAGATTAGCCCAATACTGTTGTATGCACTGCATTCTGGGATTGAGTGGTTAGCGTTGCGATGTGCGCCTATGCATCCCACAGCACAGCAAGCTACCTACTGGCCACCCACTACCACATACCACTAGCACACTTCCACTATTAAATTGTAATATGTACCTGATGGAGACTTTTTACACTTATTTATTACATTGTGTCCTAGGGAAAAATAATGTCCCCCTCTCTAGTATTCAAAGGGTAAAAAATGTAGTATGCAGTCTGGATTATCCAACGTTACTATCCAGTGTTCTCAAAGGTTTGAAAGAATACATAAATGCCGCCATAGGACCAATGATAGCTTGATTAGTAAGCTTATGTTAGAAGGCAGCCATTGCTGAATCAATTGCGAACTTGGGTTATCATAAAGTTCATTTTTTTTTTCATAACAAACATTCAAGTCTGAAAAATACATGTGTTTCTTTACAGCAATCCTGAGAGGAGAGGCAAGAAAAGCGCCTGAGTTGACAGGAGGTATAAAATATAATTTCCCCACCTTGCACATGCCATAGTCAGTAAGTTTTATGTGCCCTTCAGAATCCAATAAGACATTGTCCAGCTTTAAATCCCTATAAATAATCCCCCGCTCGTGAAGGTAGTTTAATGCCAGACTGATTTCTGCAGAATAAAACCTAGGGGGGAGGAAAACACAGATCTATTACAAAGAAGCAATGCGTGCAAAGAAATTCAGCATAAAAGAATTGCTAAATAAATCCCCTTGTTTGCATGCTACAGTTTATATCTATATCAAACCATCATCGCTACTTAGGATATATTCTTTTATTATAATGCAATTTCCATTTCACTTATCCCACCATTTCACAGGCAGTGCAGGGAACGAAATACACACACTGCCTGATTAAGAAAACATTAATAAATAATGGAATTGTGTCTGTCACTATGCCCCCCTTAATACAGACCGTGCATGTTCCTCTGGAAGTTTTCTTTGACGTTGCATGTGAAACATTAGATCGCCACCGTTTACGTACTCAATGACAAAAAACAGTCTGAAAGAAAACAGAATGTTAGGATGAAAGCAAATGGAATGCAGCATGGCATCACTAGAATTTAATGTCTTGAAAATTGTTTTATTATCCTAATCTTATCAAATACAAAAAGATTAGCAGGTCTTGCTTAGTCTGGGCTACTTCATCCCTTGAGCCTTCCGGCTAAAACTTCAATCTTCCTTGGTCCTCCGTTAAGCTGGAAGTATTTAATGATGTTGTAGCCCAGTCCTTCATAGACCGTTGACATTGTAAATTAATGTGCACTGTATTTTCAAACAGAGAACCACAGATGAGTGGTTTGTTCTAAACGGATGCTGATGAATGTTCCTGCAAATACACGTGTGAAACCTAAAATTAAAACAGTGTGTAATGTAGAAATTAAAAGTGTTGCTCTTTAGATCACTACCCGGTTGCTCTTCTATCATATATATTTAAGGTAAAAAAAAAAGGGGGGGGATAGTTTGTTCTATGAACTCTGCAAAAAAGCTACATTTTAAAGTGATTCTTTACAATTGGTGTACTGAAATGACAGCATGCATCATGACAGGAGGTGAAGAAATACCACAGCTATCTTCAAAGCAAGATGGATCCACTGTCACTAAAGCAAGGATTTACAAGTACACTACTTGTAGGTCCAACAAAGAGTTTTATCCATCAATTTCTCCTGTAAAGCAAAAAGGACCACCCCAGAAAAAAGAACAGTTTAGAAATAGGGTTCACTTTTAATGATTGTGTTTCTTAGCCTTTTTTGTTTAGAAGAGTTATATCCTGAAGGCTAAACTTAAAGGGTTAGTCCAATCACCATGATCACATCTGCTTTTAGAAGCGATCATGGTGGTAGGAGTTTGGATGTCAGTGTTTCAGAGAATGTGACGTGTGATGGCAGATAAGAACCATTCGGCCCATCTAGTCTGCCCAATTTTCTAAATACTTTCATTAGTCCCTGGCCTTATCTTATAGTTAGGATAGCCTTATGCCTATCCCACGCATGCTTAAACTCCTTTACTGTGTTAACCCCTACCACTTCAGCTGGAAGGCTATTCCATGCATCCACTACCCTCTCAGTAAAGTAATACTTCCTGAAACTATTTTTAAATCTTTGCCCCTCTAATTTAAGACTATGTCCTCTTGTTGTGGTACTTTTTCTTCTTTTAAATATAGTCTCCTCCTTTACGGTGTTGATTCCCTTTATGTATTTAAATGTTTCATATTCCCCCTTTCTCGTCTTTCAACAACTTGGGATGGGGGGTGGGAGGGAGATGGGCACTGTAGGGTCCTGGAGAGTCCCTTTAAATGTTTCTATCACATCCCCCCTGTCTGGTCTTTCCTCCAAGCTATACATGTTAAGATCCTTTAACCTTTCATGGTAAGTTTTATCCTGCAATCTATGAACCAGTTTAGTAGCCCTTCTCTGAACTCTCTCTAAAGTATCAATATTGTTCTGGAAATACGTCTCCAGTACTGCGTACAATACTCCAAGTGAGGTCTCACCAGTATACTGTACAAAGGCATGAGCACTTCCTTCTTTCTACTCTCCCTATACAACCAAGCATTCTGCTAGCATTTCCTGCTGGTCTATTGCATTGTTTGCCTACCTTTAAATAATCTGAATAGAAACATAGAATGTGACAAAAAAAAGAAGGTTTGAAATTAACTATTGTTTATGCAGACCAATTGAAATATTAGCCTCTTAAGGTTAATGCTATCTTCTCAAGGAAAGGTTCCACTAAGATAACTGGATTCAGAGTCCAGAAAGCTAACCACTACACCATGGAACCAAAGGGGCTAGTTACAAGCACTGCACGCTGGTGACAGATGTAACTGCTTTTCCCTTGCAGTTTTCCACTCCATTCCTCGCTTTCCTCCTCCCCACACTGGCTCAGAGCGTGTGCCTGCTACAAGAAGTCTTTGATTAGATGAAGGTACGTACCCCAGGGACAGGGGTGCGGCAAAATCCTTGCCCGGCACTGAATTAAGGTGAACAAAAGTAATTTTAAATATTATTTGAGCATTTCATTTGGGGGCACCTGCAGAATATAGGGCATTATTCTTATAAAATCCAAAAAAGGGTTGAAGAAATCTTTTAATAGATTTATTTATTGACAGATCCTAAAAATTGGATGGACGAGCCAAAGCCTGACTGTCACACCATAAGTTTAGCCAATATTTTGCATCTTGACAACCTTTTGAAAGGATTCTGACCAACAAAGTTGCTGGATTATTTAAAGGGACAATCCGGAATGTATTTTATGTATTTGCTTTTGATATATATAACTTTATGTCACATGTATATTGCTGCATAATAAAATATAAACTATATCAGGAAAAAAAAAAACCCATAAAACAATATTAATAAACATGGGACATACTTGTTTAGTCTGCTAGAAAACGCTGAACACTGGTCCTGAACACCACTGATCATTAACAAATATTACCATCAACAAAAATACAGATCTATTCAGACCACTTAGCAGATGTGCAAAGAATCAGCAAAACGGTTTGGCTACTTCTGAGTACGATGTTGAGATCTGTACATCAGCTACACATAAAACACATCTTGCCAATTCTCTGAACCTTGCAAATGTGGACAAATAGTTGGTTTAAGACTTTAGGGAAGAAGGACTCTGCAGGACTATGTCACGGTTTGATGAGCTCATTTTTATGAAGAGGACAGGTAGAATGGCATTTGTTTCTTTTTTTGTTTATTCTCTATGATATTCACCATTTAGGGGTTACCCCCCTTTTTTGTGCCCTCTACCTTGTGATATCTAAATTTTGGCCCTAGGTTAATTCTTTTTGTTTTCCTCGTATAATTATAACATTTTTATGAAGACTCACGTGTTCTATATAAGAATTGTTAAATAAATATCCAGCTTACCTGCTCTCGGTCTGGAAACAGGAGTGAAGTCCTACAAGGAAAGGATGGTTTGAAGCCTGTTCAAAGACATGTTTCTCTGTCTGTACCCAGTCAATATCCTACAACCAGACACAAATATAGGTTATGCTATGCAATTATTAATATACATTCAGGTGCTTAGTATAATTCCAATTTATTTAGGGTAATAAAGCTGAGCTCTCTTTGTAAACTGGGGGCATCCATCTAATGATGTCACCAGTGATGTCATCAGTTCACCTGCCCTTATTTTACCAGTTCCTGGAATCCAAAAACTGGAAATCTCTATTTTTGCTGCAAATCTTACTGATACTTTATATTAGAACATTTTTATTGATTTTTTAGGCGGCAGAGCCTGGCTGCTATTTTTTAAAGGGATAGAAATCTATAATGTGATGGAAGATAAGAACCATTCGGCCCATCTAGTCTGCCCAATATTCTAAATACTTTCATTAGTCCCTGGCCTTATCTTAAGCCTAAGATAACCTTACACAGTAGGGGAACATGTGTTACTAAAACGCTTTGTATGTCAGATTTAAAATACCCAGTTCATTGCTAGGATCAAAATACTTTTGTGACTTTTTCACTATCTTGCAGAGAACTGACAAATGGAATGGAAAATTTCAGGGAAAACTCCCAAATAGAAACAATAGCTAAGTTGGAGAAGTTTTCTAGTTTGGCTATTTTGACGTAAAAAAATGCCAAATTCCTGGTTCAGTGTATAACTTTATTAGATAATGCACAAGAGAGGTTGGATTAGGTGTGATACGGTTACGTTACACTGATCAAGTTTAAACGAACTCACATACATATATATGAATATTTAATGATATGTGAACTTGCCTCATCATCATTAACAAGCTCCTTTTTCACCACTTTCATAGCGTAAATACGTTCTGTTTTCTTCAACCGCACCAGCAGAACTTTAGCATAGCTGCCTCTTCCAATAACTCGTAGAAGGTCAAAATCCTGCAAGCCCAAACTGGAGTGGGCCTTGCCACTCTCCCTGCTGTTCATTGCCTACAAAGGGGACATTTCAAAGAGCTTAATAAAGGCACATCTTATTATATGTCAGAAAACCAGCTTTGTAGCTATTGAGCCTGTGTTCAAACTGCAAGAGAAACAGTATGGTGGCTTAAGGAACAATATAGATTACAAAGGGTTTCTCAGGATGGGCCCAAATTCTTTGACAGTCATACACATGAAAAGTATTATTGTAGAATTATAAAGACACCTATTCTAAAACAGAAACAAAAGGAATCTGGCGGTGCTTGTGCAATCAATATCTTCTGGATTCAATGTAAGCCTTTAAAGGGAGCCTTCAACTCAGTGTGAGGGCCCTCTGAAATATTGGTAAGTGGCATTTTTCCTGGATTGTATAACTATATAATTGGTTTGATTTTTCAGATTTTTTTTCCTTTTTGGGGGAAGATAAAGGGCGAATTTATCACCCGTATCAGCTTTCCCCCCATCACTGTAAGATGATATTATAAAGAAAAGGAATAAAGTGTGAATTGACTCTTTTCCAAAAGAAGCAATTCATGAAGAAAAGATATGGGAGCATACAGAAACCGTAACACCCCTTGTCACAGTCACCAGGCCCTTCATTACATAATACCCCAAAGCTTTCATAAAAGCAATGCTCCATCGTAGAGCTATTCTTCGACCCGGTGAGGGCCTAGCTCGAGTAGCAAGGCTGTATTTCCCATGGCTGCTGTTATGTCTTCCTTGTGAGTGGCAGTATGCAATTTAAAAGTGTAACACTCCAGACAGAGAGGATTGATATTACAAGTCATTCATTTAAACTCCAAGGCACATGCCAATGGAAACTGATTTCATCAAGTGTACGCTCAAATTATCAGAAGTTCAATAATCCGCCTGATATTTCCCATTTCTGTGAAATCACACAGTTTTTTGCTAAGCCTTACCCTAACCACGGTCGAAGCGTGAAGACCTATGGACGCAAGTTTTTTTTTTCCAGGCTATACAACTACGTAATACTTACACTCACCCGGTTGTTGGCCTGGTCTAGACGATGCTCTAATTGGCATTCTACCTACCTTAACATCCAGTTCCTGCCCCCGGTGTATCTGATGTTGCTTCAGCTAATCAGTTCTGGCGTAGTTAGCTGTGCCCACCCTAACCTTGCCATTCAAGGTGGTATGTCAGCCACCAACAAGGTCCAAGCAACCTTCAAAATCCTTGTAAAAATGGTGCCTGCCGTGAAACACCCAGAACACGCAGATCCTGAAAACCTGAGTTTGTGCCTCAGCCTTTCAGCTTAAAATGTTCTGTCAAGATAGAGAAACACTGTTTTATTTTTAGGGGACAACTGGTCTAGCTTTCTTTAAGGCAGATCTGGCTTTAAAGGGGAAAAAATACATATATAAACAAAGCAAACAAACTGCAATAAAGTTTTGAAAAACGACCCAAACCCAAAAATGACTTTACCTCTTTCTCTTCTCCAACTTGATCAAGGTTATCCTGGCTTTGAGGCCTGTAAGGGAGTTCTGCAAATAGAACATGTTTTGCCAGTTAGTGTTAAGTACTACTTCAAATCACAAATCTGTCAAAATAGAGAGAATCACTTTCTTCACAACGAGCAATTTTGGAAAAAAGCGCTCTAATGGGGAAAACGTACACTGATTCAAGTGTGGTCAACACCTAGTCTAATAAAATTGTATTCGCACACGGTGTCACAGAGAATACAATTTATTTATACATTTCAGAAAGAGGCACTTTGGGTCTCCAGGTTTAAGATTATCAGCGAACATATAAAATAATGCATTTCAACGTACCTTCACAGATAACACACATATTTATCAGTGCTGGAAATTTAAATACACTGTGTATGTCCACAAACCGATTTCTGGTTTCACTTGAATAAAATGTATACGTATTTTCTTTACTGTAACAATTTATTTTTCTTTTAGTAAAAAAAAAATTGATACAGTTAAAAATTGTGTCATATGACACATCACACTCCCAATCATGGAGTAGGTCTATTGTTTAGATTTGCTGGCCTTTGCTAAAGCTCAATTTATGAATTATATTGTTATGCCGACCTAAAGGTTTTTGTTTAGTTTTAAGCAGTTTGACCATAAACAGGGCGCTGTGAGCTCACCACCTCTGCCTCTGCTTTATACGGAGGGATTTCACTTACGCATTACCTGCAAATATATTTGGAGGGTATGTGAACACAATGCACTGATAGACTGTGAGTTCTGGGCTATACGTTTTTCTGTAGCCCACTCTGTGCAGTCGAATTAATGTTAAACCTTTCTTTTAAAGATGGCGATGCAGAAAGCGTTGCCACGATTAGATGCAGTCAGAAGCCGCAATAGCCTAGTGCTCACAGTCTATTACTGCACAGTGTGAGAATGCAGGATGATCATTTTTTATTACAAGTAATGAAGCAGCGCAAGTCGTCATTACGATGTTGGATTCAGAGTCAAGGGTGGCCAAATGATATGTCACAAAAAAGATGAACTTTATCCACAGACATTTGCACTGTAACCAAAATGATAAACTGCAGTGGTTATGGTGCTTAGAATGTCCCTCGTTTAAGGTAAATTTATAACGCAATACAAAATAATTGATCATAAAAAAGACCTAGAATTCTAGGCAATAAATTCATTTGTATTATATTAGAGTCTTTGCTATTGTACTGTAATAATAGCTTTAATAATACAGCTCTCAAAAGGCTGAAAAGACAGTAGGTGGATTTCTTTTTCTCCAGGATTGCCCCCAAGGTTACATCTAATCCTAAACCAGAAAATGCAAGCAATTCCTATGGGTGTGATTTAAAATAATGTTCATGATTTTTAGGAAGCAGTTAATCACTACTGGTTGATTAACCTAACTCATAAAACAAGTCCCCTGCTCTCTCCCCAAAAATAAAATGAAATATAGTAAGGTCTAGGCTGTGTTTACACATAACCCTTCGGTAAACTAAATGAATTCCTTCAATACGTGCACAGCTTACCAGCTCCATAAAATGATCGAGCTTAATAAGTGTAATTCTCTAACCCCAGGGGGATAACTCTCAAAAGCGCAATATATTTATGATTCATAACGTTACATTTCCTAATTGTCGAAGGTACATATTGCTATAATCAAAGGAAAATGAACGCCTTATTAGAAAGTTATGTTGATTATAAAGTGAATAGCAAGAAAATTATCTTTACAGGCCCATGGGATGAATGTATAAACAGCTTGGATACAGCGCTTATTTATATTTGTTGTCTTTTTTTTTTAAATTACTTTTATCAACTGCATTAATCTCTAAAGCATCAGTATTTGCTTCTGCTCTGAAAAACGGGACAACAAGCAGCACACGAAAATATTGCTATTGTTTTAGCTAAAGGGCAGTGATCACGAGCAGTTACATACATGGCAGTCATTCTAATAGCTGTTAATGACCGTTAGAAGACTCATTACATCCAACAAAAATTGGCGTTTCGCTGGCCAAACTTACTGATGACAATAAGCAAGAACCACTAATTAGGAAGCTGGAGGGGAAAACCAGACACACAGTGGAATAATCTATAGCCAATTCAGCTAAATATTTTTTAAAAAAAAATTAATAATGGGAAAATTAACAAGATAAAGACTAGAAATCAATTTCCTTTATGTCTAGTGCTCTATGTGGTGTTTTCATGCAAACCGTCAAATACATACACTCCTGCTTGGCCCCCTCACTGGCAGCTAAGCCTGTTTTAAAGGCTTAAATTCTGTCTGTAGAGAGGATGCATGTGTGGTTCAGAACCTGGGATGAAACTATAGGCCCAAATGTTTACACGGTGATATATCTATTGAGTGACATTTTACATTAGCAGGTGGAGAGAAGAATGATTCACTTTATTTATTGTCCCTTTAAAATTGCATTTATACAATTAGTGTTTCATTTTTTTGACGTTCCTAGATTGCGGATACCTGGGTCGTGGTGATCTGGGTGCATGCTTGGTGTGTCCATTGGGATAATAGATTCCTGGAAGGATAAGGAAAAAAGAGCTGTGCTTAAAGCATTTCATGTACATGGCATTTTTACGTTTCACAGACAATTTAGCAAATGATCTCTACTGCTACTGAGAAATCATCATTTCGTTTTATTTTTTCACAAGTCTCAGTATTTTAAGATTTATAAATAGGGCTGGAATGCAATTAAAAGCTGCACACATAATTGACAAACAAAAACTATTTCCTGCCCTTGGATATGTCTTAATAGAACATTCTGTGAATAACACACTTTTCTTTGTATTAGAAATGTTTGCTTGTTTAGGAGTTCATATGTTTGCTTGTTTTTTGTTTTTCAACAGAATACAATTTGCACAGAAAAATCTAAATCACTAAATGTATATGTTTGGCTTCATTCCAGCTGTTAAAAAACTATATTTAAATGCATTAAAGAAAGATAACAGAAACAAGCTGTGAACAGAAAAATGCTAATTTATTGATCAAATGTAAAAATAAAAAACAAAGATGAGAAAAAAATAAAAAAGAGGGGGAGGGACACAGCAAATTGTGTGTTTATTTTTATTCTATATGTAGTTTAGTACTTTGCATTTTAGATGTTTGATGAATAAAAGAGGCTGTTTGGAGCCAAGCATAAGCCAATTAATGGAATTTGGTGTACACAGCACACCGGGATTTCCAGCTCTGACACAGAATCAGGCTGACAGACGCGTTTTAGTGACAATTGTTACTTACTGTTATAGTGTGTCGCCCACACTCTATGGTAACAAGCTTGTGGCATTTCTTATGAACGAGCAGCTTACAGTTGATGCATTTATAGCCCTGACGTCCCAGCCCCCATATTCGATCAGTGCAGATGGCACAGTGTGCTCGCTGGAAGGCATTAAACAGAGAGTTAACACAAACGCAAACATTTCCTTCATAACAGATTGCTGCGTGCATACCGCCCATAGCCAATAGTTAGGTAGCTCAATAAAGAACAGTCATTATCTGCTATATACTTTTAGTACAGCACCAGACAACAAGGCTGTGACTTGGCATAATCAATTACATTCTAGAGAGCCAGAAATGTACTCATATAAAAATGATTTTTGGTTAAAAAATAATTACTGAACCCCCATAGTCCATGTTTTATCAACATCATAACCGGGTCAGAAAAAGGAATTCCCAAATATTTGAACTTCAGGAGTAATGGTTTGCAGGTGACCCTGTGCAAACTACATTACTAAAAACTGCCTGATTTCACACACAAAGACATTTTTAAAGTGACAATGTAAGGTGGATTTGTCACCCTTTTTTGGACAGAATGTGTTACAAAATACTATACTTAATAAATATTAATTTAAAAACTCTGAATGCCCCTCTTTTCCCACAGATTTTAGTTGCCTCCTGGGTTTCCTGATGTGATAAAATAACTGGATAAGCTATCTCAGACAATCTCTGGCTTGAAAATTCACTTCAACACTCGCATATTCATTGAATTCTAATGCTAGGCTATTGGTGAGGAGCTTTTAGCAGCCTCTCCATTTATCTGCAATAATGTAGGTATTATCAAATGTCTATGTTTCTGTTTTCCTACAAGCATTTAAGTTTTCATACAGGAGTTCTTTATTTCCTGCACTGTGATTTCTGAGATGCATACAAGTACTTGTACACATTTTAGATTTCTCTCTCTTCATTTTAGAAGAGGTGGCCCATGGCATAATTCTTTCTTGTGGTTTCTGACGAAATAAAACAATTATAAAAAGCTATGCTTGGAATCATGCACAAAATGGACTTAGAATTACGTTTTGCACGATACACCATCCATTACATTCTTGCACCTCCGGTGGCTGAAGTCCCCTTTAGATTACAGAACACTGCAGACCTGCAGCAACGTGTCCTTCATTCAACCTGGAATTATCTGGGATCTCTCATCAAATCCTGACACTAATAATATCTCAAACTTATTTAACAACCAGTGAACTGTTGGAAAGTGAAAATTTAATTGCAAAAATTGGACTTAGATAGCCAAGCTGTGAATATTGTAGAATTTGAGAAGGTTTACAGTGCTGCTTTTCTGACCTACATTTTACTATTCTGCGTTCAGTCGATATAATTCACATCAGTGAACAGACCTTGAGGTTTTAATGGGTCTGCTGTGTACAGTACAGATCAATTTATATGTTAACCACCTGCAATGTGGGTTTAATCCCTAAACTGTGGAAACTCTGAAAAATGAATATGCAAAATGTAGACTTATTTTATGTATATTAAATGAAACAGACTTGCAGGGTTTTCCAAGCTTTGTTACTTTAGCTTTAATTTGCATATTTACTTCAACATAATTACTGTTTGGACACTAACACTGTATAAGCATACTATAGTACACCTAGTAAATACAGCTCCCCTAGTGGCAATACATAAACATTACATTTCTTAAAATGTTTTTTTTTTAACAAAATTTTTACACACCCTATTAAACCGTTTAGCCTGGAAAGTGTGACCATTTGCACAGTAAAGCTTTCTCCACCGCCTTGCTCCCCGTCGATAGATGGACTCTGGTTACGATAAAAGAAACAGATTATTGTTAAGACATTCTCAGTACGGCTACATTTTGCAGGTTCTAAACCTGTGCATCACACCACACACAGCATGCATTTTTAAAGAGTTGTAGTCATAAGAAATTGTATATGTATGATCATATAAAATTTTGCTCTAAAATTCAGCTAGCATGAAAATTTAAAGTGGTACAGTCGCTTTTAAGATTTTCATATATATAGAATATTTATGAAAAGCTCATAGAGATTCCAATGCAATCCAAAGAGGTCATAAGATAAAAAGGGACTACTTTGTCGTATAGACAAGTTGAATTTTAGCAAAATTTGGCAATTGGCTAAACTTCCTCTCACAAATCTGGTTATTTCAACATTCAAAAACAATTTTCCCCCAAAAATAGCAACAAAAAAAATATATAAAATTTATGAGGTATTTTAACAGCAACATTTGAGACTTTACTTTACACTCTTTGTAGAGTTTCTCACATTTTAATGTAATCTCATTAATAGCATTAATTCTATAGATATCTGTATTCCTGTATGCATGTAAAATTCTTCATCATATAATAATTCAATAAAGCATTTGTACAAGACCATAGCACTATAAATAAATAATCGCAAGAATATGCGCTGCATATTATGTAAAAACAGACACATTAAAAAACAAATCCAGCAAAACAGGGTCCCCTGATAATACAGTCATTACAAAAATAATAAACAGCAGCAATTCACAACACCAGATGGATATAATTGAATAAAAACACACATTAATGACAAATGTAATAACTGCGTTTCATACAACTAGATTAAAATGAACATGTCACCAAAAGTTATTTTCCACGAATCAATAGTGCATAAAACCTGTCTGCGTAATGTATTTTGTATTTTTCAAATTAGCAGTTTAGATATTTGTAATATTATATTCTTGCGGACTGTTGTTATAGTGCAATTTAAAGGCACACTCTAAGCACCATAATCACTACATCTCATTGCAATGGCTATGGTGCTATGAGTCTATGGGTGTTGTATACTGGCTTTTTGGAGTGATATGAGAAAAATTAGGGCTACCAGGTTAATCTGCCCCAGCAGAGAATACGATAGTATGATGGTGGGGTACATTTTCTGCATCCCCCCCACTGCTTCAAACCTCTTACCACCTCTTTCTCCTTATTTGAAGTTCACAGAGGTCGCTTGTTCATACTCATTCCAGCAAATGATACTGTTATTTACTTGCCCCCAGGCTCCACTATCCTCTTCTTTGACCATTTTGCTGCCTGGCTTTTCCACGTCCTTGCATCTAATACTCCATTCTAATTACTGGGGACTTCAACGTTCCAGTTGTCCCATGCTGCCTCAAATCTTCTTTCCATTACTTTCTTCCTCTGGCGATACCTGTGGGCTACTACTCAAACACATGTAGCTGGCAATACCCGCAACCGCATCTTCTCAGATACATGCTCAGTCTCTAACATTTCTAACACTCCATTTCCACTCTCATTTCACCACCACACCATTAACAAAGGGGAAACCTTAAATCTCTTGACTTTCAGCAACAGTCAACTGATCTCTATTCTCAACTCTCATCCACAGCTAAGGGCAAAGGCTACTACTCCATGCTAATTCAACCAGACCTCTCTGCTACTTCTGTCAATTATACTTTCCTTCTCCAAACTTTTATACCCTTGGCCTTTGTGACACTACAATTTCAAGGTTCTCATCCTCTCTCTTCCAATGATCCTTCAGTGTCTCCTTTTCTGATAACACCTCATGCCCTTATCCTGCCTCAGTTGGAGTCCCCCAAGGCTCTGTCCTCTGAGACCTTCTATTTTTTTATTCTGCCTCTCACGGAAAATGTATGTATTCTTTTGGGTTCCATTACTACCTGTATGCAAATGACACCCAAACACATCTCTCCTCTCCTAGAATGATTCTCCAGTTGCCTCTCTTCCATCTTCAATTGGATGTCCGCCCACTTTCTTAAATCAACCTGTCTAAAACAGAGCTGCTTATCTGACAATCCTCCTCGGTCACTCTCCCTGCAAGTTGATGGTACTCACATCATCCCTTTCTTGCAAGCTTGCTGCCTTGGTGTTATTTATTTTTATTTTTTTGGCCTCTCCTTTACACCTCATATTCAGTCGGCAAATCCTGCACATTTCATCTTAAAAACATTGCACTCATCCGCCCCTTTCTTAGTTGTTAGTTCATGCTCTTGTAGTTTCTCACATTGACTACAGTAATTCTGTCCTAATTGGTCTCCCCAGAAACCATACAATCTCTTTACAGTCTATAATGAATGCTTCTGCCAGGCTAATTTTTCTCTCTGCTGCTCCTCCCCTACCATACAAAGCTCTTAGCAGCTCTACCCCTGCTATATTTCTTAAGTAATCATAGGTGCGCCCCTTCTCGGGTGCTCCTGGCTCCTGCTCATAACCATACAGCAAATATGCATGAACAGGGCTTCTCACAGGCAGCTCAATTATTATGCAACAGCCTGCCTCCACCCATCAGACTCTCTACTAGTCTTCAATCCTTTAGAAAGTACCTAAGAATCCCCTAGAATAACCTATGGACTCCCAGCAGAAGTGTAATTCCTTAAACCTAGATCTTATCCTCTCAGGCACCCACTTCATTAACCTTCTCCTCTTGATGTTCACCATCCAATTCTGCTACTTTTCCTCCATGTCACTTGGGTCCATTCCCTCACACTGCATTTCCTGTTGTGTTTTATACCTTATCTCCGCTAGATTGTAAGATTGTTTGAGCAAGGTCCTTATCAACCTATTGTTTCTGTAGTTGTTAAATGCCCCGTTAATAATATTGTGGAATAGGTGTGCACTATATAAATATTAAAGGGACACTATAGGCATGAACACAACGTGAGCTTATTGAAGCAGTTTAGATGTATAGGTTATATCCCTGCAGCCTCATTGCTCAATTCTCTGCCATTTAGTAGTAACATCAATTTGTTTCTGTCCATGCAGCCCTAGTCACACTTTCCCTGGCTGTGACTCACACAGCCTGCAAGAAAAAAATGGTTTAATTTCAATCAGATATTAACCTACTTTATAGGTTTTTAATCGCTTGCTCTGTAAATTGAGTTTTAATTACACACACAAGACTCCTGCAAGTTATAGCAGACTATTAACAGAGCAGGAGATAATACATCCTGAATTAAACAGACTGTGCAATAATGGAAGTTTAAACTAGTTCTCTCTTCATATGCAGTGTCTAGGAATGCTATGTAAGTCACATGCAGGGAGGTGCAGCTAGGGTTGTATAAGTAAAGCGATTTAACTCCTAAATGGTAGAGAATTGGGCAGTGAGACTAAAGGAACCTGATGTATACATGAAAACTGCTTCATTAAGCAAAAGTTATTTTGGTGTCTATGGTATCCATTTAATAATAATAATAATAATAACACATTGAACTCCTACTACCTTTTGTATATTCACTCCAGACCAAAAATGTACAGATACTCCTCACTTGCCTAACGGCTTCCGTTCTTACGACCCGGTCGTAAAACTAATTGGTCGGTAAGTGAGGTCTATGTTCGGGGAAATTTCCCCGAACATAGATTAGAGGGATTCCCAGAACATAGACAAGAGCACCAGAGGAGGGAATCCCTCTAATCTACGAATGGGGGAAAATTCCCCGAACATAGACCAGCTCTCTAACATGGCTCTCACTTGAGCCCCCACGCTAGAGAGATGGTCGAAAGTGCGAGCTGTCATAAAGTCATTAAAATACAACCGTGTGCAAGCAAAAATGTTCTAGAATCTACTAAATGCATATTAAGCAGTTCCATAATGAAGTGGCTTTTGTGCATAGATGATGTCCTTTTTCTCAGACCATGTAAAACTTTGTCATTTCTTGAGAAATGGCCATGTTTACATTGATCCAAGAATAGACAGACAGACAGCTATTAGAGGCACTTCCTCCTTGACACCTTGAGATCTTTACATTTGGCTTTATCATGCACAGCACAGTGACACCAAACACCGCTAAAGCTCACACAGAATCAATGAATTCAGTGCTTCCCTATGCGAAGCAATGCATTAGTAAAGCACAGCAGTTCACGCGCATGTGGCTTCGGCCCTCAATGTGTGTCTTTGAGAAGCATTATGTTGGACAGAGATCAGTCATTATAATCGTTATAATGAATGCAGAGCGACTGCCAAGACTAGTATCTCCTGGCTCTGGATTTTAAGTTTTTTAATATTTATAATGGGGAAGCAGTGGATCTAAAACTGAAAAGATTTCTTGTATAACGTTCGTGTCCTTTTAAGTAACTCCGCAAACAAAGTCAAATTAGATATTCCAGATTTAGACATAGCTTAGCTTAACATAACTAATGTAGATTATGTATACAAGAGTTTTCATGTTTAAAGGTACATTCCAAGCTCACAAGTACGGGTGGCATTGGGGAAGGTGTTGCTATAAAATCTGTCTAGGGTGTGGGTGCAACAGCCTGGATTAAGGGGCAGCTTTATTTAAAAGCAGATATTCACAAACGTTTGTTTGGATTTCAAAGTGAAATTTAAATTCAAATCCAAAACAGCTGAACTGAAAGAATTATCTGTCAGCTATGCTCCTAGTGATATTTTTTTTGGCTTTAAATTTGAAATAATTATTTTTTTTTAAATCAGATTAGCCCATCTCACGCAGGCTGATAGAGACTCACCCCCTTCCCTCTCCAGCATATGCACAGCCATTAGGACTGCAAAGTGTGCCACTCCTTTGTTGAGCAGGTGTACGGTATTCTTTTACATGTACCGAGAGAGAGACCCCCCTCCCATTTATTTTACTTTCTAGATCAGAGACCCTAGACTCACCTAGCATACTTATATTCATAAAATGTGCACTGTACTTACCTAAATGTCCACATCGATGTTATATTATGCTTAATGCCCAGGTTGCACCAGCTGTTGTGGCAGTGCAAGCCAGCTTGTTTATTGAATGCACACAAAAAAATAAAGAATAAAAAAAAAAAAAAAAGGAATTGTGTGTGTAAATCGAACTTGGATTGTTCTTTTAATTTTTACATTTTATCTTTTTGAAATGCCCATGGGGTCAGGGAAGGAATGACAGAGCTGCTTTAGGGATCACAGAAATTGCATCTAGAAAACGTGATTTTTTTCCCCCCATTTATTTTTAGTACTATTTCCTGCTTTCTCTAGAACTAGAAATCTTAGGAGGCAAAGCAAGGTACTTACTGTCCTCTCCGGGGCAAGGCATCCCAGGCCTGTCTGGTGTACATGGAAACACTGCAAATAAAGGCCGTTGGGGTGTTATTGAAACAATACATTGTAATTCAAAGCAGATATCTTATTAACTAGAGCAATACATCTATGCTGTATATCAGGCATGCCCAAAAGGTAGATCCCCAGATGTTTTAAAACTACAGCTTCCAGGATGCTTTGTCATACTAAAAGCATCATGGGAGTTATAGTTCTACAACATTTGGAGATGTATCTTTTAGGCACCCCTGCTGTATAAGATTTATACAGATGCCAAATAGTATAGATCACTCATAATTCATCTACACACTTACAAGTTAACATTTATGTGCTACATATACATTTTGCTATTGATAATATACTTTGTATCATGCCTACATCTAATACTGACGTGTATAATATGGAAAAAATACATTGTCATAACAGGGGTACATGTTAGTTAAACAGCTTTAATAGAAACGTGTTGATTTGTATTATTTCTTGGTTTGGCAATCTAACAGGATTTACATGATGACAATAAACCCTTGAAATATCAGGAGGTTTACGGAGGTGTAAAGAGGTCAAGGTTTCATGCATATAAAAACATATATATATATATAAAATCAGTGATAAGGTTTTTGCTGTCCTAATCTAGCCAAGTACAGGTGGCATTGAGGAATGAGCTGCTATAAATCCATCTAGGGTGTAAATGCAACAGCCTGGATTATGGGGCAGCTTTATTTAAAAGCAGTATTTCAGCATAAACAAACAAGTCCTTATTGACACTATGAATCTATATATCTATTCTGCTTACCGTGGATCAGCAATTCAGAATCCTTATTGAGTTCATACAATCTGAAAGCTTCATCCAGCTCCAGTTGGGAGGAGACAGTGCATGGATCTCCTGTTAACAGAACATACATACAGAAATAATTATAAACTCTGGAAATTATAAAGTTGGTTAGGTAGCATCTGCTACAGGAACATTCCAGGCACCATAACCACTATAGGTTATTGTAGTGGCGATAGTGCAAGGATTTCCCACCACAAGTAGTTAAACTACTTTAGAACAGTTTGACTTATTTCCTGCAGCCTTCCAGGCACCTCCACTACATCAGGCAGAGAGCTGGGAGGTTCTATTTTGCAGTGAAGGGATAGCTCATTGGCTGATTGCCCTCAGCCAATGGCAGACAAAAAAAGAAATGCCTGACGCTCTTGCTGCATAAGAGTAGGCAGGGAGTGCCAAAAGACGTTTGACTACTTACGATGGGGGGGAAGGCCTGGGTACCCATGGCACCATAGCCACTACAGTGCACTGTAGTGGTTATGGTACTTGGACTCTTTCTTCAAAGAAATGATTTCATAATTATTTCCCAACAACTGTGATAGGGAAATACTATTTTTTGTTTAATTAAATGACTCGAGTTTAAATACATTGTTGTAAGTATCTGCCTAGTGAGAACTCATCTGTATTCTGTATGCATTTTAGTCACTATGGCAGCACCATTCCTGCAAAATACATGTTCTAGGTGTGCCCCCAATCCTTTTTGTCTTTGCTAGTGAGAGAAACTGTACCCAACATTCTATTTCCTGTACTGGTGAATGTCTACATGTGAATTAAGAACACAAGCAAATCAAAGGTTTCAAATACAAAATGCATCCCATTTAATACACAATCAGTACAAACTTTGCTTTTAAGCCATTGTCTAAAGATTGTGTAGAAATAGGTGTGATATCATCTTCTGAATACATGCTATCCCTATTTAATGCATTGGTTCCTAAAAAGCTACAGCAACCAAGAAGTGACAGAGACTGTTTTGCCAACATGGGTCTCCCAATCAAACAAATGGGTGAAGCCTTGTATATTGGTCATTTAAACATAAAACATTTTTCTTTATGGAAAAAAACAGTGAAGTTAGCTTGCCCTAAAAAAAAAAAAAATAAATAAAATACTTACAAGACACAGATGAAAAATATATATATATATCAAAAATAGTAATGCACTCCACCTTCCTTGATGTACTTGCCCGGTGCTCATCAGCAAACAGATACAGCCAAAAGTACAAGATAGCACTCCAGGGACTTCCAAGTCGAATGAATAAAACTTAGCTTTGATTAGCTCAAAATAAAATTCAACGCTTCAGCCTGTTTCACATACTTTCATCAGGTTACTGATGCATCCTGATGAAAGTCATGATCTTGTAATTTTGGATATATATATATAAATATAAAAATCATTCTGGGTCTGATGGAATTTAAAAGGCATTTATCACTCATCAGAAAAAAAAAGTTACATTATTGATTACATAAAACCTATTTGAAACATTTTCTATGCTGTGTGCATAGATAAGGTTCACTTTGAGTTCCTATCATAGTGAATGCAAAGAGAGGGCACTTCAGCGTACAGGGCACAGAAATAGCGCTTTATACTGGCTTCATTCCATGAGCTTGTGACATCAGGTTCTAATAAAAGATTTTTCTTCCAAAGGGTTTCTATGTAAAATGCTATTCAAACTCAAAATGCCTAGGCAATGAAGCAAATCCTTATTTAACAATCCAATATACCAAGGTTTTTAACTACTGAATTCTCGAAGAACACATCTATCTACATTGTGCCATACAATTCTAAATTTATAATACTTAAGGAATAGGTTTCTAGCGCATATAGTTGATGGGATTCCACAGCTCAAACACCCAAACCAGAGTCTCTCTGTTCGGGTCGTATAGAAGATGTCATAATAGAAGGAGGGAGTAGCGCCTTGAGGAGGGGGTAGCGCCTAAGAGGTAGATATGTCCTTAGTGGTACTTTGATGTATGAGAAAGATAATTTCTCATACATCTCATAAAAAAGCATCTGTGTAGTTGAAGCACGTTAAGTGTTTTTTTAAATTATTTGTATTGCTTTTACTATTTTATTTTCTCTTACATACTAATTTGTTAGATAAAAATACTTAATTTTAATATACACTTTGACTTATCCTGATTTATCTGTTGGAGCTTGGACACACATTCTTTTGGTGGGGAACATACCACCTGAGTCCTATTTTTGCTCCTTACTGGTAAGTACCTATTGTATCATAATATAATACCAGCAGTGAGCACAATAAATTTTTTGCATAATTACTGCCTACAAACCTACAAGTTTCTTTGATGGGGTATATATTATCCTGAGCTACTCTGCCTGGCTGAAGGTCTTACACACTTACCACTTTACTAAAAGAAGAATCCAGTCATCCTAAGGTGGGGATCAGTCCAAAGTATTCATCTACAAAACACAGCTTAGTTATAGGGGACCACTAGTGCAGCCCAAATGTATTCAAAGAGCATCCAAAGTACAGACGTTTCGGGACCACTGCCCCTTTATCAGAGATAAATGCCCTTCTTAGGTGGGGATCATACAGCCCAGGCAAATTAAAGTAAATCTACTCAAGCTCTACACATTGTAAGTGCATTTCCTTTTTTAATTTATTCACCAGTATGGAATATACTACACTATATTTTGCTGTATTCTTCTCTTTTATAAATCCAACCACCACTAAAGACATATCTACCTCTAAGAATATAGCAAAGTTCTAGATTTATGTTTGCGAAGACAAATAAAAGGCTTCATGCTAAAGAAGGTGGCAGCCCTGGAACTGTTGGGAACAAGGGGAGTATGTTCGAAAACTCTACGAAGCTTCATATAAGGTATGTAAAAATAAAAAAATAAAAAGCAAACGTTATTGGTGATTTTAAAGGCATACTATAGTGATACAAAGTTGGCTAAAGCGCGTGCACGGCGAGGACTTCCCCAAAGAAAAACATTGCCGCAATGTTTTCCTATGGGGATTTTACTGATGCTGGATGTCCTCATGAGACGTGATGACGTCCAGAGTCAGTTAGGTGACCAAAAGTCGGTTAGCAAGCAGGAAGTGCTTCTAGTGGCTGTCTGATTTACAGCCACTAGAGGCATTCTTAACCATTCAATGTAGTTATTGCAGTTTATTAGAAACTGCAATAATTAACATTGCAGGGTTAAGGTAAGGGGACAGAGGTGCTGCACCCATAATACAAACAAAGAAATGCTGGATATATTTTGTTTCCTCTTGTTGGTGTATCAAAAAGTTAAATACAAAAGGTGTCCAGCTTTTCTTTATCTGTTCTATTCTCCTCCTCTATGCCATTTACATTATTTTATTCACTATACACTGAATTGTAGCAAACTGAAAATAAAATGGCAAAAAATAAGCTAAAATAGCACTATTGGCTAGGTTAGCCTAAACTTTGTCATTCAGATTTCAGCTGGCTAGAATTCAGATTTCAGAGAATAGACCCCCGTGTTATCAGTCAATGAACCACGATTTGTTCCATTCGCTAAGCTTTTAAGATTAGCTTTTTAAATTTAAGGCGGTGTTAAACATGAATAATGATCTAAAAATGAATTTAGGATTATTATTTAATCTATGGGTGTAGGAATGTGAGATCTTGCACTTCCAGATTCAGCCCTGGTACGAAAGGGATTCCTTTAAAAGGTTTTGAAATTGATGAAAAGTATTAGACATCATGTGTAGGGAGACTTGTACAGAGGTCCTGTTTGCTCAATAAGTTATGCAAGTAAAAGAAGGTGTTGTGTTATCTGCGGGTGCTGCTTAAAATGACTGATTTTTTTACACTAGTACATGGATTAAAATCCCATCATTCACTGGGGTTTACAGATCTTCATCCATTAATTCTGTTAAGAGTAATAGAACACCATCATTTAGAGAAATTACAAGAGAAAACGTTTTTTTTTGTTGTTTTAGTTTTGTTTCTTTTTTAAAAGAGACTCATTCTCAATCTGAAACAGTTGGTATCACTAAAATCGACTAACTCAAATGTTTGCCCAGTGTCCAAGTTTGGGTGCCATTAACACAAACCCCACTTCCTGAAAAGTTCAGAAAGGCTTAATCGCTTTTTTGACTTCCATAATTAGTAGGAGGAGGTCAGGTGAAAGAATATATGCTGGGCCACAAACTAGCACTGCTTTTATTGAAAGTAGTTATAGACACAGAGTTTCCAACTAGATGAGTCACAAGAACGAACAGTCAATAATTGTATGCGCCCCAAACATTTTATGCTATTTTCTGTATATGCTCCTGATATTTTGGGTATGGCTTCTAACTTCAACCATCCTAAAATAGTTTAACTACTTACAATAGAAGGCTGAGGGGTGCAGGGCACTCCTGGCACCATAACTACTATAGCATGCTGTAGTGGTATTGCTACTTGGAGATATATATATATACACACACTAGAGAAGCACCCATAGAAACATCGAATGTGACAGCAGATAAGAACCATTCAGCCCAATTTTCTAAATACTTTTATTAGTCCCTGGCCTTATCTTATAGCTAAGATAGCCTTATGCCTATCCCATGCTTAAACCCCTTCACTGTGTTAACCTCTAACACTTCAGCTTGAAGGCTATTCCATGCATCCACTTTTTATAAACTGCAATAATTAGCTTGCAGGGTTAAGTCTTCCTCTAGTGGTTGTCTATTAGATAGCCACTAGAGGGACTTCCAGGTTCTCCAGCGGCACCAAAATCCCCATAGGAAAGCACTGAATAATGTTTTCCTATGGGGAGGTCTAACGAGCGAGCGCGGCAATCGCATTAGGAGAGTAGGCGGAGCCTGACTCTGCGCCCAGGGACATTGACGCTGGACTAAAGTAAGTCATTGAAGGTTTATTTTTTAGTTTTTTTTTTTAATATTCTTTATTTTATTGTGCTCATGTGAAACATGGTAGTAGGCAACGCCACAACAGCTTTGCCAGCGATAATAACAACATTTTAAAAAGTAATGGGCACATATAAACATTTTACATTTTTGATTAAGGTTACATTATTATAAACATACTTGATGCTCGTCTGTAGTAGCCTATTTGAGTGTGCTGTCAGGGTAGTGTGTTAAGTGTGTTTCATTCACATAGGGGATCTACCCCTGCCTTGCCACTTTGCGCTTATGCTTTTTAAAGAGTTTGTCTAGGAATCGTCAGGAGGGGGGTGTTGATATGGTTGGACAATAGCGATAAGAGCTCGGCTGTGGTCGCTTCAATAAGGGCTACCACATGTGGGAGCTTGTCGTGTCTGTCTGTTTGGTTGTCCATCTATGTGTCACGAGTCCCACTATCTGCATATGGGTTTTGCAAAAAGTAAGACGGAGCAATTTTATGTCCGTGTAGTGAAGGATTTGCAGGAGCAATATTAAAGCTAACATCAGGTAAGTGTCAGGAACGATCAGCAAAAACAAAATAACAAAACACAACAGTAGTTTGCAGGAGTCTCAAACTGTATAAAACATGTTTATCCTGGGTGGTGGGTTAGAGATGTCCCCTTGGGGTATGTGGTCCCGAGTGCCTCAAGTCGGTGGACTGGCAGTTGATGGTCCCAGAGGTTCCATCGGGGTGAACTCCTGTATGGTACATGGGTTTATCCTGGACAGTCCAGATCTTTTTGTGAGTGCAGCTTGGAGAATGCCCGCAGATGTCAGGAGTGATTCCAATTCTTGCTAGCTCTGCGCTTTTTGTGAGGTCCCGTTATACGTGAACGATACAGCTCGCGGGGTTCCCCATCGGTAGGGCAGCCCCCTGGCGCGGAGGTGTTGTAGTAGCGGCTGCAGTGATTTCCGCCAGGTAAGTGTAGAGTGGTGTCCTCAAACGACAAGGGAGTTTTACCCCTTAGCGCAGTTAGGAGTGCCGCTTTGTCCGATAGGCTCTGAAGTCTTAAAATGAGGTCCGCGGATGCGGTTGCTGGAGCTCGGGTCGGCTTTGGTAGTCGGAACATCCCGTCGAGCCTCAGGGACTTCGCCTGTTTTAGTGGGAGCAGGGCACCCAGGAGGCGCCTGATGTAGTGGGGTAGATCGGGAGGCCCACTGAGTCAGGTATCCCTCGGATTTTTAGATTGTGACGCCTCCTTTGGTCTTCCAGTGCATCCAGGCTGTTTGCTGTGGCATGCTGCTGTTTTGCTAGATCGGCTACTTGTTGTTCTACCGTAGTTAACCTGGAGTCCTGGGTGCTCGTGCAGGCCTCCAGCTGAGTGATTTTTGACTTGGCCCCTTCTATGGCCACTTTATAGTAGGCTATGTCTGCAGCCAAGTCTTTGCGTAAGTCAGCCAGCATTTCCTTAAGTTGGCTTACAGTGACCGGGTCTCCGGATGTTTTGGGCACCGTGCTATGTTGTGTAGGCCCGAAGGACGCTCCCTCCATAAGGTCTGTGTCAAAGTCCTCCGAGGAGTACGAGGCGAGATCGTCCTCCAGCGCCATCTTGGACCATGCAGCCTTTTGTGTGTTCCGAAGCATTTCGCCGATATTCCTTCGAGGAGGGCTTTTGTCAGCCTTTGCTTTTCGTGGATTTTCTGCCCATGTTCTAACTTTCGTCAGTAGTCGGGTTTATAGGTAGTTTTGCGTTCGGATTCCACCATATAGGGTTCTTTTAAGGTAAGTTTGAGTCGGAGCTCACAGAGATGCGACCGCTCCGTTGCGCTGCTGGCTCCGCCCCCCAGTGAAGGGGTTTTAACCCCTTCAGCAACTTGAGATGGGAGGAAGAGGGGCACTGTAGGGTACTGCAGTGCCAGGAAAATGAATATGTTTTCCTGGAACTGGAGAATCACTTTTAATGTTTCTATCACATCCCCCCTGTCTCGTCTTTCCTCCAGGCTATACATGTTAAGTTCCTTTAACCTTTCCTTGTTTTTTCCTGCAATCCATGAACCAGTTTAGTAGCCCTTCTCTGAACTCTCTCTAAAGCATCAATATCCTTCTAAAGATACAATACTCCAAGTGAGGTCTCACCAGTGTTCTGTACAATGGCATGAGCACTTCCCTCTTTCTACTGCTAATACCTCTCTCTATACAACCAAGCATTCTGCTAGCATTTCCTGCTGCTCTATTACATTGTCTGCCTACCTTTAATTCATGAGAAATAATCACCCCTAAATCCCTTTCCTCAGATGTTGAGGTTAGGACTCTATCAAATATTCTATACTCTGCCCTTGGGTTTTTACGTCCAAGATGTATTATCTTGCACTTATCCACATTAAATGTCAGTTGCCATTTTTCTAGTTTACCTAAATCATTTGCCATTTAGCTTACCCCTCCTGGAACACCCAATAGCACTTTGTCTGTAACGTGTTTATTGACTAAACCCTACTGACATAGATATCCAGTAGACCACTATCAATAGTTTGATACATTTTCAGCCCAATACCTTATGTCCAACCTTAGCCTTCTAGCTGCAGTTGGATTTGATTTCACATTAGTGTCCACCAAGTAGGCAGCCTTTGGCACTCCAGATGTTTTGGACTAAATCTCCCACAATGCTTTGCCAGCATTATAGCTGTAAGAGCATTAAAGGAGATGTAGGAGATGTTTATTGCATGTATCCCCCCACCCCTTTTTTTTTTGTTTAAATACATTTTGTTGAAACCCCTAAACTCCAAGACAAGCACTCAAAAAAACCCAAAAAAACTAACTGCCTACTTTATTATTATTTTATTATTTATATAGCAAAATCAGATTCCGTAGCGCTGTACAATGGGTGGACTAACAGACATGTAATTATAACCAGACACCTGGACATACAGAAACAGAGAAGTGGAGGGCCCTGCTCAATGAGCTTACATTCTAGAGAGAATATTTTATTTTCTTCAACAACAAGCAAATTGTTTTGTTATACTTGTGAACCAGGAACATGAAATTAGAAACTGACCACGGAGAAACTAAACAAATATGTAAGAGACGCTGCATAATTCCTTTGGAAATATGATATGCAAAGGATTATTTATAAGCCTCATCATACATACTGTGGGAAACTAATGGGTTTAACACTTTGATGAACATAAAGCCCCATTAGTAAACTTAAAGGGACACTATAGGCACCAAAACAACTTTAGCTCAATGAAGCAGTTTTGGTGTATAGATCATGCCCCTGCAGTTTCGCTGTTCAATTCTCTGACATTTAGTAGTCAAATTACTTTGTTTAACCAGTCACACCACCCTCCTTGTGATTTGTGCAACCTTCCTTAGCACTTTCTGTAAAGAGAGATCGAATGTTTAAACTTCCTTTATTAACACAGTCGGTTTAATTTAGAATTTCTTATCTCCTGCTCTGTTAATAGCCTTCTATTACCTGCATGAGCCGCCTGTGTGTGAGTAAGGTTCAATTTACAGACAGAAGATAAACATTTCTAAAGCCAGTTAACATCTGATGAAAACAAAGCCATTTTAGTGCCTATAGTATCCTTTTAAATAGTAACGTTTCATTAAATGTCTTGCCATGTTCTTTTCTAAGTGCATAACCACTGTACGATGAGCAGAGGAAGGGTAAAGGTACAAAGCTAGATTTGTCATACAAACCCATTGATGCAGCTAGACTTTAACCACTGTTGACTATCCCTGATTTATACCTACATACATTTCCATTTAGCTAACTTTTTTTAAAGTTACTTGTAATTCACCACATTGAAAACTCTATTTTTCTTTCCAGTGCTTCAATAACTGCCCTCCCACCCCACCTATGTGAGCATGCACTGATTATTCATACAGTAAAAGCAAACAGATGTTTAAGAGACAATCACAGAGAGCCGACAAAAGCTTTATAAGCATGCCCATGGCACAAATGTGTTTGTGTTAAAAGCAGACGGCTAGTACACTCTGTGATTGCAAGTTCAAGGCACACAGCACTGAGCTATGTTTACCAAGCATTATAATCGACATACTGAAATCGGTACAATTTGATAAGAACCTTTTAATGTAGATTGCAAAATCTGATTTCAAAGAAAAGTTTGACAAACTAGAGCCTAGTAACACAATGGTTTAAAGTGGAACTATTCTATTTCTAAAATGATGTTTACTTTTTTTCTATAGTCAACAAATGTGTCTTTTTAGGCCTAAAAGTAATGTGTAGTAAATGAAATCACTGTATTTAGCAATGCTATAACTGAATAGAGCCATCTTAGCTCCTGTCATTTATTGTTACAGGCCTCCCAATTGTCCGGAGTTCAGTGGGTTGGTCCAGATTTTAGGGTCTTATCTTGCTGCCTCAGGTTTGTTTACGGGTGTCCCGCTTTTGGGAAGACAAGGGTACTCTCCCCAAAATATAAGCTGCTTTGCTGAAACCATGCTTCCTGTTCTTCAAGCAGACCCACCCCCATTCCACCACTTTTAAGTGGTGCCAGTGGCATGAGTCACATCCCTGCTCTGGTTCCGGTTACCCCACCCACTAGTGTCCCTATTTACAGGATGCCGATGTTTGGGGTATGTTGTTATATGTTGGACTCTTCTCCAGCCTCCTTCAAGAAGAAAACAAAAAATTCCCTGGTACATATTAGTCAGCATCAAGACCTTTCCACAACTTGCAGCAAATATCATCCTGGAGGCAAATGTCAGTGTCCAGGAGTACTCAAAAAATTTTACATTTCAACAGGTTACAAATTCCCCAAAATGTAATTTGGCTTGCCCCTCCTCCCTACTTCCCATTGCACACTGCTTTTACTTAGACTAAATTCAAACAGGAGAGACGCCCAGAGGACACACAAAGCCCAGCCTTCTTTTCTCTGTGTTGATTGGCATAGATTAGCACAGACTGAAATGACTGAAAGGAGGGGGAAAGGGAAGTATTAATCTATTTCAAATAAAGTATTGGATTTTATAAGACCGGAGTGCAACCATCTCTATATATATACACACACATATACATATACACACACACGGCGTCGAGATAACACAATAAAGTGACATTTTAATTCTTTAAATTGTACCATTTTTATTTATCCAACATTATTATTTTAATAATTACTTTGTAAATTTAATTTCATTTTCTATGTATTAAACACAGGTGGACACCAAAAGGCACAAGTACAACTCTGAACCATTTTATAACAACATTTCATCTAAAAAAATTTAAATACTGCATTTTTTGCATGCTCAGCTTTGTATAACTTTTATAAATTAAAATTTTCTGTTTTGCATATTTTAAGTGTATTTTCAATATAATGATTAATAAGGAATGGGTCCATTCTAAACTGATGCTTCCCTCCAATCATCTCTCAAAAAATGGCCGTGTATAGATACATAGCTACTTGTTGTATACTCTGTGTGAGAAATTACCTTCTTCGTCAATCCACTTCATGGTAAAGAGTTGCTCATTCTCGATTGAACACATGTCCCGTACCTCATTGCACAACCCATCATAGTTGATATTGGGGTCAAAATGTGTAATCATGATGTCTCTGTGGATAGAAACAGAATGCATTTTAGAAAAATAATTAAATAGATCAAGTAAAAAAGTCTGTTTTGTAAAGCATGGTCTATAATCCACACTGCATATGTTCTCTGGCACAGCGTTAATGGAACATGCCTGGTCTGATGTTCTAGAATATATCTTAAACGTATATATAAATTATACATAATAATGCATTGGAAGAAAAGAAAAACAAAAATAACAGCTTAAAAACAAAACCACAGTGCAGCCATGGGCAGTTGTTTGTTATTTACTATGACATACCTGAATATCCAAAATTTCAGTGTTTAGGATTGTCGAAAATAGCCTCTAGTCTAATACCCAATCCATACATAATGCACAGCATGGGTTCTAACTGGAGGAAATTTGCAAAACTGACATGAAGCTCCATAATGGGAAGTCATTACGCAAACCTCAAACTATTAAAAGAAAATGGCCATGGTTTTATTTTTTAATTATTACTGAAATTAAAACATGTAGTATGTAATACACATGAGTAAATATATATATATTTATATATTATTTATCTTCTCTCTACTGGGGAAGTTATTTGAACGGGGCATTCATTTTAAAAATGAATATATTAATTTTGAAGTTAGAAGTGTTCCTTTACTGTTTTAGATTTAACTCCCTCTCTCTCATTTTAGTAAAACAAACAAAACAAAAGAAAAAACAAAGACCAATCCATTACACTCTCCCTACAGAAGCTGCTCCAAATCTTCTGAGATCATCAATCCTGATGATCATGGTCCAATACACTTCTGTCCAGAGAAGCAGTGGAGAGCTGCGGTGCATGCACAAAATTGCAGTGCTCTGCCAATCTGATGCTTTGACTACAGTTTCCACCAAATGGGGCTGTACCCACACTAAACAGAGGGATATTCCAATAGTGCTTCACAGACCTGGGTGGCTACATATTCCAAACATACAGTTTACAGAATTGAAAGCACACTAGGAAACCCTGGTATCATTAGATACCTGCTCCCCTAGTTTAAAATCCCTTTACTAATATCGGTATTGATATTAGTAGAGGGAAACCTTTGGGATTAAGATTAAATTAAATTAAGGATTATTATTCGGTTTAGAATAAGTACTAGATTTATTATCAGGTTTATTATTGGGTTTATTATTAAATTTATGTTTAAGATTAGGTTTATAATTAATTGTAGTATTGGAATTATGTTTCAGATTAAGATTAAGATTATGGTTCAGATTAGGGTCAGCACGGGCATCCCTTGCTGGAAATAGCAAGGGAATTCCTCTGCTGACACCAGCAGGGGGGAATCATTTTAACACTATTGCTAAAGGTAGGATTGAGATTAGGATTAAGGTTATAATTAGGGTTACACATGGGATTATGTTATGGGTTGGGATTGTGGTAAGGGTTTATTATTAGATTGAGGGTTAGATTTGGGATTAGGATTTGGTTTAGAATTAGGGCTTGGTTTAGGATTACGGATTTAGATTGGGATTAAGATTAAGATCGCTACTTTCCAAAGATATACATATGGGGTATATTTGTACTGAGAAGATGTTGCTGAGTATAGCTAAGATAATGGGACACACAAGATTTAAAAAATAAGCATAAAAAATACTGTGTATGTAAAAATGTTAAAATAAAAATGAATACCACAAACTTTGAAACAAAATGATAACAAAATGTCACTTCAATAAAGCTTATAATATTTTATGTGAGAGTCCCCATGGTGTCCACTTTTGTAAATGGTATGCATTGGTGGCGTAATTTAAATATATAATCGACTAAAATGCCCGAAAATGAAACAATGACCCATTGTCAATTTGCCATTTAAAAAAAACTGTACTGGGCCGGGTATGATTTTAGCCCTGTATTTTTTTTCCACAAAAACCTGGCTAACGTGTACAAAGGGGGTCATTTTGTACTCAGGAAATATAGCGGAGAATAATTTAGTGATTTAATTTACAGTAGCATATATCAAGTTTCCAAAATTAACCACTAAAATACATGTGTGTATAAAAATGCAAAAATAAAACAATATGATAAAATCTGACAGAAATTGGTGCTAACATAACTGTATAATAAAGCTCAAAATATACCATATGGCATAGCCCGTGGTGTCTACTTTCACAAATGGTATGCATTTATGGGGTCATTTTAACTGTAAAACTGCTACAATGCCCTAAAATGTGATATAGACACATCAAATCCATTTATCAAAATTCTAATTGTAAAAACTATAATGGTCAGGACTCTTAAGGCACTGTAGCTTCACAGGATAGTGGCAAAGACATACATTGGGGGTATTGCTTTATTCAGAAGAGTTTGCTGAGCATAATTATGGGGTTTTGATCACAGTGGCACATACCAGACTTGAAAAATTACCCCAAAAAAGTAACGTGTATGTAATAAATGCAAGAAAAAATTATTTTACCACAAAGTTTGACATAAACTGGTGAAAAAAATGGCATCATGTTAAGGTACAATTTACACCATATGAGATACACTGTAGTGTCTACTTTCACCAATGGTAGGTCCTTGAGGGATAAATTCAACAGTTAAACTTCTACAATGCCCCAAAATGAGACTTGCCCCCATCAAATTTATCGAACAAAATTATCACTGTGAAAACTGAAATGGTCAGGTCTCTTTTATGGCACTGTAACTTCACAGGATAGTGGCAAAGGCATAGATTGGGGGTATCGTTTTACTCAGTTGATATGGCTGAAAACAATATGGGGTTTTCTACAGCAGTAGTATATATCAGCTTTATAAAATACACATTAAAAATCCTTGTTTTATGTGTGTATGTTAGAAATCTGAAATAAACACAATTTTACTACACTATTTAGCAGAGATTGGCGGCAAAATGACTACGTTAAAAGTGTCAGAATACCCTTTGGTAAATAGCCTGTGATGTGTGCTTTATATAAATACGTACTTTTGTGCGTAAATTTTGCCTTCTCTGATGGCTATTAAGCTTACAAGACAAACATACCAAATTCTAAAATAGCTCCACATTTAAATTTTATTTTACTCCTTGTATTTTGTGACTTTTAAAATAAGCTGAAATCCTAGACATATTATGTACTCTGAAAATCAGAACAAATAATTGAATATTTTTTTTAATTACCGTATATACTCTAGTATAAGTCGACCCGAATATAAGTCGAGACCCCTAATTTTACACCAAAAAACTGGGAAAACTTATTGACTTGAGTATAAGACTAGGGTGGAAAATGCAGCAGCTACTGGTAAATTTCTAAATAAAATTAGATCCCCCAAAAATTATATTAATTGAATATTTATTTACAGTGTGTGTATATAATGAATGCAGTGTGTGTGTGTGTGTGTGTGAATACAGTGTGTGTGTGTGTGTGTATGAGTGCAGTGTGTGTATGTGATGCAGAACCTTGGTGTTGGGGTGGGCATTTTTATTATTTTTTTAATAATTGTTTTAATATTTATTTTTTTATATTATTAATATTTTTATTTTATGTTGTATTATTAAAATTTTTATTTATATTTTTTTCGTCCCATGGAGGGGGGCTCTTACACCCTGGTGGTCTAGTGGCATTGGCTGTGTAGGAGGTGGGCTGGCAGGGAGCTGTAACTTACCTTTCCTGCAGCTCTTGTCAGCTCCCTTCTCTCTCCTCCGGTCCGGTCAGCTCCCAATGCAAGTCTCGCGGTGTGACTGCCGCGTGGAGCGTTGCCACGGTAACCCGTGGCAATGGTCTGACCCCGCAGCTCTAGCAAGACTTGCAGGGGAGCTGACAAGGGAGCTGACCGGACGAGAGAGAAAGGAGCTGACAGGAGCTGCAGGAAAGGTAAGTTACAGCTGTCTGCCAGCCCCCAACAGGACCACCGGGCTTGTAATGAGCCCGGCGGTCCTGGTCTGTATTATGGCAATATACAGACATTGACTGAAGTATAAGACGAGTGGGGGGTTTTCAGCACTCAATTATATACGGTACTTTCCTTAAGCTGCACTTATTATACACACTTTATTATTGCCTAAGCTGTGAAAAAAAATATTTTTTTCTGTTTTTGCATTTTTTGGGATTTTTTTTTATAATAAATAAGAATTTATATATGTGTATGTCACATCAGATCTGTCCTTTAAAAAACTATATATAACATGTGTTGGTGCAATCAATAAGAAAAATGCAAACGGAGGTTTAACACAAACAGCAAAAAATGCTTGTGTCCTTAAGGGTTAGTCCAGTTTTTGAAGCTGCGTCCTTAAGGGGTTAATTCAGTAATAATGAAAAATGATGACATTTTTCCTTTAATGGAGTCAGTAATCAGTTTATGAAGCATGCAGAGAAGTGGGCAGAGTGCATTTTTAGCAAATCCACACTATGGGACAGTGAGTTCTAAGCTTTCAAGGGTGAAATAATTGTATCCGTCTTGTGATAATACTGTTTACCAAGCGTTATATAAGCAGGGAGTTAGGTGCCAGGTATTGCCCAGTTTATATAAACACTTTACAAACAATGAAAGGAACATCAACGCTCTGATCAACAAGACCCAAGATTCAAACACAGCCTGAAACTCATAGCATAAGGTGCAACGTTGTCCAAGACCACTCTGCAAATCCACAATTCCCCAAAGACTTTGACAAATATGTGTAATGTGAATCAAAGCCAGATCTTACATTTTATTCAAGTATGACACCAGATTGAAAACTATTTTGTAGGACATGTTATATTTAATTATACGGCTTCATATTCTCACACAAATTGTGATAATGGATCAAAACCTTTGAATGGAATAGATATATAAAATGTTTTGAGTTGTTCATCCTCTGGCGAAACACCAACATTTTACCATCTACACAAAATCCACCTGTTTTTGACTAAACCCTGGGTCTATGCCCATCTCGGCAATAAAGTATTTTACTTCCTACAAGCTAGTATGTAAAAGTGACTGTCACCCCAATCTGACCTTTCTCCAATTATTTCCTCTTCTCTTCCGCTTTCCCAATCTGTTTTTCTTTTTTGGGCTATTTCCTTTTGAAAACATAGGAAAGTAAAGTAAGCATACTTCCTATGCTTGCGAAATCTTGACAAATTACAGATTTTAATCTTTTGGTACATTTGACAAATTTTAGCTGGCAGAATAATTTCACTCGGATGTTCATTTAAAGCACATACACAACTTAGACATGATGGCCTAGCCTAGGATTGCATGTTAATTACTACTCTATTGAGTCTTGTCTTCTCACTTGTTGCTACTTAAAAAAAAAAAAAAAGTGCCATGATTTTACCCTTGCAATCGCTTTTGGGGCATGCTTGTTACTATGTGCACAATTAAAATAAAGATTGACAAAAGAGAAAAACACAGACACAACACTCTTAGACTGAATTAATTAAATGACCCCTTTGTTCCTGAAGGACAAGGCAACTGTTTGATATGGTTTGCTTACTTTAACCTTTTAACCATGATTATTTTCTTTGTGATTGCATCTGTTCTTTCTTCAGATCATAGGAAGATTGATGGATAACTATTTTGCTGCTGTTGTTTCAACTGATGACATATTTAATAATTTGGGAGGTTGACATCACCAATATTTATGTATTTTCACATTTTATTAATAATGATAATCCGATGAGCCTTACTATCCTATTTCCCTTAAGTGGAGCTGGACATAGCAGCTGCCTGCCAGTATTATGTGCATGCTGTGCTGGCCTTCCCCCTGTCTCACATCCATACCAATCTAATCATGTACTCTGCGTGACAGGGTAGCGTCTGAATGAACCATCCTTCAGACATGGAAAGTGCCAGCGCTAGTTTTGCAAATTTTGTGAATTTCTAAATGGAGGAAAACAGGTAAAAATCTAGATTCAGGTGCATTATTCACCTTTTTACTCATCTTGTATTAGGAAAAACTCCAAAATCTAATGCTGCTATTTTGTTATGAAAATGCTAATGGTGCTAAGCTCTGGTTTGAAAGTTCTCATTCTGAGATGGCATGAATTTTATAAGAACATTATCAGAAATACTACTTAATAATGTGCATGGCCTCTACACTCCATTTAACCATCACTACAAAGCAAGCCAAGTCCCTATCAGATGAAAGTCTGTCCGCAAACCTTCCCTGAGATATAGCAGAGACGTCAGTGAGAGAAATTCGACAAAACTAGAAAATCCTGAAGAGGCAGGCCCCATTGAAAATGGTAAAATAATTGGAACTCCCATTTTCAGCAGAATCACACATCTTCTTAGCAGATATTAGTTAACACCCTTACTGAACTTCACACAACTAATAAAAACCGTCAAACAATCATCATGAATAACCAATTCAAAAGCCCTGTGAAAAGCAGGATTGTCAGACCTTGAATTCGTAGGCAAAACCAGTAGAACCGGGAGAGAAACCAAAATTCCAATGAGAATGAAGTGTCTTTAACAAACTAACTCCACCAACAGCTGCCTTTCAACGGCTATTACAATCAATAACTGGATGTTTCTCCACGCTGGACTAGCTATCCGACAAGCTCACATAAATGTTATCACATTCTTACATGCATTACTTATAAGAGGCTGCCTGAGAATTTTTTAATGCCCACCGTGGGACTTCATACAAAAGAAATGTAATAGAAAATTGTGCCCAGATCTGTATATATTTTAGCCCTATCAGCTTCACTGCAGAAACCTAGTTAATCCCCAGACACCGGGAGACTAGAAGGTCAGTAGTTAGGTCAAAGAAAAAAAACATAAACAGGTTGAAAGTGTAAATTTACTACATTTACACAAAAGCAGAGGGCAATGGGGAAATGATACAAAAAAAACCCGTAATGTGCTATAAAACATCTTTGAAGGTAGTTGAAGGCCTAGCCATAATAACAATTTGTAAGCTTCTTATACAAGATGTAACAGACAATGAACCAGAAAAATTGCTGCTTGCGCTTTATTACCGAAGCAATTCAAGAAACGTCTTCAGATGTATTACAAAAACCAGTCGAAGCACCTTGACCAGATAATAAAGGTAACCTCCACCCTCCCCCTGAACATCTCAGCCCAGACAGAAAAACATTCTGCTTGGTATTTAGCGAGGACACTAGATGAAAGCCCTGACTGAATAATCGTCTCAATGGAATTTAAAAAGGATGGCTTGTTAAGAAATCTAAAACAGGACTTCTTTGAAGCAATATATGCATACACCATTACTAATGCTGATACACTAACATGCAATAATCCCTCTAATATTGCAATATTCAAAAAACGTTTACATATATACACACTCAACAAATTTATAAACGCAACACTTTTGTTTTTGCTCCAATTTTTAATGAGCTGAACTCAAAGCATTGAAGTGGACCAAAATTTCACAGGCCACAATCCACAACCTGATCAACTCTATGCGAAGGAGATGTGTTGCACTGCGTGAGGCAAATGGTGGTCACACCAGATACTAACTGTTTTTCAGTAAAACTGCACATTTTAGAGTGTCCTTTTATTGTGGCCAGCCTAAGGCACACCTGTGCAATAATCATGCTGTCTAATCAGCATCTTGATATGCCACACCTGTGAGGTGGATGGATTATCTCGGCAAAGGAGAAGTGCTCACTAACACAGATTTAAACAGATTTGTGAACAACATTTGGGAGAAATAGGCCTTTTGTGTACATAGAAAAGGTCTTAGATCTTTGAGTTCAGCTCATGAAAAATGGGAGCAAAAACAATTGTGTTGTGTTTATTATTTTGTTCAGTGTTTATATATATATATATATATACACATAAATAATTTGTTTACCAAAAAAAAAAACCAAAACCTTGCACTTAAGCTCCACCCCGCAGCCTCTGCACAGAAGACACGTATAATGGATCTTACTGCTGTATATAATCCCTGAACATCACTTTCTTCTTCAAGCGTATAATAAGCACAGCATGGTTATTTGTGAAATGTATATAATAAGCATGTGCATTTGAAAACAGAGAGTCAGTTGGACTCAATTGGTTGAAAACAATGCAACAGAAGAATACCATGAAATAATTAAACATAGAAATAATGTATAACAAATAGCAGAACATAAACATACAATGTATAACAACAGGAAATGAAACCCCTCTTAGAATACATAAATATTCATTATTCTTTTCAGGATGTTCAGAAGAAAGAAGTCTTAACAGGTTGAAATTTAACAAAAACTTATTTTCATTAGGTATTCACAATCCATTAACGTGTATGCAGCAGGTTTTGCAATGTTAATGCATTATGTGAGAGTATTATAAAACTCAGCATGGCACAAGAATACTGTGTGTTATACGAGTCCTGCCTACAAGCTTACAATCTAAAGGGAGATATGACTGCAGAGACACTTGGTAAACACACACAAAAAAACCCCATTATGGATCAGTGGTAATCAAACACCTGACTTCATATAGTTCTATCTAGATCTTTGCCAACAAGGCTTGGGGCTGATAAAGGTGCATGTGACTTGTAGTTTGATGACAGCATTATTTCCTGGGTGAAAACAGGATAAATTTATCTTTTAAGAGTTCTTGTTTTAGTAATAATGCTTTTTAAGGCTGGATTTTTGTCCTTTAGCTGGAATAATGCCTATTGGATTATTTACTAAATTATGAGAAACTAACAAGGAAATTGTACATTTAATGCCAAAATAGCAGAGCTGGAAAATGTTTAAACTTCAGCTTTTTTGACCAACAATGTTAAATTCCGTTGTAGATTTTCCAATGCTTTAGTGAACAACCTAAAAAGACCTAGTTTTAAACTATATCAGACTTAATTTGCTGTTCTATTTAATGTAACATGGACAGCTAGGTATTTCACAAGCTCTAGATTAAGTGACAGGAAATCTTTGTGAATACGGCAGATCCACAGCAAGAGAGGTAGAATGAAAACAGAGCCATCTGCTAATACACATCCAATTACTGCTACTACCCAGGGAAGCAGAGCTGGTACCTCGCCAGCACAGCATGTTTTGACAAGCCTGTTTATTCTCCCCCACCAGTGACAGCCTCGAAATCTTGCTCATTTTGCAAAATATCTGCTTTTGTAAGCAAAAGTAATTAGTCATCGTTATACTTATGGATAGAAAGCACAACTTTCATGGCTGAGGTTACCAGATTCAATTTTTTTTTTAGGTTGAATTTTTTGTGTGTGAAAAGGGCCTCTGGGAACAAAAACAATGACATTAAAAAAAAAAAAAAAAAGTATGTATATGTTTACTACAAAGTGTTTTCCAGAAAAGAATGCCTATGTGATTGGTGTAAAGTCATAAATCCGGTAACTAAGATTCCAAAATCAAACCTACTCAACACCAATTTAAGATTCAAAGATGACACACTAAACTTTTTGTTTTGTTATTTTTGCTGTGCGTAGAAGAAATACTGATAGATTTGCAATGCCACAATAGCTATAGCAAGGGCGATAAAACACATAGGTAAACAGATATCTGGCATACGAAACGTTTACACAATTTTGTGTTGCTACATAAACATGCTGATCATACGTGTCTAGAATTGTGTTAAATGCCAACGTGTATGTGTAGTCATGGTAAGAATTAGAAAGCATGAGAGATATAGTAGTTAAGTAAATAACAAGTAAGTTAGTCTAGTGGTATGTCGTAACAGTATATAAGTCAAACTAAACTTACTGACTGTCACTGGGTATTAGATAGCAATAACAGATAAGGTAAAAAGAGCAACAGTACCAAACTCTACATGAATAACTGACTTAACTACGAAAGTCACAAATTGTGATCATCCTATACCACATGTGCCATAGTAGAAAGTCCAGCTCAACACCAGATTTGTTGTTCCCTCTTGTAGACACCAGGAGGGCCAGGACATACTTTAAAATGAGAGAAATTTCTATGTATCCTTCCTGGTAAATTATTTTATAAATAAAAATAAATAATATTTCTGCTGACGAGTGGGTATTAGATCGCAATGCATCAGGTCTGTGTAACCTCAGTGGTGACAGGATCTAGGGTCTACAGGTTCTCCGTGGTTTGGGATTTTCCCATGGGTGTATGGACAGTTAGAACTCCAAGAGGGCACCGAGGACTGTATGACTCAGCTGACATCATGGGACAATAGGGCAGCTTGAGAGGTAAGCCAAGGAGGTCTGCCATTGATGCGATCCAGAATTCTTGGCACATTGCTACGAATTTTAGGCTGAAGCCATCTTTCCATTGCTGGCTCTCTGGGCTCATTCTGCATTAAGGAGATTCCAGAGTGGCGACAATCTTGGTCATGCCATGCAGCATGTGTTATTTTAGGCACAGAGCTTCTCATTACAAAGTTCTTGTGACCCAGTGGCGACCGGGATATCCTCTGCTGGTCCAATTAGAATGGGAGGGGTGGGGGGTGTTCCGCATCAAGATGCGCCCTTGATGTCTCAAACGTTGGCGCACTTGTCTCCGTAAGCCTCAGTCCTAGATGTAGGATGTATTCCACAGATCACCCTGAAGCGGGCTTAAAAAGATGTAGATCTGATCATCTCCTAGTAATTTGAAGCAGCTATTTGCAAATAATTTGCAACCATTAAAAGCTTATTTTAGCCCACGACCTAGAGAGCTACAAACAAACACATTCAGCCTTCTTAGACGCAGAGTCCCTCCCTCCTCCCCAAAGTTTTCATCTCCCACATAGCCTATTAGAGTGAGAGGTGTCTGTCTAGTAAGATATGCAGGATCTAGGAATTCTACAGATACCCATATTTTACTGAACTGTTTAATGAATCTGTTAACCTTAATGGAGACCAGGGTTACTTACAAAAAGGAGCCAAAGTGAGCAGTTGTCTCAACTTTTCTGATCTAAGGTGTAGCGGATGGCACTGGGCTGTCCTGAGAATTACATATGTTTTGAATGCATTCGTGTAAATGGCAAAGTTATATGGTTTAATGTATTGTATTCGTTTGATTGTTCGGTAGTTTCCTTCCCTTAGTTTGTTCGAATGAAACTACCGAACAGTCAGACCTCCCCTGTGTGAAGTGTGCCTTCAATTACCCGTTGCAACATTGTTGTGAACGGGTAGTTGACAAGCTGAGTAGCAGTCCTTTGTTCTCAGGGGTGGCCGCCATTCGGGAAATGAACACATGGCGGCGGCCATTTTAAAACACCCGAACAGCAGTGTTTTGCCGTCGAGTGTCTGGAACTCAAATTGGACACTCGACTAGGCGAACACCACTGAGACCTCCACAAGCCCGGTCCGTTCGGTCCCAAACTACCGAACGGCCCCTCGTTTGGTAGATAGAAACAACCGAACTTGGGGATTCAGGCGAACCCTCCCTAGTCTCTGTAGCTGGAGGCTTTCATGCAGTTTGTTCCCTTACTCCAGGACCAACCGCAGGGCCCCATCGCATGGAACCCCATTCGGCTGTTCTTTCCAGTGCGGTTGGTCATTTTATTCCCTCCATAAATTCCCCGAACCCCTGGTCTGATCTGGGTGATTTTTGGATATGTTGTTCACCCAGATCAGGGCTACCAGGGGATGTATAATTTAAAGTGGTACCCCTAGGTTTAGGGGTACATCCAGAAACGGGGGGAACTGGTGTCCTGGATAAGGGGATTACGATGCAGGCTGAGGGGAGCTGATGTGTGGGAGGTTACCAGAGCAGGATTGGCTACTGTACAAATTAATTAATGGGAGCAGGCTTTATAAGGCCACTGTCTGAATAAATCTTAAGTTCTGCTCCTGATACTGTGTGTCGTCCAGTTATTGGGATTGCTGTTGGGATCCTGCGGTGTTATTTTGCCTGCTGGATACTTTACCCTATGGATTTATAATTGCTTGTTCCTGAACCTCCCTGGGATCTAAAGTGGAGATAGGCTGTGTAATACCAGCTCTCCGCTACATAAGGTGTGCAATTTAGTTTTCAATTTATCATTTCATGAATAAACCCTCAAAAAATATTAAAGGAACGCTATAGCGTTAGGAATAGAAATATGTATTCCTAACACTATAGAGCCCTAGTCACCGTTTAGGTAACTAGGGCACTATCAGGAACACGCGGCGGCTTTGCTCGCTGCACCCCCACCTGACTCCTCTCCGCTCCTCTTCTGGCTCCCGCGCCCCGTTCACGACGACTTGTCTTTGCTGTCCACCGCGTGCGGTGGTTTCTCATACCTGCTCGCCGCTCGCAGTGATTTCCAATTCATCCAGCAACACGTAAATAGGAGCCAGAGTAAGTCACATGACTCGGCGTGCAAATATCATGTCATAGGTCAAAGTGGAAGGCCCAAATACCTTCCACGTGTCATAATTAATTCCAATCGAAAGTTAGCCAATCATGTATTCTGATTGATTGTCTGGTTAATAAATCTTGGCTTGTCTCACCGTTTATCCTGCTTTCTCTGATACTTGACCTCAGCTTGTCTTATCGATTATTCTGTCTCTCTGGTTCCCTCTGACTTTGGCTTCTATTCTGACTTCTCTCTGTGTGCACAGCCCGGCCACTCTAAGGACTTCCTGTGTCTGTGTTCGGTCAGCATGTCTGGTTCGGGAGTCTGTGACAGGCCCCGTTCCATGGCGAATAAATGGCTAATTAACCATTTATTAGTTTACTTTAATCCAGCGCCGGGCTCCCTTGGCACTGGTGACCTCTCCTCCATCGACGTCAGCTTCCAAGTGAAGCCGTATGTGCATGCTTTCCTATGGGGATCTTTTTTGATGCTGGACTCCGTAAAGACGTCCAGCACCAAATAAGTGCGATTTACTCTGTGTAAATCGCAGAAGCTGCCTCTAGTGGCTGTCAGGGAGACAGCCACTAAAGGCTGGATTAACCCTGCAGTGTAAACATAGCAGTTTCTCTGAAACTGCTTTGTTTACAGGTTCAGGGTTAAAACTAGGGGGACCTGGCACCCAGACTACTTCATTGAGCTGTAGTGGTCTGGATGCCTTTGGTTGTCCTTTAAGTCTTTCACAGGTAAATAGATTTCTCATTTTTATCAAGTTACTATATTACTACAGGCTACCTTCAGTTATCTTAAAAATAATAACAGTAACAATTTAGCGCTCCTTGTATTTGTTGTATCTTAATAACAGGGGGTACTAGATCCTTTTCTCCATTTCTCTGTCCTTTACTTTCCCATAATGAGTATTTTTTTTAATTCTTTATTTTGTCGTGCATGGATTATACAGTTTACATTTAGCAATGCCATAACAGCTAATGCCAGGGTTTTCGTATACATATAAAGACAATTGGCATGAAGAAACAGTGCACATTTTTAGATTTAATACGAGTAAACAGTAGTGTGGTGCATGTCAGCTAGTGTGTGTAAGAAACCGTGTAGGCTTATCTATTGACCATTTTAATAGAAGTGTAGCAGGCGCTTAGTGAATTAATGGGTGAGTAAGTGAATATATCTGAGTAGGGAGACACTTCAATATGCTTGTTATGCTAAGCTTCCCTTCAGGGGGTAGGTTATTAGATAGATAGCCTGAAATTAACAGTAAGGTAAATCCCCAGACAGGTGTGGGTATCTCTGTGGAGATTACTCCCCCCGGTGGCCCCCTCGCTTATACTATGTCTACCAGTGACCATGTGTAATTAGATAGGGACAAAAGCCTAACCGCCCCCCCAAAAAAAATGGCAGTATGGGGTTGAAAAGCATGGAATATGCAGTTTTTGTAGTAGTTTTGCTTGTTTTTAAGATTATTTAGTCCATAGCTCGGCTGAAGTGCGTCCGCTCAGCTTGGCTGCCAAGCATCGCCCCCATAATGAGTATTCTTGTTCATCAGGATACATATGCCACATACCCAGATAGACCACCCTGCCACTCACAGTTGTACACATACCCTGTGTCATTCGCACACATTACACATGTACAGGTATACAGCAATTATAGTCGCAGATACACAGATCTAGTCATGAACACCTCTCTGCTTGCAATGTTAAGTCACTCCTCAAACTCATCTTTATTTGTGTTTATATATTTCTCCAAATAATTAATATGATGTCTCTGCACCATCAGTGCACATTCATGATCCTTCAAAGAATTTTCTTTTCATGAACTGCTTGATCGTTGTGTCTTATCATCACACACTAATCATTGCCCCTTCTTCTACTTACAACTCTGTAAAGAGGATGAGAGGTCAGTTGCCACTGTCTATGAGCAGACAAACCGTAGTGGTCATTCTCCATAGGCTGCACCTCTTCATTCAGCACAGAAAGCCTGACAAATATACATCACCAAGGGGTTTGGTATTAAAGCTCACGTATTGTAGCAACTTAAGACCACAGAATCTAGCTGCTCATCGGTCAGAGAGCCAACCTATCAGGGTCAGGCATCAATGTTCTCTTTGTGTATCACAGTAGTCTACCGGTACTAGACTACTTATCAAAATAAGGACTAATCACCATGGAAACCATTAGAATGTCTCCCAAATTTAGTACTTCACACCCAGAATAGCACAAAAACAGAAAAATTGGTAACTGCGCACTATCCAAAATCCCCATGCGCATTTAAATAACTGGAGGCTGTTTAGAATCACTCCAATGGCCATTAAAGTGCAAGCTAATCTGCCACATCAAGACAAACCTTTTAGGTAAGTCCAACACTAACAGTTCACCTTGCTGTTCGAGCCAAAAGGCCAAATCTCTAATGAGACAGAAAGGAGTATTTTTCGAAACCGCTAAACACTTATTAACCCTTCGGAGGGACAACATGGGTTGGGCAGCAGCATTGTAACATGGCTGTGTGATACAAAACCAGGTGCTTTTCTGGAACAAATATCCAAGTAAGAAATGATCCCATGGAAACCAACAGAATGGCACTTAGCGCCCAGGATAGCACATCTGCCTTGATAAACCTTCAATGTTTTTGATTCTGATTGCCTGCCAGCTAGAGGATACGTTACAGCCAACTCCCTTTACGCATTTTGCGTTGCACAAAACATTTACTCATAAGCCATAAATACGTGTTCTGTGCAAAGCAAAATGCATAAAGGGAGGTAGCTGTAACCTGACCTTGTCATTCTGTATGATGAAAAAAAAAATATATATATTGAGGAAATAATCCCTGGATCAGTGTGACTGTTTGTGAATACTCTATTTTTATATGTATATCTATCTATACTATAAAACCAAAAAAGTCATGGTGGGGAAAAATTGTGATTGAAAACCCCTTCCACCTGACATCTGTGGATAGTTAATACAATGTTAAACAAAAATCTGCACACCAGTCAAGTCATAAGACTTTCTTTTCCCACAGAAATCACAAATTTGCAGTGATGTTATATATATATATATATATATATATATATATATATATATATATATATATATACATATATATATATACACATACACATACACACACACACACACACACACACACACACATATATACAGTGGGACCTTGGTTTACAAACACCTCGGTTAACATAATTTTCGGTTTTAAAAACGAAAATCCATTGAAAATAATGACTTGGCTTACAATTTTTTTTCGCAATACAAAGCAAGTTTTCCCAGGATGCATTGAACCTAGGAAGTTTATAGCACCGCCCCCTGCATGCTGGAGCCTGTGGGTAGCACGTGGCGTCGAGTGTGGAGGTGTTGGAGCGGCCTTTTATTGTGTATTCTGCATTGTGGGTTGGTTTACATGCCAGCCTATTTTGACTTTTTTCTGACCTCCAGAATGGATTAATTGGTTTTCAATGTATGCCTATGGGACACCGCATTTCGGTTTACAAATTTTTTGAAATAATAAACGTCCCGGAGAACGCATTCAATTCGTGAACCGAGAGGTACGGGTGGGGGTGGGGTGTGTGTGTGTGTGTAATTCCATATGTGATGTACAATATCAGACAGGTAGTATCAGGATGCTTCTGTTATAAAATGTACAGACATATTGTTGGACATTATCCCTCGCACACACAGAGACAATAAGAAACATGCATTAAACATGATGATTAATATTGACAATACATATGTTAGTCAACCACTTTTCCCACAGTGTTCAGGCAGAAGACATCTGTAGTGCTCCCACTGCAATAAATAAATAAAAAATTGCCGTAATAAACTGCACAGCAAGTAAAACAGAAAAACCCATAGTTAGGCTTCTTTTATCATTACAATGGTAAGGGTCAATGAGACGACCACCTTAATGTGTTAGGGGTCTAAAACTACTGGTTTATGGCCCTGTAAGTGTGTATACAAGTAAATATCTGTATGTACGTAGGCATCAGGCAACAAATCCCACAATGTGAGAAGACATATTAAATAGTAAATGGAGTTTAACCATCTGCAGGGATGGGATGCAATGAGAAAGAGATTGGTACTGGATGATTCAAGACTTAAAAAAAAAAAAAAAATGTAAAAAGAAAATTAAGAGAGAACAGAGTATATAACTACATAGTGAATACATTTTTTTTACCCTAGATGAGCTCTATATAATCACACAGCAAAGTTATGTAACATAACCGCTTTGCTAAAGTCACTCCAAAATAATCGTCAAATATAACATTCTTCAAGACATCACTAGAAGTATATTCAGTAAACACCAAATTGTAGTGAATTAGAAACGGAATCACAAATCTCAGGCCAAAATAGCCAAATCGCAATAACTACTTTTGCTATGGTCACAGTTTCGCTATTTTTGCCTTAGTTTACAATCCATTTTTCAATCCACTACAATTAGAAATGAACTGAACAGGGGGGCGGAGCCTAACTAGCGAGCAGACAGGACGTGCCCTGCATGAGCTCCTGCTGCTTGGACTCAAAATACACTGATTTCTCGGGGTGCAGAGCTACAATTCTCCCAAGACTAAGCTGACTGATCAGGGGAAGCTTGCACGAACCCAGCAATACTACACATAAAGCCCGGAATGACCGCAAACCGCAGCAGTGTGTTGAGGCCTGGTGCAGGAGGTGAGGGGGAAAGACGGCTGCTTTCCCGCCCAATGCTGACAACCTCATGGGGGCACAAAACACCTCCCCTCCCCCCTTTGGACCGGTGGGGGATATCCCGGTACCCGCCAGGCGAAGTTCTTCATGCCCCACACCTCACGACGGGGCCAGCGACTCTCACAAGAAACGTGGGCGCAGGAGCTTCCAAGATGGCGGACGCACTGGACCCAGCTCAAGGGGCCATGCGGCAGCAACAGCCCATCCTGTCAGGCACGAACAACGCCGTCAAAGACACCATTGGCGATATATTCGACCGCTTCTGGGCAAGGCTGCGAGCGCGCTTACAACCAGCGACGACAACACACGCGCCACCAGCACGGGACAAAGTCCGTGGTAAGAGGAGGCTGGAGAAATCTCTTCAGGGCACACTACTGACCCGATCTATGGATTCAAGCACTACTGGCCGCCCGGGCAGAGAGTAACAGGGGGAGCACCCCACAGGTGCCGACCACACCGGCGGAGGGCGATCAAACAAACGCCACAACGACCTACGATTAAGGCCCGCCGCACCATCCCGACAGGGACGACCCTGGGCCACAAAGGAACCCGGGCTCGTGGCAAATGGGCATCAGCTCTCCTACAGCTCCGGGGCAGAAGAGTAAACCTGCATCCAAGACACCACGAGATCTCCCCAGAGAGCGCCAGAGCTCATGGCTCGCTGCAGCTACATATCGCAAAACAATGGGGACGGAGGAGTCGTTTGCCTCACTCACATAGCGCCACAAAGTGCAGCATGCTATATGCTGGCTCACTGAGCAGACCAACAACGGGTATTGGATGAAACCCTGACTACTGGACTCCTACCCATGCTGGACTGAAACCCTGTAACCAGAAAGGTCACCACTTTGGGACTCCTTAAGCTGCCTATGATGACCTGAGATTTCCTAGATTGTTTTATTTTTACCCTAGCTAAGCTACTGTCACTTAAAAGCATCTATACATAGGTCTGTTTTCTCTATAATCTTATATATTTCGCACTCAGTTTTGGACACCAAGTGAATTCCTAGTATAACGCTACAAAATGTGCGATGACCCTACTTAATATAAGCGACTTGACTCAACGTGTATAAGTACATAATGTTTGGTGTATGCTGGAGGGTACCGTGACAGATATTAATGCGATGAAACTTTACAAAATAAGCATGACATAAATGTGTTCACAAAGCATGTTAACCTTAAGGGTTAGCCAAATATAATGCTACTAACCGCTGCGACATATAGGCTTTCCGGTAACCAGACCTATCTATGATATAGCAATGTATGCATACCTCCTTCACTAGACCAGTCCTTACACCTAACTCGAAGACACACTAGCAATGTTTAATTGAATGCCTTACATACCCTTTGGCCTAATCCTGTTCACTAAATTACAAAAACGTGCTGAGTTAACTTATGCCACGAAAATGTTTTACTATGTTATATTTGACTGCGTCTGTTACAGCTGTTGTGGCTACACAGACACTGTTGTAAATTCTTGCACGACAAAAATAAAGAAGTATAAAAAAATTTAAAAAATTTTAAAAAAAGGAAATGAACTGAACAAACCACTTTATTTAAAAAAACGTTTAAAAACCATTAGAAAAAGAAAAATAGCCAAAACCTAGCAACACAGATAAAACAGTAATCTGAAAATATAGGGTGAACGAAGAGATGAAGTGACGTTTAATATTTTGTGTTTCTTTAGATGTGGAGTGCAAGGCAAAAAGCACATTATGAGTGCCAAGACATATACGTTTTTATTTCCAATCACAAACAAATTATTGCACAACATGTACAGCTCATCTGCCAAGTCAACGCATGATTCAGATGGGGTTTCACTAAACACAACATGGATATGAATGGCAGATCATAGAAAACTAGTTTGGGATGGGCTGGTCATTCAGAAAGGGAATAAAATTAAACCCATGACTACAGACCAAAGATGATTATACCGCATGCTTAGTGCTCTTTTTCTTCTTAAAGACGTGCTAATAGTGATTTGCCTTACTGGCCAACTGTTCAGTGACTGATACTGGCCACAAGATCAAAAAATTCTGGGAATCGGTTGAGCTTGTAGATTATTATTATTACGTATAAAGCGCCAAAATATTCTCCAGCGCTGTAAAGTAGGTGGACTGAAAAAACAAGAGATTGCAAGAAGCCAAATATAAGAGAAGTAGGTTAGAGGCCTGTTCATATGAGCTTACATGCATGTACGCACATGTGATTATCTGGTTGTGTTTATATGTACTTGTATGTGAATATTTAGCTATGCGTGTATATACGTTTGTGATTGACTAGTATGTTACAGTTTATGTGACTGCCTAGCTGCTATTACGCTTGTATGTACAGGTGTGAAAGACTGTGTACGATTAGATAATTCCTGTATGAAGGGCACTGCTGTAACTGAGGTTGTTGTGTATAATTTTCTTTTCAATAAAAGCAGTTGTATTTCCAAAATAGATTTTCTTTAAAGGGACACTATAGAGTTATCAATATAAATGTTCATTCTTAACGCTATAGAGACATGGTGGCCATTTAGGTCCATGGCCCTAACCTGTACGGAGTAAAAAAGGTATTTTACTTACCTTTTCTTTGTTGCAGAGCTGGTCTCCAAGGTACCATCCCTCCTCGTTGTCTGATATTACACTGCAGGACTAAAACGCAGTGGGACAGTGACCATGTTCTCCTTCTCCAAACTTCTATCACTCGGTCTCTGTCCTTCTTGGTTTTCCTTCCATCTCTCCCAACGCTCATTCAGTGTCTCCTTTTCTAATGATACCTCCTCCCTTCGTTGTGTCTCTGTTGAAGTCCGCCAAGGCTCTATACTTGGTCCTCTTCTATTTTCTCTTTATACTGCCTCTCTTGGCAAATTTATTACCTCATTTGGATTCCACTACCACCTGTACGCTGATGACCCCGAGATATATCTCTCCTCCCCGGATCTCTACCCTGCCGTCCTGCAACATGTCACTGCTTGCCTTTCTTCCATCTCTGATTGGATGTCCTCCTGCTTTTTGAAAATCAATCTCTCTAAAACTGAACTCCTTGTCTTTCCTCCCCCTAATACAGATCCCCCTCTTTCGCTCTCCCTTCAAGTGAGTGGTACCCACATCAGTCCATCCTTGCAAGCGCGTGTCTTGGTGTTATACTTGATTCTGGCTTCACATTTGAGCTTCACATCCAGTCTGTTACCAAAACCTGTAGAATCCACCTTAAAAACATACCCTGCATCCGCCCCTTTCTTACACAAGATGCTTATACTAAGGACCTTGTCCATGCTCTAGTAATCTCTCGCATAGATTATTATAACTCTCTCCTAATAGGTCTTCCCACAAGTCGTATTGCCCCTCTACAGTCTATTATTATTGCTGCAGCTAGACTGATTTTCCTCTCCTGTCACTCCTCTCACACCTCACCCCTCTGTCAGTCCTTACATTGGCTTCCTGTATCCTATAGGAGTCAATTCAAGATACTAATCCACACCTATAAAGCACTGACCAATTCTAGCCCCTCCTATATCTCTTCACTGACCCACAGGTATGCCCCATCTCGGTCTCTCCGCTCTGCCCATTACCTTCTCCTATCTGCTGCTCACACCCATACAGCCAACTCACGCTTGTAGGACTTCTCGCGGGTGGTTGCTTTCCTTTGGTTACTCTGCCTACGACCATCAAGCTCTCCCCTAGTCTTCAATAATTTAAAAAGTGCGTCAAAACCGATCTATTTAGGAACGCTTATGGCCTCCCAGAGTAACCTCTACCTCACATACCTGTCCTTTGCTCTGTCCTAAAGGCCAGCACTCTATTCTCTCCTTCAGCTCTGCTTCACTCCACCATGTTTGATTGCTACCTCCTGTCCTGTTGGGTTTTACGCCCCACCTCCTATAGACTGATAAATTGATAATATTGTAAAGCACTACGGAATATACTGACGCTATATGAATACCAGTGCCTATAGTAGTTTAAAATGTTTCTATGTTTTAATGTTTATTAACATTGTTTAGAGCCTTGTTGATTAATTTTATTAAATGTATATATTGATCAACAAAGTTCTGTAAAGAAGGTTATGTGTTTGTAATGTTTGAATTTAATTATAATTTAGCTTTTACACCTGTCAGATGTGTGAATTAAATTTTACCTCTTTAAGAACTTGGTATGGTTATGGAAATCGGAATTAATTATTGTATGTTTGTGTTTGAGACAAGTAATATAGTATTAGTCCTATTGTTATTGTTAGAGCAGTAGGTATAGATTTACCCAGTTCTCTTGTGATGTCCTGATGACAGTCACATAAGTGCTGGGTCTTCAGCCATTCATTTGGAATTTGTCTCATATCACATTTTTTGTAGTGTATGAATATCACCTAATGTGACAAGCTTGAGTGGACTTTCCTAAGCCAAATTCATTAACGGAAGGCAGTCATTAGGCAATGTGTTCATGTGAAACCAGATAACAGGCAGAATCTATTTGCATACAATTTATATCCCACTCGCAGTTTACTAAGATTAGAAAAATATATTTAATTTAAAACTTAGAATCACGACCATTCCAGTATCATGACTTGCTTCAATGAATCCCTTGATTCATGCAGCACAGAATACAAAAAAAAAAAAAAATGCCATACTCTCTATTATGTGTATCAAATGGAGCTAAGTGCACACTATAATTAGCAGTGAAACAAACTATGGCATCAACTCTATGAAACCACAAATAGCAATGGGTAAATTGTCAAACAAGGAAAATCTCACAAAACTAGTGAAAAGTAACATTTAGGCATGTTTTTGGCTGACACCCCAAACCTTCCTAAAGGAATACTCCAAGCAGCATAACCGCTACATTGCACTATAGTAATTAGAGTGTCAGAAGTGCCTTGGCGCCCTGGCATTGTAGATAGTCAAACCATTTTAGAATAGCTTGACTTCTTATCTGGGGAAAACAGGGAGCAGCTCTGAGTCTCTAAAGCAGCCTCCAGGCCAGTTAGCTCTTTGCCTGAACACGACCTGGCAGTGCTGGGCTTAGGATAGGTAACAGAAATTGGTAAGCAGGTGCTTTTGGCTGTCATGGCTGCTAACAGTAGATGGGAAACAGCGCTTGATGAGCCCCAAGTTAGAATTCAAACAAATGGTTGGATTACTTACATTGGGGGTGCAGTCAGGGCACCCCTGGCTCCATAACCACCATAGTATGTTTTGAGTGTTACCTTAAACCATGTGTAAATATTCAGAAAACAACAATTTGTAATTCACTTTTTTTTTTTTTTTTACCATTTTGTAGCTTAAAGGGACACTATTGTCACCAAAACAACTTTATCTTAATGAAGTAGTTTGGGTGTATAGATCATGCCTCTCCAATCTCACCGCTCAATTCTCTGCCATTTAGGAGTTAAATCACATTTGTTTCTGTCCGTACAGCCCTAGTGACACCTCACGTGGCTGTAACTCTCACAGCCTGCATTAAAAAAAGGGTTTCATTTTCAATCAGATATTAACTTACTTTAGACGTTTTCCCCCCTCTCTCCTGTTCTATAAATTGAACTTTAAAGGACCACCATAGGCAACCAGACCACTTCAGCTCAATGAAGTGGTCTGGGTGCCAGGTCCCCCAGGTTTTAATCCTGCAGCTGTAAACATAGCAGTTTCAGAGAAACTGCTATGTTTACACTGAGGGTTAATCCAGCCTCTAATGGCTGTCTCACTGACAGCCACTAGAGGTCGCTTCCACGATTCTCACTGTGAAAAGCACAGTGAGAAGACGCTAACGTCCATAGGAAAGCATTGAGTAATGCTTTCCTATGGTCGGTTTGAATGCGCGCGCGGCTCTTGCCCATCGGCGCTGGAGAAAGGTAAGTGTTTGCTAGTAATAGCTTGGTAGACCATGCAGGAGATAAGAAATTCTAAATGAAACAGAATTTGCAATAAAGGTAAAGTGTTAAAATTAGAGGTCTCTTTACAGGAAGTACAGAAAATAAAAAATGTTTAGGTGATAAGACCCCACACATCAAGGGTAAGTGCAGCACTAAAAATCAGATAACTTACCTTTCAAATGTTGTATGGGGGTTAATTTTGGACATGGAAAATTAAAAAGAAAGAGGAAAAACAACTTTCAGGTCTAAATTTAACCCCATACAACATCTGAAGGATAAGTTACATGATTTTTAAGCGCTGCACTCACACTTGGGAACAAAGGTGTGGGGTCTTATCACCTAAACAGTGTTTTTCCTGGGGTTTTTTTTTCCAGTATTTTCTAACTTGTGGTTTTGGGGTAACAACAGAGTGTATCGGTTGCTATAAATTATTATTATTATTATTAATTACATTATTATTGTTAATTAAGCACCTTTATCATCACACTTACTTGTGTTGCTTTTTACAGGAAGTGTTTAGGAAGGCTGTGCACGTTACTTGCAGGGAGATGTGACTAGGGTGCATAGTCAAAGTAATTTAACTCCTAAATGGCAGAGAATTGAGCAGTGAGAATGCAGGGTATAATCTATATACCAAAACTGCTTCATTAGGCTAAAATAGTTTTGATGACTAAAGTGTCTCTTTAAAACTCCAACCACTATGATCACTTCAATGATTTGCATTAGTCATGGTGGTAGGAATCTGTACGGGCAACGTTTCTACTTGAAACACCGAAAAATAGAGAGAAATCTGCACTTTTGGGCCTGGGGCTATTTACACCCCTGGCACATGTGATTTGGGCAGCTAGAATTCTGTCAATGTCAATTATGTGCACAAAATACTCCATCATGTACTGCATACTGGCAAAAGACATATTGAGCTGCTCCGTTTCAGGCAGTGCCTACAAAGGGAAGCATTTTTCTCCCCTCCATCTATGAGTTGAATCATCTGCCTCCCAATAAGCTCAGCAATTCTCTTTGTCTTCAATTAAATTTCCAACCCCCCTTGCCCGCTCTGATTACACCTATGTGCTCTGAGCTGGCGAAACAGTCCAATCACATTATTCTCTACGAGAATCCTGTGATTGGATCGTGCAAGGCTCTTTGCGCTCCTTGACTGGAAACATGGAAGTCTATGCCGGGGCATTTTACAAAATGGAAAAAAAAGGGTATGAAAAAAGATCCCATAGATGGAGATGAATATTGTCCGTAGCTAGTTAAGCAGACATGTTTGCAGTGCTTAATAGTTAATGGAGTAATGATGTCAGGAACCCAGTTCTCAAGCTGTTTTTTAAGCACTGTGTATGGATGCAGTGGCAGAACTACCGCGGTCACAGGGGTCGCAGCTGCAACCGAGATATTGATATAATTTATACACTGTACTCAGTGGTGTATCCTGGTTTTGTGCTGCCCTAGGCACCACCACCCAACTCTTCCCCCCGCCCCGCCTTCTAAAATACACATACACACATTCACTGACAGATACCCATACACTAGCTAACAGAAACACACACTCGCTAACAGAAACACACACACACTCACACACTACCAGACACACACACACTGACAGACAGACACTGACAGACACAGACACATTAACAGACACACTCACATTCACTGACATACACACACACTAACAGACATACACACACACACTCACTCACATTAACACATTTTTTTCTCTTTCTCCCTGGACGTCCAGTGGCTGCTTGGCGCTGACGGGCAGCTGGCAAGGGAGCACTTTCCTCTGAGCTGTCTGCTCAGCTCCCTCACGCGCCGCAGAGTGATGCCGGGAACCGGAATATGATGTCATATTCCGGCTCCCAGCCTCACTCTGCGGCGCGCGAGGGAGCTGAGCAGACAGCTCAGAGGAAAGTGTTCCCTCGCCAGCCGCCCACCAGCCCGCACGCCCGGCAGGCTTGTCAGTTAGCCGCAAAGCTAACAAGACATTTGCCCTGGGCATTTGGTGCGGTTTTTTTTGCCGCCCCCTGGAAAATGCCGCCCAAGGTAAATGCCTTGTTTGCCTCGCAGGTAAAACGCCCCTGACTGTACTCACAAAATCACTAGTAGGTGTACAATTTAAAATATACTTGCAAAAAAACTGAGAATATCCAAACTCTGAGAATGGACAAAAGCTTAGAGGAACTCTGCAGTTTAATTGTTACTGCTCACTTGTGCCATTACAAAGAGAATCCACACCATTTGCATATCAGACGGATCCCAACCATAAAGGCAGTGCAGAACTTAAATGCTGGCAAGTTCTCTCTGTACGTAAGACACCGCAACCCGGACAATCATTTCATCTGTCTTTGGGCCTTGTCAGTGAGGTGTAACTGTTACCGCTCCAGGGCCAGGGAGTCCAAGCAAATGCATTGCAACAAAAACAGAGGGATAGCTTAGAGAAAAGTAATAGTTGTAGTTGCAATGCATTTGCATGGGCTCTCTCTAAGGACTAAGGGGTTCATGTCTGCATTACCCTTTTAACTTTGGGAGAGCCAAAGCAAATGCGACTAGTTTTTGCCTAGAGGGGTATCAGCTACACCTCACGGATAAGGGCCTAAAGTAGGCCGAAATAATCGTCCAGGGTTGCGTTATCTTACGTGCAGAGAGAACTTGCCAGCATTTCGATTATGGACTTACCATACGAGTCGAATCAGTCGGATATGTAAATGGTGTGGATTCTCTTTGTAATGGCACAGGTAAGCAATAACTATTTTAGAACTAGCTGAAGGGCAATCTATAAAGTTTCTCTAAGCTTTTGCCCTTTCTTAGAGTTTTCTTATTATCTGTTTTTGTTAAAATATATACTTACCTGATGTTTCTCTTCCATCACACCTAACATGGTCTTCTGAAATGTCCCAAACCGCTGCATTCAAACCCTTACCCCTCCATGTGTGCTTGGAAAGCCCAAGTGTGTCAAAATGTACAGTTGAGTAACTTTTCATCTATACATTTCCTAGAACAATGTCTATCTCAAGTCACAAAATGTCCAGCCCTACACTACTATCCAAGCCTAAAAGATACTTGCCACGGCAAGTCTGGAGAGCCCGGGCTGAATCTCCATTCATCAATACCTAGTGGGGAGTTGAAATTTTGAGCCCTGGTATACATGACATTTAATTCCCTTTGTAATGACCCCAAGACATGTTGGTCATTACAGATGTTAATTAAAGTAGAGAGGAGCACAAATAATAATAATACAACATAAAACAACTGCATGTTACCAGCTACTCTCTATATCGGGGTGCCCAATAAGTAGATCCCAAGATGATGTAAGACTACAACTCCCAACAAGCTTTGCATGCATTTAGAATACCTTTAGAAAGGTAAAGCATCATGGAAGTTGTAGTTTTAAAACATCTGAGGATCTACCTATTGGGCACCCCTGCTCTATATGTTGCAACAGAACTGCAATGGTACCCTGGTCAGAACACAGGAGCTCAGTGAGAATTCTGTCAGTCATTAATCAGGAAGGTAGAGGCGTACTAAAATGACGCAGTGCTTCACTGCAGATGTAATTTATTCTTCTGAAAATGAAATGACGTCCTCTCTCTTTAGCGGAGTCACTATTAGGAAGAGAGTAAGAAATCATTATATAGTGATGATGCTGCCTGGAGCTGCTACACACATTGAAGAACTGTACACAAGTTGTGACATCACACACAGGTTGGAAGGTCAGTGAATAATCTAATAGCAGCCTGACAGAAACCACCCACGCTGCTATGAGAAAGAGACAGCTCACTCTCATGCTGCATTCATCAGAGAGGAATGCGACTAAGACAATATTACCCAAGTTCTAGTTTCTGTACCATACTATGTTTCACTAGTATTCCTATGGAAAGCATGTGCTGCTCTGTCAAGTAGCCAAGAGCTTATATATTGTTCAATATGTTTCATACAGAGTTTTTTTGTTATATATTCAGGAGCATTCTGAACACCATTGCTGTAGTGGTTATGGTGCTAGGACATTACAAATACAGTCCTTTCAGATTTGGTTAAACCATTTTAGCTCTCTTAGTAGATTCAATGAATCAAGCATCAACAGCAAAAAAGCTTCACAGAAAGGTCTGACATATAGCATGGTATTGTGTTTTTATACTCAAACACAACGGATAATGAAACATAGAAACATAGAATGTGACAGCAGATAAGAACCATTCCGCCCATATAGTCTGCCCAATTTTCTAAATACTTTCATTAGTCCCTAGCCTTATCTTATAGTTAGCCTTATGCCTATCCCACGCATGCTTAAACTCCTTTACTGTGTTAACCTCTACCACTCCGCTGGAAGGCTATTCCATGCATCCACTACCCTCTCAGTAAAGTAATACTTCCTGATATTATTTTTAAACCTTTGTCCCTCTAATTTAAGACTATGTCCTCTTGTTGTGGTAGTTTTTCTTCTTTTAAATATAGTCTCCTCCTTTACTGTGTTGATTCCCTTTATATATTTAAATGTTTCTATCATATCCCCCCTGTCTCGTCTTTCCTCCAAGCTATACATGTTAAGATCTTTTAACCTTTCCTGGTAAGTTTTATCCCGCAATCCATGAACCAGTTTAGTAGCCCTTCTCTGAACCCTCTCTAAATCATTGAGTTAAAAGTGGAATTCCTGCCCAGAATCGCTGGACTCTGCAGTTGGCAATATGTTTTACATTTTGGATTTTCTGGTCTCTGATCTGCTGAGAATCATGTGAGATAAATAGTATTATTCTAAATAGTGAATATATAAGCTGGCATGTGTTGGTTCTCCAGCCTTGACTTTATGTACTCTAAAAGAACACTACAGATTGGAGTTGGATCCCTGAAAACTACAAGCACCATAACATTGGCATTGGGCTGTAGTGATTATGGTACCAGTAATGCCCCAGCGTTAGGAACCGCAACATGCAACAGCAATGTCACACAGAGAGAGGCTTTTGGAAGCTGGGTATTCCTAAATTCCAGCAGTAATTGCAGCACAGTTACTTGTGGATTCTTTGCATTATTTCCAATATCCACACAACATGCAGGTCCATTTGTGGGAAGGTGTCCAATGGGGGAGCAGTTAGGGAAATGTACAAGTTCTTTCTCATCATTTTTCTTCCACCATATTTGAAGGTGCCACAGATATCTACAGCGCATAACAAATTATGGTGTATTTTCCGATCATCGTCAACCATGGCAGTCGAGACTCTGTGGATTGCCCATAACACGAGACAAAAATAGTCTCTACTTTGTCTCATATAGAACTTCTGATTGCGTTGGACTTTCAGACGCTTGAACCATTAAAATAGTACGAGTCAGCAACTTGTGCAAAACGTTACTGTATCTAATAATAATAATCTCAGGTACACTAACATTGCAAAGAATGAGAAAACATTAGATTTTAAAAGTAATAATAGGGGTGTTTTATCATTTGTTAAAAATGTGCACTTAATAAATTTGGATCTGCATCCTCTAGCTTAAAGGACATTAGATTTGAGCCCTGCATGAACAGCATTAAAAAAGGAAAAAAAATGCATATGGTTACAGGGAACCTGTCATGACAAGTACTCTTCAAAAGCAAACAATCCCTTAAGCAATGAACATATTTATTTTAGCACAGGGAAAATTTAAAATGTAATTGCTATTTAATTTATTAATCTCCTTTCCAGCAAGCACATCAAGGCTATCAGGCAGGTTCTGTAGGGGACACCCATCCCTGCTCCCCCCTACATCCTGCTTTCCTCCTGTTTGGCTGACCCTGCCAAGTAGGGCACACCTATGCCATGATGCCATCATACCAGCAGTAAAGGAGGAAAAATGAAGGGTAGTGGGACAGGAACCCTTGTGCATGCAGGATATATGAGAGATTAATAATTGAATAATTTCACTTTTCAATTCAGTGTTTTATGGAATGTGAAAGTATACTGACAGTCTCACAACGTCCTCTACATCGGAAATGCACATAGAATGTGGTGATCTGGACGCCAGCCAGGAGTAGGCAGTGTGTCATTCATATTAGGTCAATATAAAACAAAATTATTGCAGTGGTATCATTTAAATACTTTTGTTACTAATGAAACGTTTACTTGATTACTTTGAGAGTACTGTTAAGTGACCCCCTAGAGTAGTCATGGCTAATCTTAGAACTATTTTTCCCATGATGCCCAGCCAGTCTTCACAGACTGCATACGCAGACCCAGTAACCTTGGATTCCAGATTCCATTCTCTAAAAGCCATTTGTAATCGTCAATAGTTTCTTGTTTACATAGATTTTATTTACGGCCTTCACATCCAAGAGCCTGGGAGACAGAGATATGCATGCTGCTCACAAAGCATATAAAAAGTCTTGCTTTTAATATTTAATTAGAGCAGGTAGAATTCCGGTGAATATGTACGCATTTTCGTAGTACCATGTAAAGGGACAGCAAAACCTCAAAACAAAATATACCCTTTGTGAAAGGGAATGATTAATTCTAAATAATAACTATATAATTGCAAACCCCGTGGATATATAGGTTAGCTATAATAATGTGGTTATCATAATATTACTCTAACATTTCTCCATAAGAATGGGTTATGAAGTAGCCTCCTCTTCCCACCCCTTCATGCCTGCCTTGGCACACAAGGTTTTGCGAGTAAAAGGGGTTAAGTTAAAGGGACACTATAGGCACTCTGAAGTGGTCTAGGTGCGTTGTCCCTATCCCACTTATTCCTGCAATGTATAACAAATATTCACATTGCAGTGCTAAGCCAGCCCCTAATGGCAGTCTACCAGACAGCCACTAGAGGCGCTTCCGGGAGAATGCCGCACTCTGGGTTTCTCTGCATGAGGACATCCATTGTCTGTAAAATCCCCACAAGGAAGCATTAATTCAATACTTTCCTAAAGGGGCCTATAGGGGCCACGCATGTGCTTTACATCCCCCTGTCGGATAATGCTGGAGGAGGCAGAGCACTGACCCGGGTGAGTAAAATGTTTTTTGACCCTTCATGCGCCTTGGGTGGCCGCAAGGGAGGGTGGGAGGACCAGAGGGCATTATAGAGTTAGGAAAACAGATTTGTATTCCTAAAACTACAGAATCCCTTTAAGAAGAAGAAGAAGAAAAATATGCACATGTAAGTAAGGTCTCTTGCTCACAACTAATCGTGTTTAAACCATTCTAGAATAGTTTGACTTCTGACTTTTAAGTGGTGGGAGCTCCTCGCTTCAACCACCTAAAGGGAAGCTATAGTGCTAGGAATACTCGGTTGTATTCCTAACACTATAGTACACACCTCCTACACGGGAGTGTGTTATCCTCCCCACCCCCCACGACAGCAAAATTGTTAAAAAAAAAAAAAAAAAACCTTGTCACTTAACTGATTTTAGCTCCAATGGGTCATACACTGGGTTAGGTGCTGGTTCAGATTCCACCTCCATTAGGGGGGCTTAACACGCATGAGTGACAAGCCACGATCAATGCTTTCCTTTTAGTGAACACTGGATGCCTTCATGCAGAGCGTGAGTACGTCCAGCGTCACATGATTAAAAGACACCTAACCAACAGGAAGTGCCTCTAGTGGCTGTCTGGTAGACAGCCATTAGAGGTGGTGTTAACCCTGCAAGGTAATTATCACAGTTTATCAATAACTGCAATAATTACAATCGCAGGGTTAAACTGACAGGGGCACTGCACCCAAACCATTTCAATGAGCTGAAGTGGTCTTGGTGCCTAGAGTGTTCCTTTAATATGAAGAGCCAATAGTTCTCTACCTAAGCTTAGCTTGGTGATTGACTTTATCGCCTTAACATGTGCACACAATGGAGCTGACCCTGGCTCTCTCACAGTTTGTGGCTCATAATCCTTTTATTTTTCTCTCTGTTTTTTCCTGTGTAACTCGCACCGTGAAAAAAAATCTGTATACAGTTTCAAACACTATTATAAGAATACAGGAGACATTTCTGGTAGTCAAAGCCCTACCCTTCTCTCTACCACTGATGTAATAATTGGGAGGTTTCACTTTCTTTTTACCATGAGAAAATCCTTTGAAGGTTAGCAGAATTTTGTGGCATTTCGAAGGGGTTGACCGCTTGCACCATAAACTGTAGTAGTTATGGTGCTTGGAGTGTGCATTTAATTTAAACTTCTGTTTAGTAACAGGTTCCCTTTAACCCCTTAAGGACCAAACTTCTGGAATAAAAGGGAATCATGACATGTCACACATGTCATGTGTCATTAAGGGGTTAACAGACATTCTAAAGATTCCATTCAGTGTCTAAACCTCTAGGTAACAATCTTTGGTTTGTGTAGTGACGTGAGCAATGTCTTATTCACATTTGTTAATTATGTGCATTTTTATACCTCACTGCAATTTGTAAAACACTGTGGCATATGTTGGCACTAAACAAATGATTATTAAAACAACCAAGATAAAAATACACAAAAAAAAAATAAATTATTCAGGTAACATTTCAAGGAAACCAGGAACCAGGATTTAAATAGCACATTTTCCTGTTTGACCAAACCCCATTCATGCATTGTCCTTCTGTTGCCCTTGCTAGAGCTGACAAAATTGATCACAAACAATACACATAACAAGAAAAACTGCTACCATTTAAAGTGCAACTTAGGTAATGTTTCTCAACACCTTGGTTGAGACCTGTATTGAAACTGATTCCTCAGGCTATTTTAATGGGGCCCACTAGAAGTAACAAGTACATTGTACTAAGTCACGTCATGGGCGACCGTCTCACGAAACTTTACTATTGCTGCCTTTCCTTTCACAGAGTAAACATCAAAGCTTTATGAAACATGAGGTTTTGTTCAAAACAACATTTCAATTAACGAAAAACGTGAACTGCCCAGGCTGACAGCAGTCATGGAATAGCTGTGATGAAATGATCACATTCTTTACAGCAGCCTGGGTAGAAGTTCATTCATTTTCATTTATAGCAGTTGTGAAGTTACTGGCCTAACCATTTTTTAGCCTATTAACCTTTCCATGGTTTTATTTATTTATTTTGAACGGAAAAGAAGTTGTAACTGCACATGTGCAGGATCAGTACCAATTGCAGCACAGAAAGTTGTAGAAGTGGGTACTTTTATATGCACGTTATGCAATTATTTGTGAAGGCCAGTGGACATATAACATCATTATATTTTAGACCACTGCAGTTTTATAGCAATGATATAAGGGCATACCTCCCAATATTGGGCGATCAAGATGGATGGACTTCACTAATGATGCCTATAATGGGGCTTGTTAGCCTGGCTGGCCAGCCCCTAACACAGAAAGCCATGTAGAGCACTGTTCCCTCTTCATGGTCTTGGTACCCATCTAATGATGCTGCGCTGTGTTGCCATGGAAAAGGATGCGGGTAATCAGAGAACTAAATCAGGACGACAGGGCAGAACACGAAAACCAGGACTGTCTTGCTGAAGTTTGGACTGTTGGAAGGCCCACTGGCAAGCAGCGACACTGGTTATTGGAGTGTCCCTTTAACTATGACATTCTGCCAATATTAAACATCTGCTCAACTCTTTATAAATCCTGCTTTGATAAAATACAAATGTCTTGACCTAAATGCATATAATTATGCACTGTCGCGCATCGTTGCACATAGACAAAGTATTTTTCAATATCTTTAGTTTGCTTGCCTCTGTGTTTTCAACAAAAAAAAAACAAAAAAAACTTTGGTTTTCTAACAGAAGCAAAAATGTTTGTAACATGCACTTGCTTTATAATGGCTGTGCAAAAGCAATGCAAAATTTGAAAGAAGTCCTTTATTTGCTAAATGGCCCCCATTTATTTCCACATATCTGATTTTTTACATCATTCCTCCCAATTTACCTCCTGGTATTTGACTACTCTGATCAGAGGACAACATTCCGGAAAGTGCAGCCTGTTCAGAGCTACCCACCTCTTTGCAAGATGAGAATGATTTTGATGTATAATTGGTACATTTCAAAGATTTCTGCTAGTGGAGTATATAATTTGCCATTAATGATGTTTCTTCCAGTAGAAGGTGTATGCACTTGTTTGTTTAAAGCCTATCGTTAATAATGAAATTGAGAGAAAAAAAAATGCACACAGAATTTTCTTCCAGAGAAAACTTGACTTTATTCCTTTTACAGGGCCATGTGTGCTTTTTTTCCTTGTGGAAAATATTGAATTCAGTCAGTTATTGTCCCTCAGTCCTACTATGATGACACTCACTTATTTACTAACACTGGTAGTTAAAGGAACACTCCAAAATTAAAAATAAATAGATTTAAAACTTGCAGGGTATCATTGCAGGGTTACTTTTTTTATTCTAGAAAGATAAAGTAAAATAACCGAGCACTAAGACAGTCTCCAAGTCACAGCTACCATGTACGCCAGCAGATCATTGATGTCGATGATCTCTGAGCCAATCCAATGCTTCTCACTGGGGACCTATGTTGCAGCTTTTGCCAATAGAATACATTTACATAGACATGCACTGAAACCAAAGTTTCATTATGAGAAGTGCTCACTATTGCTAAGAACTATAATCAAATTTATAAAAAGTGCCAATTTCTCTTGAAATTAGAAATTTCAATAAATAGGATAGGGGGGACTTTCAGTTAACCACCAAAGTTATTCAGCAAGCTAAAGTGCTTTAGTAGGCGGCATGTTCCTTTAAGGAGAATTCCAAGGGAACTGGAAAATCTAAGGTCATGAAAGCAATACTGCAATATCCTGCTGAGTTACTGACTATTCACAATCTAGTTGATAATATTTCGGATAAATTATGCATTCATTTATACAGAATTCCAAATTATAAATCAATACAAAGTTTTACTGAATCTTAGGCCTGAATAGTTGAGTACGATAGGTTTTTCAATGTTGCAGTTTTTACAAAAAATAAGCAATTCACTTGTCAAAGGCCAACAATTCCTAATTTAAGGAAAACACCGACAACGGATAACACCATGTTTGGTTTCTCCAGTAAAAATGAATAATTGTTCTTGTACTATGTTATGTTTCCCACTTCCTCATTGATTTTCAATATTATTTTGCATAGCTAAAGCTACACAATGCAGAACAGCAGGCTCAACAGGGCATTGTTTTGTGTTTTTTATTAACATTGAGTTCTTGCTTAATTCCATACGTAGCAAGCATATTTTAGCTCGGCAGTCCTAAAGCGCACACACTGACCCGGCCTCTTTAAACATAGCAACCATCAACCTGATACACTCTTACACTATGTGGCTACCAGAACTTGATTGTGGCTGAACTGGTACACATGAAGAAAATAAGAAAAAAATAAATAAAAATAATGACAGTAGAAATAATATATTTATAAAGTCTCAACATATCCCACAGCCTTTTACAGAAAGTAAATAAAGCATGTAAAGGACTATGACAAAAGAAAAATGTAGGCACAGAGGAACAGTATGGGAGAGGATTACTAAATCTACCATATATTCTTGAACACATAATTTCTTAATCCGGAGCAAGACATGAAAAGTGCTGCCATTCTATGGAGTTCAATTCACACTGTGTGTGAATGGAAATGAGATAAAGTAACGTTTCAAGCAACATTAGTACAGTATATTGTAGTTGTCATGGTGATTACATAGTACGACAAGTGCTATAACCAAAATTGGGGAGAATTTCCTGGCACCCAAAGTCTACACTTTTAACTTGAGACATCATATCGATCAAAGTATCTTTACTACAAGAGCAACATTTCCGATGACCAATAACCACTTCATCTTAAAGGAACAGTGCAGTGTTAGTACTACAAATGTGTGTTCCTAACACTATACTTCCCTGGTAGCGGTTTTGTTTCTCAGCCTAAAAGGAGTTAAAAAAAAAAAAAAAGGTTTTTTTTCTTACATTTTCTCCCTCGCAGCTACCATCCTGCCTCATTAGCTGAGATCATTAAACCTAGGACCGCCTAGAACCATAACAACTTGAATGCAGCCTAGAGTTTCCCTTTCAATTGCTTTTAACTTTATTTTATTTTTTTTAACCAAGGGGAAGGGGGCCTGAGTCTAAACTAGTGATGGCGAACCTATGGCACACCTATGGCAAGCGTGGCACAGCTGGCATGCTGAGCCCTCTCTTTGGGCACGAGGCCATAGGTCGCTGGTAGGGTGCCCAGTGGTGTATTCACGGCGAGGCTAACAAGACATTTGCCTTGGTCGGCACTGCCTTGTTAGCCTCGTGTCCAGGGGTCCCCAAGAGCTGGGCGGCAGGCCACCTTTGGGCCGCCCACGAAGCGAGCAGCAGCTTCTATTGTGGGCATGCGGCGAGGGAGTGCTGTAGCCTGAGCTCTTACTGCTCAGCTCCCTCACGCCCCGCTTAGTGATGCCAGGAACCGGAATATGCTCCCGGCATCACTAAGCGGCGTGCAAGGGAGCTGAGCAGTAAGATCAGAGCTCCCTCACCGTCTACTCTGTCAGTTCGCCCCCTGCCTGCCTGTCCAGCAGCCTCACTGGACCTCAGGTGAGGAACCCACTCCAGTTGTCCCACGGAGGCTGGATAGAGTCAAACTAAAATTAAAAAATAAATAAGTAATAGTAGATTTTGTGTTGGGGGAATGGTGTATGAGTGTGTGTCTGTATGCATGTCAGTGTGTGTGTGTGTGTGTGTGTGTGTGTGTCAGTCACTCTGTGTCTATCAATATGTGTGTCTGTGAGTGAGTGTGTGTGTGTGTGTCAGTCACTGTGTGTCTGTCAGTTTGTGTGAGTGTGTCTGTAAGTGTCAGTGTATATATGAGTGTGTGTGTATAATTGTCGTATTTAATTGCCATGTTGGTACTTTGAGGAAAAAAAGTTGTTTTGTATTGCGGTTTGGGTACTCAAGCTAAATGTTCGCCATCACTGGTCTAAACTAAGAAAGGGACACCATTAGTGCTTTAAAGAGTTGTGCCTTGAGTTTGAAAAATTACACGTATGAATTGATTTGACAAAAGTATTGCAGAACAGCACCCATAGCTTAAAAGTGCCCTATCACCTACAATATGCTGCAGTGGTTATAGTGATTGGAGTGCCATTTTCATTATGGAGGGATCCTAAAGATATTGCTCTGACTATTTAAACAAAGAGTCCAGATATACACTGTGGATTTGTCAGCCCTAATAGTGAAGAATAGCAATGCTTAAACTTACTTACAGCTTATAAAAGAATCACATAATAGTAATTTCTACAAATATAACTTATCCAGCGCAAGAAACAACACTATGCAAAGCATCCCAGCAGTATGAGGATCTCATATGACAAACTGTATTCATGTATATATATATATACACACTAGGTGAAAATATCCCTCCAAAGAGACACATTCATCCCAAGCAATGATGTCAGGCCATCGGATAGTTAAGCCCATGATTCCCAACCCCCTACTCTCAATGTGATTTGCAGCCCAGCCCATACAGTAGATGGGGAGAGCATGACTACAAGTCCCAGCATGACTATAAGTCCCAGCATGCATTGATCGTTAGTGTCAGGGAGCAATGCAGCAGTGGCAGGGCAGGCTCTGGGTATCAACAATCAGTACACAGTCCCAGGATGGGATTTCAGTACTCACCCTTTAAAATACGCCTTGACCCGGACCTGGTGGGAATGATCTACTGGCTGGGACATGGTGTTGTCCCGCTGTGTCGGCATGTCCTCCAGGACAAGGGTTCAGAGAGCTATCTAGGGTCCGGGAAACACACACACACACACAGCCAGCCTGGGAATAGTGCTTCTCCTGCGGCCTCCTCACACCTTCTTCCTCCTGCCACTCCTGAGTCCCAGCACAGCCTGGGAGACCGTACCAAGCCGCACACATCCGGGGGAGGGACTGCCCTTCCCAGAACTCAGTCCCACTGCCAGGATAGGTAGGGAGAGGAAGGGCAGAGCCAGAGAAAACACATCACCGCACTGCATCACCCCTACTCATGGAATGACAACAACACAGGCATGAGAACACAGATACAATGTATCAACAGTATATCTAAACCATGTATAAACATTATATTACATAACCACGATAGGCAGCTATACAATGTATTAACAGGTTATAACCACAGACACCTGTACAATCTACCAACAGTATATCTAAACCATGTATAAACATTATATTACATAACCACGATAGGCAGCTATACAATGTATCAACAGGTTATAACCACAGACACCTGTACAATCTACCAACAGTATATCTAAACCATGTATAAACATTATATTACATAACCACGATAGGCAGCTATACAATGTATTAACAGGTTATAACCACAGACACCTGTACAATCTACCAACAGTATATCTAAACCATGTATAAACATTATATTACATAACCACTATAGGCAGCTATACAATGTATCAACAGCTTAAATAACCACAGACACCTATACAATTTATCAACAGCTTATACCCAGACACCTATACAATGTATCAACAGCTTATAACCAGACATCTATACAATGTATCAACAGCTTATAACCAGACATCTATACAATGTATCAACAGCTTATACCCAGACACCTATTCAATGTATCAACATCATATAACCAGACACCTATACAACGTATCAACAGCTTATAACCAGACATCTATACAGTGTATCAACAGCTTATAACAGACACCTATACAGTGTATCAGCAGCATATAACCAGACACATATACAATGTATCAACAGGCTATATAACCACAGACACCTATACAATGTGTCAGCAGCATATAACCAGACAGCTATACAATGTATCAACAGGTAATTCCTACAGACATCTATATACTGTAACAAGAGCTTATACCAAGAGATACCTATACAATGCATCCAGTATATATATAAAAAGCACCTATGTAGTGTTTAAAAACAGTTTAGACCCACAGACGCCAATACATTGTATCAGGAGCTCATACAATGTTTCAACACTGATACACATTGGTACAACGTATCAACATCTTTATACCCACAGCCGCCTGTACAATGTAACAACACCTTATACCCAGGGACAGCTCCATAATGTATCCACTGCTTATACCCACAGACACATCTTATACCTACAATGTTTAACCATAAAAAGAGACACATACACAATGCATCAACATATTATTCCCTCAGACACGTATACAATGTATCGAAGTTATTTGAAGTTAACACTATCACAGTTGTTCACTAAACTGAATATAGTTATAGTTACAGTCCCATTGGCATAATCAAGGATTAATTAGCCATGGTGACAATAGCTTATTACGTTACATTTTTGCCTATATTTTGGTATTGAGATTTTATTTTTATTAGGAGTAACAGAGTAAATACATAGAAGTGACAAAGCAAGCGTTACGATATATTCCAACAATATTGCATACAAATATAGCACAATACATCCAATTACCTTTATACATGCAGACTGGATAGAATATAGTGTACCTGTCTAATCCAAAGATGCTTCATTACTGTGAAAACCAAAGCATACCTAATAATACCGAATAAAACAAAATAATGAAGAAATTTAAAGGAAAAATATTACCTAAGTCATCTTATCAAGTCATTAATCTAGCATTTGTAATAAAGATCATAACAACAATACAAGAAACATTGCCAAAAAATATTTTTCCAGACTATGCTTCACTGACCTACTCTGTTGCCGAATGTCACCCCTTGGTGCTTGTGACGGACCGCCGTCACTGAGTTCCATGCCCACTGCTTATTCGTATGTTTTTCCTTTGTATCGTCTGTTTCCTCTGTGTTTCCCCATTTATTTCTATACATTTCATGTATTGTGTCCTATTCCCCGTTCTGGAGTGTCCATACGAAAGAAACTCGTTCGTCTCCTAAATGGGGACCACCCTGATATCCCAGTTAGGACACTCATTAGAACGTTCCAAAACCGCAAGGAAAATCACTATCGAGTGCTCCCCAGTTTGTACAGCTGAACACCAGCCAGAGGGAGCATTCGTATCCCGAGCAGGTTTGCCCGCACGGTTTCAGGTCCTTCGAGTCAGGGATCGCCCTACCTGCTCCTAAAGGAGCCATAATCACTGCTTCTCCCTGCCCCAGAGATGCGAGGCCAGACTCATAGCTGCTCAGAGAGCGCTCTCTCCTGTGCTACGTGAGTGGAGGTAGACACTGTAGAGAGACACGAGCCCCAGCGGGACCCATGGAGCTGGGAGTCGGCTTTACAGCCACGGAGTCCCCCTGGCCGCCTGGAAGTACATGTCAACAAATAGGAGAGAAGCTCCCATTCAAACTGGGTTCGCGCCATTCTCCTGATAGGCTGGCGCGAGTAAGCGCTGATTGGTCGCTGCGGGGCGCAGGCGACCAGTAGCAGAAGAGCGAAAGTACACAATAGTGTATTTATTATTATTATCTACCTTGAGTGAATTTTTTCTTGTTTTGTGTTTTTATATTAATTACCTTTAAATAAAAGTACTTTTTTATTGGACCAACCTTTGCTGCTATTCTGCTTGAACTACCGTATCCGTGGTGGGGATTGTACAACCCAAGCTGTGTCTTGTCCAGTTACTGGGGGTGGTGGGGAAGGGTTAACCGCTGTTACAGCTTGTGGAGGATGCAGCGGGGAAAGTCCTTGTAAGGACTATGAAGCACCCAGGGCTGTGTGTCGACCAGCACCTGGGGGCGCATAGAGATAGTCCCCAATCCATTTCCCAGCTAAGAAGTGGTCCCTGGCAGAGGTACCCAGCTGGGGTACAGGGAGCTCTGCCACAGTGCCTATTTCATTTAAATTATATAAGGATTTCAAACTTCTGGGTGTACATAAAGCTTTCATGCCTGTCTTAGATAATGTACGCCTGCTGGCACTCCCTAGCACCATGGTCATATGCAACATCATTTAAGTCCTGAGATGCCTACTTACTAGTACAGATCAGTATGGACTGTAGGGATCTGTACAGTATAGCCAAGAGGGCAGGGGCAGTCTAATCTTTGGAGGGGGTGCACAGAACAACAATGTACTGCACTGTCACACAGTACAGCTTGATGGACTTGTGATAGAGTATCTTAATGTTTCTCTGTCTGGTCTGTCAGAGTTGGTCCAGGCTCTAAGTGGCAATGTGAAGGACGAGACAGGTATACCTGAATGTTATATTCTGACCATTTATCTTGCACTCTTATCACTGGGAGGCTTGAAAATCCCTTACAGACTGGGCAGATGAAGAAGAAGATGATTAACAATGATCCCGTATAGCCACACTACCAGCGGCTTAACTAGAAACAACCGGGCTCCGGTGCAAAAATTGCCCTATGTTTCCCCGCCTCTCCAAGTGTCTAATTCCCTCCACCCAGCTCCTCCATGTGTTTCATTCCCTTCCCCACCCCTCCGTGTGTCTCATTCCCTCCTCCAGCTCCTCCATGTGTATCATTTCCTCTCCCGAACCCGTCCATGTGTATCATTTCCTTCCCCCCAGCCCCTCCACATGCCTGAGTCTCCCTTCTCCAAGCCAACTATGTGTATCATTCCCTTCCGAACCCCCAGCCCCTCCATGTTTCTCATTCCCTCCTCCCTCAGCCCCTCCATGTGTCTCATTCCCTTCCCACGCCAAGCCCCTCCATGTGTCTCATTTTTTCATCTCCCTAGCCCCTCCATGTATATCATTTTTTTTCCCTCTAGCCCCTCCAAGTATATTATTCCCTCCTCCCAAGCCCATCCATTTGTATAATTCCCTTCCCAGCTCCCAATCGTCTCATTCCTATCCCCCCCAGCCCTAACATGTGTCTCATTACCTCATCTCTCCCCCTCCCCTCCTGTACCTGCTCTCCATTCCGCTTGGCCACACTACACACAGCGGCAGGAGGGGGGAAGCACAGCACAGTGCTCCCCTCCTGCTGGTCACACGGGAACCACGGTGCCCTTGCCCTGAATTTAAGGTGGCACATGGTCTCAGATGTTGCAGCTGCAGCAGAGCCCCCTGGAGTTACGCCATTGCACACTACAGTCTGCATAACTGGGTGGGATACAAACAGGCAAGGGGAAACATGTATAAAGGAAACCATACAAGGTTAGAAGAAAAACACACAAGGAAGTGAAGGAAGAGACACAAATGGGGTGAGAATGGAATGGAAAGACACACAAGGGCATAATTTGGGTATGTATGTAGACACAAAGCGGGGTAAGGAAAGACACAAAACTGTGTAACCCCATGGGAAATCTTGCAATTGCCCAGTGACATCTGTAAGAATGGTAGAGATACATAAAAATGTTGCTAATAGAAGTGTGGAGCAAAGCTTAACAATGGAACATCACCTTGGAAATCAACAGAATAAACATAAGCATTCCATTGGTTTTCTTCACGAAAGCTCCATGTTTAGAACTTTGATCCATTTTTCCATTGGCACCACATTTATTAATTTGTAAAAAGATAAAGGAGGTTAGCGCTAATAATAAGAACGTCGATGGGCAGCGGCCTAGCAGAGGGTAACCCTCTAACCCTCTATAATAAGAATGGAGAACAACAACAACAGTAATGCAAGGCTGCGACAAAATAAATCACTGTGGATTACAAACAGTAAAAAGCATATAAATGAGACATATACAAAAGTGCAAATAAGATAGTTGGTGTTATGTATAAAATAGTCCAAAGAGGTTTAGCGGTTGCACTACGGCAATAAATGTCTTTTAAGGTGCTTTTAATGAAGGGGTCTCCTCTCTGTTTAAAGTAGTCCAATTTTGCTTGTTATTTGAAAGACAAGAGACCAATCGCATAGAGTGTAGGGTTATGTGAGAAAAAGATATATATATATTCCACTCACATTTGAATGAGCTATAGCCAGCTCAGGTATAACAGGCATCCAGCGGTATGATCCCGCTTGTGGGATATATGGATGATTGTCCTCTGGAGGGAATGATGTCCAACTCTCAGGAAAGGGATATATAAAAACAACTAATAGTGCTCACTGTTTAACAAGGTATAAACGTTTGTTAAAAGAACAAAAAATTTACTTACAAGTACAGTGTAGGCCGACTGCACTATGGTAACAGCGTTGGTGGTATGATCCCCACCTAGGATAAGCTTGTAAATACATGATAAAATTGATAAGATGCCAAGTAGAAGTAAAAAATGTATAGAAAGATAGTTGGCACAGATAGTAACCAAAAAATCTTTAATTATATAAAATACACAATTAATAAAACCATTTATGCGTTTCGCCACTAGGGCTTTTTCAAAATGGGATTTTTTGAAATTCCATTTTGAAATCCCATTGGCCATTAGATAAGGTATGAAAAGGGGGGTAGGGAAGGGATGGTACCCCTTTAAATCAGAGACACATTTAGATATCATATTAATAGGTGTTATTATTATTGATATGTTAAGTAAAACACAATTCAAAAGTATTACAAATGTTATATTTTTAGGAATTTAATAAATAAGTGACATGATGTGGTAACTTATCCTAATGTATAAAACTGCAATCAAAATAGCGTTGTTCCAGTAAATTTAAATAACTATTTTTAAAATAATTATGTAATGTGGCTATAGTCTGTTCCCTCCCCCCCTTCCTCAGCAATAGCAAATAATAATAATAATTATAAAGTATTTAACCAGGAAAGGTACATTCATATTACTCTGGTTTCCAAGTACCTCCTGGGGATGTTACTTTGGCCCAACATCCAGGGGATCGATTGCATTTTTAAGTAGCAAACCAGCAACATTCTCCATTTAAATTGTAATATTAATATTATTTTATTAGCTGTAATGGTTCAATTTCGTTGACAGCACCTTCTTTCTATCTGGCTATATTAACAATCTGTCCGTTTATTTATTAAATCCTGGTGCCCAAAAATAAAAGGATGATACACATTAAATGTTGGTAGCGGTCTGCCCTTATAATGTTAATAACAGTGTGTGAGATATGAGCTGTGTTATGCTATGACCCCCTGGCACTCAGTCCCAGCAGCTCACACGGCGGCCACGTGTGGGGTTAAATGCCCCCACCAGCGGAGCCACGGCGCATGCGCAGCGTCACCTAGTGACGGCCATTAGAAAATGGCGGAGGCCTTGTGAGTAGTAAGTGAGTGAGCGGTGCGGGGTCCTTGGAATGTTAGTGGGCGTGGGTGGGGGGAGTGGGAGTGAGGCTGAGCTGTGCATGGCTCCGGAGAGAAGGAAGGAAGATAATGGGGAGGACACGGGCTGGAGAGAGGGAGGGGAGGTGGAGGCGCCTGTAGGATGCTATTTTTGCCAGTGACGGAGTTCTATATGGTACCCTGACCATTCCAAGTGCTGTGTACTACACTTCCCATGATGCTCAGCCAGCCAGATAGATGTCTGAGCATCATGGGAAACGTAGTCCATAACACCTGAAATGGGAAAGGATAGCCAATACTGAAATGATATGGTATGTGTGTATATAATATAGATATATTAGCCAATTTATCCAATGATAAGTGAGTGGGTGCAGGTTTTTGTATCCCTCACTTTTAGTCTTGCAGGCTGTAATTGTAATTGTACCTATTAAAGCCTTGTGGCACACAAAATAAGTTTTAAATTAAAAAAAAAATAGTTTTATGTTTTTGCTAAAATGTAAATATCAGAAATTTTCAACATAAATTATATGTTGTTGATGCCACAATAATGTTGGGTAGAAGACTGTTTTATTTTTAGGAATGCAGAGTATTTTGTAAACATAATTAGTTACAGCATTGGTTCTGTAAAAATGATGGTTTTGTAGATGTGCCGTTTAAATATATTAGTTAAAAATAAATGTATGTAGTTAGTAAAACAGTCTAATGTATATATTGCAGTGGCACAGTTTTGTGAATAAGAAAAAAAAATCACATTCTATTTATTCTGAGATTGTTGTCATTTATCACTTTGCAACATATGCCTTCATATTCTAATTGCTCTCTTTACATAAAAACTCAAACTTACATATTTGGCAAAGTTGCACTGTTAAAAGATGTTTGCAAATATCTTGTCTGTATTTCTCTAAAACCTCTACCCAAAATAATTGTCACACATACATACATAAATACACACTTTGTTTTTTATTGTGTAGTTCTTTGGGACAGTATTCCTTTTGTGAATTTTTTTTATGCATCTATTTAAACTTGAATTTGAACAAATTTGCTTTGTTCCAATTACTAAAAAATGACAGGATTTAAAACCATGCACTTTGTTAATGTGATATTTTGCCTTGAGCAATACTGATACTGCTGGTTCTGTAATTTTCTGGCACATGTAACTACTTTCTATGTTGCAGATCTAGCCCAAACGCCTTAACATTTGGTTTTATAAGATATAACAATTCAATCTAAAGGGATTGTCAGCGTTTAAAAATACATATTTTTAGACTTTTAAATAAGGCAGTTAAAAAAATGCAATAATTTTTCAAAGTCCATTAAATCTTGCCTCTTTTAGCGTCCTCGTTTATGCTGGGCATTGTCCAGTCAAATGCTTCGCATCATTGTAAGCATAGAAAGTATATTTGGAAACGATAAAGAAACGTATGTGAAAATCTTATTAAATTAACAAATTAAACACAGGATCTTTTTCAAATCCTATGCATCATATAAAATACATGGTGCTGGAATATGTCCAAAATTGCACGTCTGTAATAGTACAGGCAAGCCTGCAGGTTTCAGAGAATTATTGTTTCTTCATGTGAAGTTGGATTTTTTTAACTTTAAAAGGTCTCTCCAAGCTGGTTGTTAACCCATGTTAATTTTTCTATACAGATTTTAACAACTACTAGGTCTTACTGACACTCCCACCCCTTCCTTTATATAAATAAACTATAATATTTTATGCACAGAACTCACATTAAGTAGTTCTGAAGAGAGTTCTGGGCTGCATAATTCACATGTGTGGGGCAATGGGGGAGTGTAATTACACCCTTGCACAAAATCAGAGATTTCTTTGTATAGGCAGCATTTCAATCTAAAGTGGATGCTCAGTTGGTGTAGAAAACCTCCCTACCTATAGGAGATTCCAGCGGGCTTGAAGACGAAATGGATAAAAAAATAAGAGTCCTCTTCACACAAGCTGTTTTCTACTAATGCAGCGCAAAGCTCGTATTGCAGAAACATCTGTAGCCAAGACCCAACATTTGTAGTTAGATTCCCTTGGAAATAATTTATTTGAGAGAATCCAAAGAAGACCATGTAAAGATTTTACATAACATTAGAATGGTTTCAGATTTTCTTTTGGAGTCGACGCCAAAGCTATGGACCGCTTCACTGTGTCCAGACATGCCGCATGGCTCAGAAACTGGATGGAGACTCAGCTTAAAATAATTCAGTTTGTGATTTTATGTTTAAACAAGGGAGGCTCTTTGGGTCTAATCTGCCAGAACAGATGGCAGAGGGGAAAAAGGCCTTACCTGAAGACAGGAAAAGTGGAACAAGACATGTCTGCCTACAGAGATTCATTTTGTAGGCTCGCACTCAAGCAGAAACCAGCAACAACGATTTAATTATAGAAATTGAAAATTAATCGGAAAAACTAAAGAATACCGATTATGATGCCAGAGTTGTAGGAGGAAGACTTCTTACATTTGCTTCACCATGGGAGAATACCACCACAGACAACTGGGTCCTTACTCTTTACTATTGTCCGAAGAGGATACCGATTATAACTAAGACAAAGATTTCTTTGCTCTTAAGTCCAGTTTCCCAGAACTGCTTCAGCCCTGTTTATAGAAGTTCAGACTCTTTTAAAGAAAAATTTAATAAAAGAGCTACCTTACACAGAAAAAAATCAGGAACCTACTGAAGGCTGTTTTTAGTTCAAAAGCCAGGCAGGGCATTCAATCCCATCCTGGATCTGAAAGAAGTTAATCAGTTCATCATTAAGAAAACAATCAGTTTGGAGACCATAAACTCAGCAACACGCATTATCCAAGAAAGGGCTTGACTCAGTTCTCTAGACCTGAAAGATGCGTATCCTATCGCAGAGGAAAGTAAATACTTCCGCAGATTTTGCTTCAGATGGGAAGAATTATTATAATTATTATTATTGCCATTTTTATACAGCGCCAAAAGAGTCCGCAGTGCTTTACAATATTATGAGAGGGGGATTTAACTATAATTAGGACAATTACAAGAAAACTTACAGGAATGATAGGTTGAAGAGGACCCTTCTCAAACGAGTTTACAGTCTATAGGTTTGGAACATTACCAATTCATGCCACTGCTCTTTGATCTATCTTCTGCCCCTCTGGTACTAAGATTCTGGCACTTATCACAGCCACCCTAAGAAAGTGTCCATATTGTCCCATATTTAGACGACTGCCTTCTCATAACATCCACAAAACATCAACTCTTAAGAAGTTATAAGAACAGCTTTGATATGCCTAAACACACATTGATGTATCCAAAAGCAAGGTAAATCTGAATTGGTGCTCAGGTGAGCTAGTCGATTCTTGACTTTCATCATAGACTCTGTTCAGTTGAAGAACTTCCTTTCAGCAGAAAAGAAAGCAAAGATCTTCAGGTCCATAATGGTTCTACAGTCAGAAAAAGGGAAGCAATGAGGCTTTTGGGCCACTTTACTGCTACAATTCTAGGTTTCAGCTGGTACAGGGCAAGGATGAGGTCTTAACAGAGAACTATTGTGGCAGAAAGTGACAGATGAACATCTTCCCTAGACCATTTATTGAAAATATGACCATTCATAATAAGAAGTTTCAATTGGTGTAAGACTTCTGCTTTTTAACAAAAGGTTTTTTATTCAGAATAAAGAATTAACTGATAGTCACCACGGATGCCTCACTAGTCAGTTGGGAAGCCCATATGGGGATGACTAAAGGACAATGGATACTTCAGGATACCAGAAGTAATTAAATTACCGGGAGCGCAATGCAACTTGGTTGGCTCTCCTGAGTTTCAAGAAGCATCTTTGGGGACATTACGTTCAGATAAGATCATATAAATCTACCACAGTAGCATATTTGAACAGACAAGTAGGGACTCGTTCCTACTCCCTGGCAAGGTTGTGCACCAAGGTAATGATCTGATCAGAACATCATCTACTCTCCCTGTCTGTGGTACATATAAAAAGGAGAAACCAATACCTTGGCAGAAGCTCCAAGCAGAAACCATCTGAGATTGGTCTCCCTTATCAGGGAGTTTGGTCTTCCTAATCATATAATTCAGGACGTCCTGACATACAGTGAGGGAAAAAAGTATTTGATCCCCTGCTGATTTTGACCGTTTGCCCACTGACAAAGAAATGATTAGTCTATACTTTTAATGATCAGTGTATTTTAATAGTGAGAGAGAGAATAAATAAAAAAATTTAAAAATCCAAAAAAACGCATATCAAAAAAGTTATACATTTATTTGCACGTCAGTGAGTAAAAAGAGTATTCAACCCCTTCGACTTGGTACTTGGTGGCAAAACCCATGTTGGCAATCACAGAGGTCAGACGTTTCTTGTAGTTGGCCACCAGGTTTGCACACATCTCAGGAGGGATTTTTTCCCACTCCTCTTTGCAGATCCTCTCCAAGTCATTAAGGTTTTGAGGCTAACGTTTGGCAACTCGAACATTCAACTACCTCCACAGATTTTCTATGGGATTAAAGTCTGGAGACTGGCTAGGCCACTCCAGGACCTTAATGTGCTTTTTCTTAAGCCACTCCTTTGTTGCCTTGGCTGTGTGTTTTGGGTCATTGTCATGCTGGAATACCCATCCACGGCCCATTTTCAATGCCCTGGCTGAGGGAAGGAGGTTCTCACCCAAGATTTGACGGTACATGGCCCCGTCCATCGTCCCTTTGATGCGGTGCACTTGTCCAGTCCCCTTAGCAGAAAAACACCCCCAAAGCAAAATGTTTCCACCTCCATGTTTGACGGTGGGGATGGTGTTCTTGGAGTCATAGGCAGCCAAAGAGCTCGATTTTGGTCTCATCGAACTACAACACTTTCACCCAGTTCTCCACTGAATCATTCAGATGTTCACTGACAAACTTCAAACGGGCCTGTACATGTGCTTTCTTGAGCAGGGGGACCTTGCGGGCACTGCAGGATTTCAGTCCTTCACGGCATAGTGTGTTACCATTTTTTTTAATTTGGTGACTACGGTCCCAGCTGCCTTGAGATCATTACCGTGTAGTTCTGGTCTGATTCCTCACCATTCTCATGATCATTGAAACTCCAAGAGGTGAGATCTTGCATGGAGCACAGACTGAGGGAGAATGACAGTTATTTAGTGTTTCTTCCATTTGCGAATAATCGTACCAACTGTTGTCACCTTGTCACCAAGCTGCTTGGCGATGGTCTTGTAGCCCATTCCAGCCTTATGTAGGTCTACAATCTTGTCTCTGACATCCTTGGACAGCTATTTGGTCTTGGCCATGGTGGAAAGTTTGAAATCTGATTGATTGCTTCTGTAGACAGGTGTCTTTTATACAGGTAATGAGCTGAGATTAGGAGCACTCCCTTTAAGAGAGTGCTCCTAATCTCAGCTCCTTACCTGTATAAAAGACACCTGGGAGCCAGAAATCTTGCTGATTGATATCAAATACTTATTTCACTCATTGACATGCAAATCAATTTATAACTTTTTTGACATGCGTTTTTCTGGATTTTTTTTTGTTTTGTTATTTTGTCTCTTACTGTTACAATACACCTACAATCAAAATTATAGACTGATCATTTCTTTGTCAGTGGACAAATATTCAAAATCAGCAGGGGGTCAAATACTTTTTTCCCTCACTGTAGACCTGATGGCATCAAGAACAAACAGAAATAGCTTTGACTTAAAAATTTGTCTGAATCAACCAGTGAGAAAATCTGGACTTTTTGGATTCCCTGATGATTCCCTGGTATTTTCAGCTGGCCTACTTTTCCCCCCAGTTCTTATTCCGCGGATTTTACAAAAAATCATAGTAGAGAAAGCAAAGATCATTGTGATTTTTCCCTTCTGGCCATAGAGGAGCTGGTTTTCAATACTGTTGATCCTGTCAAAGAAAAACTACTGGCATCTTCCAGTGTCAGTCGAAATCCTGGAGGACAGTCTGCTACCTTTACATATTTATAATACCTTCAAGCTCATAGCATGGTATCTGAACATTCTCATGATATCCTAAAATTCTCAGATTTACAAAGCATCAACCTGGTTGTCCAGTCATACTTTCTCCAAACACTATAAATCAGACATACAGACCTCTGGGGATACTGTTTTGGGTGCAAGATGCTTCAGGCTGTGGTGAAATTATGTCTTCCCACCCTTTGGGTGTTGTTTTGTGCCTCTAAATTAGAGGGGAAAGATCACACTTTCTATACATTTTTTCCCCCTTAGGATTACAGACAGTATTTCCCTCCCTATTTAATTAAAAATATTTGTTGCGGTTAATAGTTATGTGTATTTTCTAGGTTTACTGTGACATGTTGGTGTTTTATACCTTATATATGAGGAATAGTAGGAGGGGGTTAACTTTAAAATTTTTAAGGCTGCCTTACTGTCAAGACATGATGGATATTCCTGTTGTGCACTGTTTCTAATCCTAAGGAAAAATACATTTACAGTAAGTAAAATTTGATCTATATAATCTGACAAGATACGACTTCTAAAATAAACACGCTCTCCTAAGATAGGTTTGAAAATGAAATTTTTTTTTCATGAGACTGTATAAACAAAGCTGCAGAAATAAATATATATAATATAATTTCCCATCAGTTTTTCTGCTGGGGCATGGTTCAAGCTCTAAAACCACAAAAGTTGCTTTGTTTCTTAGTTCCCTTATAATTTTCCTGCACTTACTAAAAAAGCTCATTTATAACACTGACATACTTGATTACATTTATAAATGTCCCCATATTTAATGGTTTATGCATCCACGTTTCCATTATTTGAAAACCATTTGGTGATTTTTTTGCAGTGATTCTTCTCCTTAATTCTCTCTTTATCAGCAGTTGGGATTTTGCAACCTGTGCATTGTGTTATAGGTTATACCAGTGGCATACACACAATCCATGGGGCCCCAGTGCGAAACTGATCCGTGGGACCCCTCTCCCCTCCCTCTTCCCCCCCAACAGACACACACACACACACACATACATAGACACATACAGACAGACACATACACACACAAGACACACATACAGACAGGCACACATACCTACAGTCTGACACACACAGACACATACATACAAAGCGACACACATACAGATACAGACAGGCACACACACATACAAACACACATACATACAAACAGACAGGCACACATACATACAGACAGACATACACAGACAGGGCCGGCCTTTGGGCGCCCTGTGCGAAAAATCTTCACAGATTCCCCTTTCCCTCCTTCCCTGTCACACACGCAGACAGCCACACGCAGACAGTCACACGCACACACAGACATAGAAACATAGAATGTGAAGGCAGATAAGAACCATTTGGCCCATCTAGTCTGCCCAGACAGTCACACAGAGGCAGACAGCCACACACAGACAGCCACACACAGACACACATGCAGACAGCCACACACAAACACACAGACAGAGAGCCACACACAAACACACAGGCAGACAGCCACACACAGACAGCCACACACAAACACACAGGCAGAGAGCCACACACAAACATACAGGCAGAGAGCCACACACACACACAGGCAGAGAGCCACACACAAACACACCGGCAGACCGCCACACACAAACACCGGCAGACAGCCACACACAAACACAGAGGCAGAGAGCCACACACAAACACACAGAGAGCCACACACAGGCAGACAGCCACACACAAATACACACACAGGCAGACATAGAAACATAGCATGTAACGGCAGATAAGAACCATTCGGCCCATCTAGTCTGCCCAGACAGTCACACATAGGCAGTCACACACACAGGCAGGCAGTCACACACACACACACACACACACACACAGGCAGATAGTCTCACTCACAGGCAGACAATCATACACACAGGCAGAGAGTAACACACACAAGCAGACAGTCAAACACACACCCACACACAAAAAAGGGCAGACAGTCACACACACACAGGCAGACAGTCACACACAAAGGAAGACAATCATACACACAGGCAGACAATCATACACACAGGCAGACAGTCAAACACAGACCGTCACACACACAGGCAGACCGTCACACACACACAGACAGTCACACACACAGGCAGACAATCACACATAGTTACCTCTGTTCCTTGTGGAGGCAGACAGGCAGTGTAGCTCCTGGATTCTGGTTGTTGGGGGAAGCAAGGACTCCTTCCTGCTTCCCCTGCAGCAGTTACACAGCACTTTAGCTACGCCCCCACCGCAGGTAAGCCCCGTCCCAGCCGAAAATTATTTTTTTTATCCTGTGCGGCCGCATGGTGCCCCCTGCTTCATGGCGCCCTGTGCGGCCGCATGGCGCCCCCGCTTCATGGCGCCCTGTGCGGCCGCACACCTCGCACACCCCTAAGGCCGGCCTTGCACACAGACAGGCACACACACATACTAAGACACATACAGACAGACACACAGACAGACACATACATACAGACAGTCACACACATACATACAAAGACACATACACACATACAGACAAACAGATACACACATAAGACACATACATACAAAGACACATACACACACATACAATCAGACACATACATACATACAGTCCGACACATACAGACACATACATACAGACCGTCACACACAGACAGACACCTACAGACAGACATACATACAGACACATACAGACCCACACACACACAAGACACACTTACATACAAAGACACATGCATACATACATACATACATAGACAGACACACAAACAAGACACACATACATACAAAGACACATACAGACAGACACACACAAACACAGACACATACAAAAAAAAACACACACACACATTTTTAGTCACCCTCCTGTTTCCTATCTTTTAGGTGCAGGGGGGTGACATTCCCTGGGGTCCAGTGGTGGCTCAGGTTGATGGAAGTCAGAGTTCCCACTCCCTCCTCCTTCATCCCACGTGGGCTCTGTGTATGCTGGGAGGAGTGACCAGGGCAGTCACTTCCCCCCAGCAGTGATGTCAGCGCTGACCAGGCCCCCTGACAATCCGATGGACCCCTTGTACGGCGGCCCCGGATGTTTGCCGCCGGGGCCGCAAAAGATGGCGGCAGGTACCTGGTCGCAGGGGTCCGCAGGGTGGCCAGGCCCCCTGGAGTGACGAACCTGGTCGCAGCTGCAAACCTTGTGACCGCGGTGTGTACCACACTGGGTTATACAAAGGCCGTAGTTGCCAGTCTCCCTCCCCCCCCCCAGTTTAAAATGTTAGCTCTGGAACTATTGTTCAAATTAATAAAAAAATTCTTCCTGTTCCAAGAGCTGTGTGTGTTGTCACAAATGGTACTGCTTGTGCATAGCAATGGATGCTTCCAGCTTCTGCAGGGAGAGACGTTGAGGGCAGCAACAGCTGTTCCACTTTAGGATCCAAAATTAATATTTCTGAACTGTTATTCCATGTTTATGAGCCTCCCAGAGGCATTCTTGTTTTATTATTTTAATTACATATTTAACCCCTAAACAACAACAGTGTTATTCACATTTCTGAGTGCACAAAGTTCTAAAACAAATTTGGTTAATTATTATTATTATTATTATTATTATTTTTTTATATATAATTCTCTATTTACTGAAATTATCAAGATACAACGAGGCATCCATGTAGCATATTCTACATTTTGACATTGAAAGGCTGGGACAGAGTCCAAGCAGAGAGATGGTAGTAATAATAATAATAATGGTAAAAAAAAGGGGTGAACAGAAGTAATATTATTAGCAAGGAAATCCCTTAATAACGAAAGTATAAATAGAAAAGACTGTTTGCTAAACATCAGCAATCATATACATATGAACACAGAAATCTTTTTAAAAAGAAGAGAAAAAAGTAGGAAAATTGAAATCGTTGGTTACAGGCAAGGAATTTGAGATAAAAGAACAAATACCTATTTACCTGTTAAGATGTCTTTGGGGCCTGCAATGTGTCGGCTGCACAACAAGACTCCTTCATAAAAGAATTAATGAGACTATTTATAATGTTAGGAAAGGACTTGAAACACATTTTTAAAAACTAATCTGTCAAAAGTCAAAGATAACTAAAACACAAGTTATCATTTTATCTTGAATCACATTATTGCATATTTACAATATTGTATTGTGATTTTAGAGATACAACATTATATTTTGTATGTAAATGCATTTATTCATTGTGACTTAAAATGTTGCAATATGTAAATAAAATTGTGGGTTTTTGTTTAAAAGGACACTATAGGCACCCAGACCACTTCATCTCATTAAAGTGGTCTGGGTACAGCGTCTCTGTCTCCCTTAGTCCTGCAATGTAAAACATTGCAGTTTTAGAGACACTACAATGCTTACGTTGCAGTGATTAGACAGCCTCTAATTCCTGTCAACCAGACAGCCACGAAAGACACTTCCAGAAATTTACCAGTCTCTAGGTCCCCTGTTCATGAGGACATCCAGCGTCAGTTAAATCCCATATGGGAAAGCAGTGATTCAATGATTTCCTATGGGGAGGGCCTAATGTGCTTGTGGCACTCGTTGCGCTTGTGTGTTAGGCCCCTCCCCCAGCCCCCTGTTGATGATGATGTTGGTGGTAGTGGAGTACCAAACCAGCGCAGAGAAACATAAAAAATACAACAAAATCACATAATTGGAAAATATCTAGCAAACTCTGGGTGCAGTTTCTCCAGCTTGACTATTATGACCTAAAATTTTAAATTTACAGGTGAATTTTAAACAAATCCCAGTTTCAATGAATGACCATAAAGAAAAAATAAACACCTTATTTCCCACAGGCAGTATCTGAGCATGCTGTTTAAAGCAGAGTAATAAAAAGGAATAAAATCAGCAACTTCTATTATTAAAATGCAATATACAATTAACAGTGCGCTAAAAAGGGGTGGGTACATTTTAAAATTACTGTTCTTAAAAGCAATTAGTAATGCATTAAAATCTCTTGCTTGCAAATACCCATATTCTCTTCAAATCCTGATAACAAGAGTGCAAAATCTTTAAAAAAAATTTTTTTTTACATTTTGCTCTGCCCAGCCCCCCTACCTTTAGGAGTGCTGGTATGGGCTCCAGCGGAGCGGCTGGCGTGCTGAGCGTGCAGTCCCTGGGGTCCAGTGGGGCTGCTGAATGGCTGGTGTGCGGGCGGCGAGGGAGCAGTGATCTCCCTGCTCAGCTCCCTCGTGTACCTCTTAGTGATGCCGGAGCCGGAGTGACATCATATTCTGTCTCCAGCATCAGTGCTGTGCCCCTCAGGGAGCTGATCAGGGAAAACACTGCTCCCTCGCTGCCCGCTGCCCTTTTATTTTTTAAACTCTTGGCAGAACCCCAATTGGTGTTGGTTCCGCGGAACAGCAATTGGGAAACACCTTCACTAGAGTGACTGTTTCCAGCTTGGCTATTTTTACATTGAGTTTGAAATTCTATTTGAGTTCACCTTGTATTCTCACTTCACTGAATAACCTTTTTAGTCTTGTTTCCATTGGAGGAAAGCAAAGCTGATGTACTGACACTGTTTACACCTGTAAAGGTTGTGTTAACTTGGTACAGATTTTTTATGAAAATGACAAATGTGTGGCCAAAATAGCGTAGCTTCAGGACTCTGATAAGATGTGGCCAGATGACACTATCAAATCTTTTTTCTGTATCTAGACTAATAAGTGACTCCTCTAACCACTTGTCGCGCAGTCATAAAGCCTTGCAGGTGGTCATGCAACACATGCTGATTTCATTGTGTTCTTATTGTGATTGCAAACCTAAGGCACAGCAGAATTTATGGCCTTAATGAGCCAAAAAATCTTAGCTGTGATGGCAAACCAGTGGGACTGTAGCTTTGGTGAACTGTATTGTCTATGATAGTTAGCAACTTGCTGACTGTTAAATGAAATCCATATTATATGGTACATAGTGACAGTTGCTGCATTCCGTGAAATATTTTGTGCCAAGCTAAAAGATATGTAATATAATTGGAAACATGTTTTAAAAAACATATTAAAAACTCCTGAACTGTTAAAAAAAAAATTGAAACTTGTCAACACTTTCATTATTCTCTGTTGATTAATGTGAAGTAATCTACACAGCTTTAGGCAAAATCACACCCATTGATGGCCTATTCACCTTAAATATATCTTTTTTTTAATTTTTTTTTTAAATACTGTAAGTTGTGTAAATGCACCAAGACTGGTGCTTAGAGTGTTCTAACAACAGAGCTGAACCCATATGATCTCCTAACATCACCAAAGATACCCTTTTCAGTCCTCACACTTGACTGAAGTGTGACCGAAAACTTTAAAGTTATAGGCAGCTGACAGCCAGGAGTTCCTTTATGCCACAAATATTCTACTTACTACATTGGCAGACATAGACTGAAAGTTATGTTAAAGTTATATTAAAATTAATACACAGGTTTTAGATGGGTTGGGAAAGGAGTCTTAGTTGGGACGATACAGTGCCATTTTCAGTTAGCTAATTTGGGGAGTGACTATTCCTCTTGGTTGAAAATGGTTGGGTTTAAACTAGTCCTGCACGAAATGACAGCACCGATATGAGTTTTCCTCAGGTGATTTTACTTCTGATGAGCATTGAAGTAGATTATTATGTATGTGTCACATTTGCATCCTGACACTTTCCTAGCATAATAATGACTACACTAACTGTGTTAGCCTTGGATCCTGTCTCTATGAATTCTGTCATCATAGCCTAACTCTGAGATGGAAACTCCTTGGCATCCTAGAAGGGAAGAGTACTTCACAAACATCTGTTGTGATCAATACATGCCACTACTTTCCTGATACTCTTTTTAAACAGTCAGTCTTACACAACATTGTAATGAGAAGCGGGCTCAGCACTGACCACTCCAAATAAACATTTATACACAGTGCAGGATTGCGATTAACAAATGTGCTGCTCTGGGGTTTGGCTTTTATTATAATTTATTTGTGGTGGAATAAAATGTAATGCATGGAAATTTAGTAAGGTTTTTTTTCCGATATATATATAGACCAGTCCAGAGTAAGGAGTATATTTAAAGCATTTTCTAGGTTGTAATGGAATGTACTCCTGGCATGATGTCTAAAGTTGAATATTTCCATTTTTTTCTCTAAGACTCACTGAACACTGAGGAACCATGGAGAATGATCAGGTTCCAACAACATGCTCAGCACCTGTCTCAACAATTACTTCGTCTCCAACCAATCCGCCCCCCATTTCCGTGTACAGCAGTTCAGACCGCCATGCTGTGCAGGTATGTGAATTAAATATACTCCTGGAATAATAATACATCCTTTCTGTGCCTAAGAAAACAGAAACAAATGAAAACAGTAAAAGAATAAATTTGACATGGCCAAAAGTATGTGACTGCCGTTAAAAAAATAATGGTTTGGGGTATTTCAGCCACAACAGTAGGTGGGTAGGTTTATATTATCATGTACACAGCCTTGGTATTTCCATAGACACTGTCACGGTCGCAGTGTGATCTGTTTAAGATTCTGCAGATACTGTAAGAGCAACTTCATCACATTGCAGTGAATCCCATATGTACTGTTGCATAACTCTGTAATATTCAACCGATTTATGTAAAAATGTATCACACACTTGCACTGTATTACGCAGATTATAATGCTGTATGTTTTTCTTCTTTCTGTTAAAGCTAAACAATCTTAATAAAAACAAGACATTGAAGAAGAAAAAAGAATCTGCAGATATGTTCCATACATGTGAACATGCCATAACCACTTCCCTACCCTTTTTAGGATTTACCATTGCTTGCCCCAAGCTGTTGCACTTTCATAAAACGCTCTTTATTTTAAATATAATTTACACAGAATGTGCTCAGAAGGAAAGCCAACTTCTAACATGTTAATGTTCACTTCTTATTCTGTACTTTGCGGTTACTGCTAGAGTATTAGCAGCTGTTGTCATCTGGAATAAATAAAAGATTAATTTAATTATCAAAATAATACAATTGCTTAAAGGGACACTGTAGTCACCCAGACCACTTCATCTCATTGAAGTGGTGTGGGTGTAGTATGCCAGTCCCACTTAGTTCCGGAATGTAAATCATTGCAGTTTTTTACCATTTGTAGGTTAAAGGGGCAGTCTAAGCCAAATAATGCAGCTCATTGCAGCCACTAGTATATGGACAATATCCCACTTTAGTTTGACAGTGGTTTGACATAAATAGGGGTAGCCCTGGCATCATCTTTTTTGCCAACTTGTTAATGCATAACTTACATTACCATAGTACCAATATAAATTCCTTGCGCTGTACTCAATCGACACTGAACATCGATACTTCAATCTTTGCAGGATGATCCCAAAAAGTCTCTTCAATGGCTGTCTGAATGACAGCCACTAGAGGTGGCATTATGAAGCAGTATAAACTCTGCCTTTTGTCTGTAATTTACCATGCTCAGATAGCAGGGACAGGCTGTTTGGTTTTTCCCCAGAACCCCAACCCATAATACTTGCACTGAGTACTAAACTACAGCAATATCTATACTTTTTTAAAAATTCCTAATTCTTAATGCTAAAATCAATAAACAAAAATATACTTGTAGTGAACCTGATAAAATGGACAATCTCTGTGGCATTGCTTTTAATTACCAATTCCAATTTTGAATTCCATAACCCTAATGCTGTTTGCTAATACTAACTCTAATAACTAAAATACTTTGCATCAATTAGTACTGATATGTGAACTGCTTTGCAGTGTCCAACATATATAGGCAAAGACATACAGAGAAGGCTTGGGGATAAAAAAAGTTATAGCAATAAATGGAAACAAACTAATTTTAACTTCCCCTTTTTAGTGAATTAGATATTTTACAAGCAGATGTCCACATGCTTTTGGCCATGTAGTGTGTATACACTGCCTTTGTAGGAGGAGATAGAAAACAAGTTTGAATTGTTTAAAATAAATAAGCTTGGGATGTATGAATCTATGCATAGTTTGGAAGAGGAACAAGACAATTGTTGAAAGCCGAATATGTGTTTCCATTAAAAATATGTATTGTCAGTATCATAATGTGCATTTTCTGCAGCATAGTAGCCATTCTTTCTCTCACCACTAGAGTGTGCTATGCACCTACATTTTTTCCTAATAAGCTGTCACTAGTGTTTCAGTAATTTTTGCACACAGTGATATTTTTCTAACTTTTGGAGGCGGGGAGGATCTATTCGAAACGTAATAAAAGCATAATGACATATAACAAGCAAAATGTACTGCAACACACCATAATTACATTAACAGTAGTAGTATAGATGTGGTATACATCATAAGTAAATTATGGGAAAGCCTGTGTGAAATTATCAATTGTAAGGGTAAATAAATAAAATTGATTCCTAGATATTTATTAGATTAGTACTTAAGAGAACATGTCAAGGAACCCTAACCCAATTAGCTAAACCATTAACATTTTGCAGACAGCAGTGCCTGTGCCCCAAAGTAAGAAGTCAAAACTTTCTAGAATGCTGTAGTGGTTATAGTGCTTCCTTTCAGATAGAAGTTGAGGTAATGAATTGCTGTAGCAATTAAACAGAGAGCAAGTAATATATGTATTATGATGCAGGCTTTATTTTAGAACCTTTCAGTTTGTTAGCATATCAGAAATACAAACTGAAAGTGCTTGCAATGGGCACATACGTGCAGCTGTTCTGTATGCTGTAAACATGACTGTGATATATACTGCTTGATTTCGAAATGATAAGTTACAGGTAGTTCAACGTTTTCAAAAAATTCTTAATGAATCAGTCCTTTATACACAACTGTTCAGATTGCTGCATATGATGTTATCTTATCCCTATTTAAAATAAAATATTTGGGCTTTAGTCACTAACCTGTCAAAGGAGGTGAATATATAAAAAACTTTTAGGATAAAAAATATTTGTACTTTATGTTTATTTATGCACTATCTACTATATACAATATGTTAAATGAACACTATAGTCTTTAGCTTAATGAAGAAGTTTTGGTGTATAGTTCACGTCCCTGCATTCTCACTGCTCAATTCTCTGCCATTTAGGAGCTAGACAATGTGGGAGCCTCTTTTGTGCAATTAAAGTTCAATTTACTTAGCAGGAGAATAAAAACTTTAAGTAAATTATGTCTGATTAAAAATCAAACCATTTTTTTTCATGCAGGCTGTGTGAGTCACAGCAAAGAGAGGTGTGACTATGCTGCGTAAACAGAAACAAAAGTGATTTAACGCCTACATGGAAGAGGATTGAGCAGTGAGACTGCAGGGGCATGCTCTATACACAAAAACTGCTTCATTAAGCTAGCGTTGTTTCAGAGACTATAGTGTCCCTTTAAAATGGAAGAGACCTCTAAGCCTATTCACATATAAGCTTTCATTTGGCCTATGGTCTAGTTTTAGCTTGGAGTCCACAGTCTGTTGTCAGTCCCTCATAGGTACGGAGTTGACACAGCCATTTAGGAGCTAGTGAATCAATGCTTATAAGTAGGCACATAGAGCCTGTTAACGTTCTAGTGTTGTAAAATAAGAAGTTGGGCTTTTATAGTCATAGTAATTTAAAAATGTTTAGTATTCCTGTTTAGAGTGTACATTTATGCCTGGGAACTTGATGCTGCTGTGTTTTGTACCTCATTTTGTGCAATATCAAACTTGCGGGCAATGTTTTATTTTCTTATATTGTTTGTTTTATATGCTGTTTTATCCTCATTGCCTTTTCAAAATAAAGATTTTATTTTAATTTTTTTAAAGTAACTTGGAACTAACACGTAACATGCCATAGGTTATCCAACAGGCTTTAAATCGCCCTCCGAGCTCAGCAGCACAATATCTTCAGCAGATGTATGCTGCACAACAACAACATCTTATGCTACAGACTACTGCGCTACAGCAACAGCACTTAAGCAGCGCTCAACTCCAGAGCCTAGCTTCTGTTCAGCAGGTAAACCATCCTTATTACTGGTTTTGGAAGCGGTAAGTCATTGTAAGTCTGATATTACACTATAATCACATTGCTGACTATGGCAACAGCTTCATGGAGTGGTTAAAACAGTCATCATATGTATGCTACTATTGTAATTCTTTTAATTATATTTGCCAATAAAATTCCCAATCTGTGTTATAGGAAATTATTTTCTCTCTTCAGATTCACTGATAATTTAAATGCACAGAAAATCAGTTATAAAATCCCAATGTGCCATAAATTGCCAGAATATATCCAACAAAGCAAGAATGATAGTGATATGTTAATGTAATGCACCTATCTTTTACTTTCTTTATTTTATATTTTGGAACAATTACTGTGATCATAGTGGAGAGGCATTCTTAAATGTATTGATAATCTATGAATATAGCCAGCAATCCCTGTCTATTGATATAGTGTTAAAGAAATCCTTATTTAATATTTTGATGTAAGATTTATGTCCCAAGCACATCATTATTCCCTAATAAAATAGGTGCCAGGTCCAGCTAGGGTTAACCCTTTTTTATAAACATAGCAGTTTCAGAGAAACTGCTATGTTTATGTTAGGGTTAATCCAGCCTCTAGTGGCTGTCTCTTGACAGCTGCTAGAGGAGCTTGCATGCTTCTCACTGTGAATGCTTTCCTATGGACTGACTGAATGCGCGGGCAGCTCTTGCCACGCATGTGCATTCAGCCGAAGAGGAGGAGAGCTCCCCGCCCGGCGCTGGAGAAAGAGGTAAGTTTAACCCCTTCCTCTCCATCCAGCCCGGCGGGAGGGGGACCCTGAGGGTGGGGGCACCCTTAGGGCACTATAGTGCCAGGAAAACTAGTATGTTTTCCTGGCATTATAGTGGTCCTTTAATGCTTAATCACATTATTCCCCAATATTGCCCTGTGATTGGTTAGTTTTTTTATGGCAACCATCACACTGCAATGAAGGAAATTGTAAAATGAAAATTGCCATTTCAATTTTAATTATTGTGGTGTCCTTCAGCATTTTTCCCTAATGGTGTGGAATAGAGGTAGGAGTCACTTATTGGGCACCTCTCCTAAGGCAGTGAAAGAGTAAATATTATAGCACATCTTTTATTTTATTCGTATTTAGTTTTTGCAAAATACCATCTTCTGCAATATTAGGTAGAATTCACATTTTTCAGACTTGTTTTTTGAACAGACCATTGTCGGCATTATTGATTTTGAATGCAATTTACTTTTTTGAAAAGTTCCTTTTTAATGCCTTTAGCGATCAATCTAAGATCCATAATTTCCTCTCTTTTTCAGGCAAGTGTATCTGGGGATAGAAGATCTGCCTCACCAGGAAGTGCTTCACAGCAATCAAATGTCTCCCAAACCTCTGTAAGTCCTGCAGGTCATGTTTCCTTACATACGGTAACTAATCTGGAAACTCTGTAAATTGATTTTTATTTGCTGTATACCGAGATTAATCAAATGCTTTATATTTTTTTAAATGAAAATATATGTATTTGTAAATATAACATTTAACATGTAAAAACTGAGCTTCACTATAATGTGTCATTTATATATATATATATATGGAAGACTTAATAACCACAAAAATTGCAATATTTATTGAGTCAGTCAGTTGCATGTTTGTATAAATATATACATTTTTACATCATTTTTGTATTCCAATAGTTATATAACTGAGAGATATATAAAAGGTGGAGTATCTTACATCAGATTTCATAAAATTTCAGATTGGAAAGGGTAGATAGTCCTTGGTAGTTATAATCTTAAATAAAGAGAAAAAATCTGATGTAAGATACTCCACCTTTTATAAAAAAATTTGTTGTTAAATATTTGTTGGTGTGGGTTAAGGGGAACCCACACAGGTGTAAGAGTACCACATACGGATTGTACCACTTTGGTGATTTTGCATTTTTATTGTATATATCTGAGAGAGGCAGATTTGTAAATAGACTTATAAAGTATCAGCTCACTAATATTTACATTCCTGCAAAACATAAAAGCATTGTTATAACCGGGAAACTCCCTATATATAAAAGAGCAGCCAAACTTGACAATGTTATCTCTTTTTCATTTATGGACGTAAATTGCCAGTATCCTGCGCTTATTGTAAAGACTTTAATATGATTCTTTAGGTGAATCTCTCTGCTTCACCTCCACCTTCTCACGTTATGAGTCGATCGCAGGCAGCCAATACTACCAGTAGCAGTATCACCCAGAAGACCATGCTGTTGGGAAGCACATCTCCAAGCATAAGTGCAAGCCAGGCCCAGATGTATCTTCGAGCTCAGATGGTAAGTGCGGTATATGAAACAAAAATGGATTTGTTGAATAAAACGATACAAACAAAATCAATCACTCGCTCTTTTAAGTTATGTATCTATTGATTACTAAGCTGTGGTGAATAACAAAGAATCAAACTAACAAATATAAGCTAGCATGTCTTCAACAGAATTAATCATGCGGAATAAATACTTAAATTATCGAGGCTGATTCCATCCAATCTGGGTGGCAGTGATAGGTCAAAATAATTATAGTCCATGTTGTAGCTTTGTAAGAGGCATCTATGCTCAACATAGTATTTTCTATGTAGGATTTTCAGATTCTGCTATTGGGTGGATATAAATGCTGCGTCCCCTAGTATTTTTTAATGAGTACAATATCCCCCAAAATCTCCCCTTTTCTAATTCATTATGTTTTTGTTTTTTTTTGACAATCTTTATTTAGTATCTGTTTCATACGAAGAAACAAGTAACAGTCGGTCTATAGCCTGACCTCTGCTGTGTTGGGGATTTTTGGTCGTCTCCCCACTGTAGTGTTCCCGGTTGTGCCCCAGTCAGCAGTGGTAAGAGGCTAGGCATTAGTACTCCACTCGTGCGTTTAGTTGTTGCCACAAACTTGTTATTTATCATGTGCCCTTTTAATACCAGGGTCTAGTGTACTGCAGTGGCGGTTGCGGAATGCAATTTTCAGTCATAGGGAGCCTCTTAGGAGTCTATGCTTCAAAGTTCGGGGTCCTTTGGCTTTTGCACAGTAAGTTCTCTGTTGTGGGGCCTACGGGCTAAGGCATAGAGGGTTGTAGGGAGCCTATTGCTGGAAGTCAATCGGTAGGCCAGGTTTGTCTGTCATGGGGGATATGTCCAGCTTCTGTCAGTACTGTGAAGCGGTGGATTACCAGTGTGGGAGACTATGCGGTTGTTTCAGGCCTAGTCTGGCTGTCATTCCAGAGGCTATTTTGTGTTGCCGCTATATCTCCCTAACTACTGTTTAAGCAGTGATCTGGGCGTACGACTCTCAAGCTGGTGTGCTGTCTTGTTTCAGTGTGATAGGTGTGGGTAGCGAGTATCTGTCTAGTTGTATCCAATTGTTGGGAGCTCCCCGTCCTATCCAGGGCGGGTCGTGTCCCTACTGTGAGTCTGTCCGCATGAGTATGTATTCCTTCTACTGTCGGTGTCGGTCGCCAGGGAGTCAGTCCAAGGTCCGGTCAGGTGGTAGGGAGGGGTGGGGGATATCGACACAGTGGGAAAGGGTTGGCTGGCGTGTTTAGATATGTGAGCTCCGGGCTTCAGTGGGCCCCTGGGGCGTTGTGTTCCGGGTCACTAGTCTCTTGGCTAGGTAAGAAGCCCATGGGTACCAGGTCAATACACACTGCTCCTGTCTCCCATGGAGATCTGCCGTTAATGTTTCCATTGAGTGTATTTCTTCCACCCTTGTCACCCATTGCTGGAGGGTGGGTGCTCCCTTCTGTTTCCAAATAACGGGGATAAGGGACTTTGCTGCATTTAGTAGTGGTAGCATTAGGGACTTCTTGTATGCCTTTACGGGGGTGGGTGTGTGGTGTAGTAGCATCGTTAGGGGTTTGAGAGGCAGATCTGATCCTGTGACTCCTTGTATCTCCCTCCTGATTTTCTCCCAATATGGGGCAATTACGGGGCATGTCCACCACATGTGGAAGTATGTGCCTAGGTGTGTGCCGCATCTCCAGCATGTGTCTGGTGTGTTCTCATGCATGCGGTGTAGGGTGTCGGGTGTTCTGTACCATCGAGTTAATATTTTGTAGTTCAGTTCTTGGAACTTAGAACTGATAGAGCATTTGTGTGTGAGGGTGTAGATCTTGTCCCATTCCTGTGCTGAAAGGGACTCCCCCGTGTCCCTCTCCCAGTGGTCCTTAAATCGGAGCACCACTTCCCCACCGGTCTGGTTCTGGAGTGTGGCGTATAGGGTCGAGATACCCCTGGGGATGTGAGTTCTGTGTACGCACAGGAGTTCGAAGCTGGTTAGGGGCCTGAGCAGATGCCCACGTCCCGGCAGGGATTGGAAGTATGTTTTTATCTGGTGGTAACAAAACTGTTCGAGCAGCGTTGCATTATGTTTTTATTTCAGATATTAACTTGAAACTTTGATCTGGGATTATTTGGAAACATATTATTTGCTCGTGGAAGTGTACATCAAAAAATCCCTGTAGATGAAGTGAATAAAGGAAATGATACTAATTTCTGCTGTTGAATGTGAATTCAGTATATAAAAGAGAATCTCTGTCTAAATGACCTTTTCCTTTAAAAAAACGTTTCTTCAATAAATAGTTCACAACATGAAATTTTGGGACATGTCATGTTAAACCTAGTGAAACAAAAAAATAATAAAAAATGAAATCATCAAATCCAGATCAACACGTCATTGGCTTTAACCCCTTAAGGACACATGACATGTGTGACATTTCATGATTCCTTTTTATTCCAGAAGTTTGGTCCTTAAGGGGTGAATGATCATACGCATTGACAAACAACTTAGATAATCAATAAAAATGAAAGTAAACCCAAACAAAAAAAAGGTATGTTTTAGTTATTAAATGAAGGATGGATCTATTCACATACTGGGATGTAGTATCAGTTGTGTTGTTAAGTACGAGTCTCAGTGAGGACTGTGTAGTTCTTTATTTGAATGTAGTCAGAATGTTCATTTTCATTAAATTGTTGGTTTACATTTATTTCAGTTGATATTTACACCAGCAGCTACTGTTGCTGCTGTCCAGTCTGATATTCCTGTTATATCTTCATCCTCCTCACTATCTTCTTCCCAGCCCTCTGCAACGCAGGTATGTACAATGGATTATCAATTTTTATGTAGTGATTAGTTAGAAAATCAAAATGTTTGAGCTAATTATTTTATCCTTGCAAACTTTATGGAAGCTTTATTTTCTGTATTAGATCCTTATAGGAATTGCCCATGTATGACTTACAGTTGGTGTTCAGTTCTGTAGAGCAGCACTGGCTAACTTTTAAATGCATGGCAGAGAATGCTAAAAAATGTATGTGGCTAAACCGGCCTCGCCACGTGTCCTTGGAGGGGGCTGCTTGCCCGCCTCTTGCCTTTGGACTATGGACCAGACTTTATGAGAATGTGTTAACCCAGATAGATATGCCATGGAGCCCATTTGTGTAGTTAAAGACTTCGGCTCCATAGCAATTGAACTGTGTGAATAGGATCTGAGCGCTCTTCAGTAGTTTTGTGTGCTCAGATCCCAGCTATCTGGGGATATGTGAAATGTCTGTGTGTTATGTGAAAAGGTTACTTTATGTATTTTAAAGTGTTTTGTGTCTTTTTGCAACCATGTGCTTAATGGAGTCTTGTGTCTGTCCTGGGAGATAATTGAATTACTCTCCAGGATAGAAGACTCTGAAACTGGTTTGGGCCAGAAAGCCATGCTTCATTTAGTCACAAAGGACTTTCCCTTAACTTTTGAACCCCTGGTCTGATTCGTGCCATTTTTTAATATGTTGTTCCCCTGAATGGATTGATTATGAAAATGTAAGTTTTATGTATGTACGATGTTAACTCACAAAGTTATAAAAATGTACAAAAAGTAACTTTTCAGCTTGGAGATAATTGAGTAGATACAGTAATTGACTCAATTATCTCCTAAGCAGAGGGGAGGAATATGCTGGGTGTGTTTCTATTGTCCCATTGTGTCTGATTGGCTGCTGTACTTGCATTGTATGTGTTGTAATGTGTTTATTGGTGGTTCTGCAAAACCCTGTGGGCAGTACTATGTTTTGTGGATTGTAATAAAAACCAGGCTGGGTGTGCCAGCACTGGAGTTCCTGTTTTAACCCTCAAAGTGAAGTGTCGTCTCATTATTGGGGGAAGGATTTATTGTATGCTGTTCCAGTTTGACTGCTAGGAGAGTAAACCTATTCGTATGGTTCCTATTCAACTGTCTACAGCATTCATATGCTTGAGAGGATTCATATGCTTCTCCGGTTCGGTGGTTGTGGTGTCTGCTGCAGTGCTTGGAGTCCTCAGGAAGCGCTAGGAGCATCCTTTAACGGAGGTACCCAGTTGGGGTGCCAGGCGATCCGTTACATTGGTGGCAGCGGTGGGATGGCGTCCTAGTGCGAGGTAAAGCAGCTCAGAGACACCGTTCGTGGAGTTACAAATTGAGGGCAACGCTAGCACACGTGCAGCGCCCCTGGGAGCAGAGGTATCCAGCGACTTGGAGCAGACAAGTATGGAAGGCTCTGGCGATGATTGGATGGCCGAGGTGAGGCAGCGAGTGGCCCAGTATGGGGATGATTTACCCATGGAGGTACGCCGGGTGATCTGGAACCAGGTCACGGCCGAGCGAAACACAAGGCTGGCCCGAGAATTCCGGCTGGCGAAAGAGAGAGAGTATGCTCAGCGGAAGGAGTGTTACAGCAGCCGAGTAGAGGCTGCATCCGAGGAGGCTAGCCGTCTCCCCCTGAGGCGGCCACAGGAACCCGAAGTAGGGGTCCTCATAGACTGGTCCTGTGAGGAACCACAACAGGCAGGTGGAGATGGGACTGGCCCAGATCCCCAGCAGCAGCCGGAGTTGCCAGGTGCGGAAGCAGGTGGTCCTTACTCACAAATGTTGAGGGACCTCACAGACTGGTCCTGGGAAGACCCACAGATGGCAGGTGGAGATGGGACGGCGGTCTCTCTACCGGCCCTACAGGGATGCTGGGCGGCCGGCCCAGATCTCCAGCGGCAGTGTGTACCCCAGGGAGCAGAAGGTGCCGTCCTTCCTCCCCAGCGGCAGTGTGTACCCCAGGAAGCAGAGACCGTCTGTCTCGCACCCCAGCCGCAGGACAAAATATTGAAAGGGGAGACAGTTGGTCCACCTCTCCACCAGCAAAGAGAGTGTCAGGGAGAGGAGCAGGTTACCCCCTCTCCCCAGCGGCAGTCTACAGTTCAGAGAGAGGAGCTTGTTACACCCTCTCTCCAGCGGCAGCCTAACCCACCAAGGGGAGATGTTAAGCCCCACAACTATGCAGATGGGACCGTAGTCTCTGCACTTGCAGCACCAGGGGTAGGGACGGTCGGTCCTGTCCCCCAGCCACAGAGCAGTGTATCCAGAGGGGAGACAGTCGGTCTCCCCCTCCCACAACCAGGCTCCAACCAGGCTACTTCAGTGGTAGCGCTGGCACCCGGGCAGAGTACCGCTGGTCTCTGCCCACTCAGCAACCCACCAAGGCAGTCTACCAGCCCCCCGCACAGCCGTGGTGAGGCACCTGGACATGGACAAGTTGCTATTTTATCCAGGTGTAGTAACCAGTTATTGTGGGTGGGCTGTATTGCTGTTTGTGCTTCGTGGGTGGGTTGCTGGACTAACCAGGGCACTGACCGGCAGGAGGTCAGATACCCTGTTAGTCTGGATGGTAAAGGGGAGAAATGTGGCGAAACCGGCCTCGCCACGTGTCCTTGGAGGGGGCTGCTTGCCCGCCTCTTGCCTTTGGACTATGGACCAGACTTTATGAGAATGTGTTAACCCAGATAGCTATGCCATGGAGCCCATTTGTGTAGTTAAAGACTTCGGCTCCATGGCAATTGAACTGTGTGAATAGGATCTGAGCGCTCTTCAGTAGTTTTGTGTGCTCAGATCCCAGCTATCTGGGGATATGTGAAATGTCTGTGTGTTATGTGAAAAGGTTACTTTATGTATTTTAAAGTGTTTTGTGTCTTTTTGCAACCATGTGCTTAATGGAGTCTTGTGTCTGTCCTGGGAGATAATTGAATTACTCTCCAGGATAGAAGACTCTGAAACTGGTTTGGGCCAGAAAGCCATGCTTCATTTAGTCACAAAGGACTTTCCCTTAACTTTTGAACCCCTGGTCTGATTCGTGCCATTTTTTAATATGTTGTTCCCCTGAATGGATTGATTATGAAAATGTAAGTTTTATGTATGTACGATGTTAACTCACAAAGTTATAAAAATGTACAAAAAGTAACTTTTCAGCTTGGAGATAATTGAGTAGATACAGTAATTGACTCAATTATCTCCTAAGCAGAGGGGAGGAATATGCTGGGTGTGTTTCTATTGTCCCATTGTGTCTGATTGGCTGCTGTACTTGCATTGTATGTGTTGTAATGTGTTTATTGGTGGTTCTGCAAAACCCTGTGGGCAGTACTATGTTTTGTGGATTGTAATAAAAACCAGGCTGGGTGTGCCAGCACTGGAGTTCCTGTTTTAACCCTCAAAGTGAAGTGTCGTCTCATTATTGGGGGAAGGATTTATTGTATGCTGTTCCAGTTTGACTGCTAGGAGAGTAAACCTATTCGTATGGTTCCTATTCAACTGTCTACAGCATTCATATGCTTGAGAGGATTCATATGCTTCTCCGGTTCGGTGGTTGTGGTGTCTGCTGCAGTGCTTGGAGTCCTCAGGAAGCGCTAGGAGCATCCTTTAACGGAGGTACCCAGTTGGGGTGCCAGGCGATCCGTTACAATGTAATACAGCTAAAATCATTTGGAGCGCTAAATGTTAGTGTCACTGCTTTGGCAGTGATAATTCCAACAGATTCACAGTCAGCAAATAAGCAATACAATAAATTGATTTAGCCAGGGAGGATACTTTGAGCTCTCCAAGTAAATGTATATTATTACCCAGCTTGATGTTTTTCATTTTATTGACCTTGGAATAATGGAAGGCTGAATTGATCCTGCCAGATGTAAGACCTGCAAGGTAAAAATGTATTTCAAACAATGTTCCTAAAGCATTAACTACTAGACTATATCAGTGGAACTCCATCTGCAAGTGTTTCCTGTGAAAAAGATGCAGAGATTTCTTCATTCCAGCTGTGACTTTGAAAATGAGCAGCCATTGGTGTAGAAGCAGTGCTTTTTAATGGAATTATTTTAACAGGAAGCAGTGGGAGTATGGGTATACTCTTCCTCTTGCAATTCTTAAGAAGGAATCTGAATAATCTAAGCAGAGCATACTGTTTTTATACCTTACTCATCGGTATGTTCAAGAAATTTGCACAAATCAATACAATTTGCAAAATTTGGCTGTTATTGGTAATAATGCTACATATAGTAAGTACAGCACTTATGTGATAACACAGGTACCTGTATCTGAAAACTAAACTGCAACAATGATCACTTGATATATTCCCATAGCCCCATTTCATCCTTACTTTTAGAACCCTTTTACAGATAAGATAGAAGGACTGACCTGAGGTGGTGCTTGAGATATGTTTCTAAGCCTAGTAAGAACAAGCACAAGGTCAGTAAAGATTGTAATCGTATTTTGTAAATTTCCTCCTGTATAAAAAAACCCACAACAACTCCTTTTATCAGTGGATCTGAGCTGATTGTTGTCATTCATGAATGCAAATGCTTTTTAGAGAAGGAGTTGCTATAAAAGAACTAGATTTTGAAAGCAGTCTAAAATAAAAAACATTGTTCTGAATGAAATTTCAGATTTATCTTGCTATTCAGAATAGCAATGCACAAATTGTAAGCATACATCCCTTTGTCATAAACCTTTTGAATTCAATTAATTGCATTATATGGACCATCAATGGTCACATTTGTTCTGTATGCCTCTGGTTAAAAAAACATAAAATTTTATGTAAACTGGAAAAATAATTTCATGCAGCAAGAACCATGTACATTTAATTCCAGGTTGGTTCTATTCTCTCAATATCAGGCAACCGTGACTATATAGTGATATTCATTAGTAGAGTTTAGGGAACCCTAGCTTTGCCTCTTTGTGTTATAAGCAATCAAAGTATAGATTCACTTCACTTTTTTTTGAGCATGCAGAAAAGCTAATTTGCAAAAGAAATTCCAAGTAACACAGCAACGCAGGTGTTTACTCTGTGCTTCAGTGCCAGCTGGTTCAAACAAAGACACTTGTTTGCATACTAAACAATACAATAAGACAAAAAAATAATTCTATTTCCAGGAGCAAATCATTTCTATCGTTTCTAATTCTACTTCGTCACTGAGATATTTCTTTCAGTTCAATAGTTATGTGAATCAATATACTTTTTGACAGTGAAGTTATATATGATTTATGATATGGACACACGAAACCTCAGGTCCTGAAAACACAATAGGAGCAGGGGTTACGTTTTCTCTCCAAGCGTGATGTTTTCTGAAAACTTGCACTCTCACCTCCTTTACTTCACCAAATAAGATGTCACCTTTAGAAAATGTATAGTTTTTATAGATAAGCTTAATGTATGTGATAATTTAAATTGGGCTAATCATTCACCTAAAGCTCCAGAATTCTCAAGATATGTTACAAAAGCTTAATTCTATGCTGTGTAACACTGCATTGGTGCAAAGATTATTACTACAAGCATTCATAGAAGACCTTTGTCTAACCTCTGTTTCGTATTCCTAACTCTTATGTTTGCCTTAAAGACTTCTCTAGGGCTGCACCATTCCTGTGGAATGCCCTTCCCCTCACTGTTAGACTTTCACCCAGTCTCCACTACTTTAAAAAATATTTGAAAACTTACTTCTATAGGAAAGCATATCAATTAAACAGCTTTCCCTTCCCGCACCCCGATTCCTCTCCTGCAACTGTCATAAGAGCTAAACACTAAGCCCTCAGTAAATACTATCATAGCAACCTACTTTTCTACTCTACCCTTACCTTTTGTGTCAGTATTCCCTACTGCCTCGATCATGTAAACTAATTGAGCAGGGCCCTCAATCCCTCTGTTCCTGTGTGTCCAACTTGTCTGGTTACTAACACATATGTACTAGTCCTCCCATTGTACAGCAATGGGGAATTTGTTGGCGCTTTATAAATAATAATAACATATTCCACAGCGCTTTACAATTCTTCAAAGGGAATATTTTAAAACAAGTAATTGACATGCAAAAATTAACAGAAGCAAGAGGTGAAGAAGGCCCTTCTCTAACGAGCTTACAATCTATAAATTATGGTGCAAAGAATACCCTGCACCCACTCTATCTAAGAATTGTTTATAACTGCTGTCTCATCAGTTATCCAACTTGCACATGCAGTACATGGCCACCACACGCAAAATAAGGTTTTCTCTCTCCTCCACACAGAGAGCAGAGTCTCAGCCATGTGTATGAACATTCGGCTGCTCTGCCTATTGCTGTTTACAGCCCACTTTACCAAACTGTATAAACTGATAGAACTGTGTTATGGCTGTTATCAGTTTATAAAGGATATTATAGTGTATATGTGGGCTAGCAGCTTGTTGATCCAGGGAGTCCCGCTAGTTTGGAGTCTGAATGGAATTGTTTTCCCAGTATGTGGCAAAACTTGAAATCGCCTCAAAATCTCACCTTCTTTTGGATCAGTAATACAGATATGTAAAATGCTGAAGTTGATTTACTTGAAACTTTTTTCAGCCAATGTTACTATGTAACTGTAAAACAGTTCCACTCATTAAAGTGATGAAAGGAACTATACCATTTGCTACTTTTTCAATAATTCCCTCCTGGACAGACACAACAACTAGGACGAGAGGCTTCTGGTTGGGGAAATGATTTTCTGGTGAGGGAGGTGTTTTCCTGAAGTTGCAATCCCCTTATCTAACCTGTGGAAAGTGAGTTTTTTTTTACACTTTTAAGGTATAGGTTGTGCCTATAAAATTGTCAGAACGTAGATAAAATACATTCTAGACACATAAGTTGTTGTATTTGAAAAATGCAATAGTTCTGACCTGCTGTGGCCAGGTTCTCAGGGTTGGAGTCTGGGGTCCTTGTTCTCTATCCATTCCCAACTCTTTCTCCCATCCCTGGCTTTAATGGTTTTATTCACTAATACATGCAGACTATTTCCACTATGGTGTTAATGTAAGTGGAACCTGACTTTGATTGTCTCTTTGTATATGTTTCAATTGACTATGAAGCCTCATGACTTACATGGTGTGTTCTTTAGCTTATTCAGAGGAACACAGAGAACATTGGAAAGAACATCTTATTCAAAGTTGCCCCGAGCAAATTCCATTTAATGTCAATGGCGGTAGAGGCCATGATGTACTTATCGACTTGAGTCAGCGTTTAGTTTGTCTGAATCAACACGCTACCTGCAAAGATGCTCCTGTTGTGCAGAACGCTCCTGAAGGAAGTCTCGCACCCAGTCAGACTATCTCCATTATATATTCACATTGTGTTCATATAGCACAGCCCTTGCCCTCGCCAAACAGTCATACGTTTCCTCTCTCATTAGTTCATGCTCCTGCAATCCCAGGCGTCTCTTTGACACCTTTAACTCTCTTCTTCGCCCCACTGTGGCAACCTCCCAAACTAACCTTACAGCCGATAGCTTTGCATACTACTTTACTGACAAGATTTAGCAGCTAAGGAAAGAATTCTCCCTACCTTGCCGTTCTCTTTCTCAACCACACATAGATCATGCCTTTCCCACCCTTCAGACTTTCTCCCCGGCCACTGAACAAGAGGTGGCTGCGCTTCTCCTTTCCTCTTGCCCCACCACTTGCCCGCTTGATCCTGTCCCGTTTCACCTTATCAGATCTCTCTCCCCTTGTCTTGTGCCTTCCTTAACACACATCTTCAACCGCTCTTTCTCTTCTGGTGTTGTCCCTGCTGACCTTTAAATATGCCACTGTAGTACCTATCCTGAAAAAAAACATCTCTTGACCTGTCCTCCCCTTCTAACTATTGTCCCATATCCTGGCTCCCCTTTTCCTCAAAGCTTCTGGAAAGACTTGTCTTTACCAGTATGTTTCACTTCCTCAATTCCAACGGTCTCCTTGTCCCTATTCAATCTGGCTTCCGCCCTCTCCACTCTACTGAGACTGCTCTTTAAAAAAAATAATTTTTTTTTTTTTTTTTTTGCAGTGCATAGGATGGTTACATACAAGCCTTAGGTACCCCAATGGCAGTCCTCCGACTATTTATCAAGCTTTACATTCAGGGTATTTGAATGAACATGAAATTTTTTTACTATGTCTGTAGTTTACAATTGTAATGTTTCTTAGAACAACGAACAGGATATTTGGTTTGTTCACAGGATGTATGCAGGTATGCCTAGACAAAATATCTCGCCCTTTGAGAGTTTATGAAAAGGGAAAACTATTAATAAACATTAATAAACATGCTGAATTCTGTAGGCAAGTGGACAGTGATAGCTATGCATTCAAGCAGCGGTCAGCCAGGATTGCAAGGTTATGATTACACCTGTTAGTGAGATGCCACATAGAATGTTAGTGTCAGAGCAAGCAGGTCAGTATCAGGCTGGTGTAACCTCTAGAGGTATGTGTAGCAAAGTGCTAGCATGTAAGTTGGCTATAGTGCGTGTGAGACTCACAGAAATTAAAGCCACTGAGGCTCTTCAAGACTGCAAACACAATGCTTATAATCCGCTGCCTCAGTAGGTAGACATTGATAAGAAAGTATAACAAACAAAAACATAACTGTGTAGTCTGCGTACGTTATATTGGGCTTCAGGTCCCACATTTAAAATTAATAAACTTTTGTTGCCTCCGATTGATGGGAGAGGGAGTCTCTGTGTGGTGAGCAGGGTCACAGGCTGCGGGCCGTGCGTCTCATCAGTCCAGTATGCCTCAGCCTATGCCCTTTCTGGAGGCCTTGTGTGCGTACCTGAGATGGTGATCAGTTCGTTCCGCTGTCATGCCGGTGTGCGAGAGGATGTCCCCCGCCCCAAGCTGGTATGCAGACCTGCATTCCTTGGCCACAAACTCGGTCACCTCTAGGGCCCGAGTTTTCTCCTCTTGCGGGAGTAACAGAGGGTCTGGAGATCTTCTGTCGCTTACGTCTGGTTTGCCTCAGTGTGTGTGGGCGATGTGTCCGGGTTCTCAGCGGCTGCCTCTCCCCGGTGCTGGCTTGTGTAGGCCCCATTGGGGGTCCTCAGGGTGTGTGCTTCTCATGTGTTTGGGGTCATTAGCTGCCCCCGGGATTCCCCTGCTTGTCGCTTGCCTTTCTGACGTTTTCCGCTTCGATTTTCGTTGTGTTTACCCCTTGATTTGTTTGTTTTGATCGGGAGCTGTTTCCCGGTGCGTGTGTCTCGCTCGGCAGTTAGGCTCCGCCCCTCTGAGACAGCTCTTCTCAAAGTTATTAATGTTACTAATGACCTAATCGCAGCTAAATCCAAAGGCCACTACTCCATATTAATTCTCCTTGTCCTCTGCAACCTTTGACACCGTTGATCATGCTCTCCTTCTTCAAACTCTTCAATGACTCAGTCTCTGTGACACTGTCCTCTCGTGGTTTTCCTCCTATCTCTCCCAACGCACATTCAGTATCTCTTTTTCTAATGATATCTCCTCCCCCTCATCCTGTCTCAGTTGGAGTTCCCCAAGGGTCTGTCCTTGGTCCCCCTTCTATTTTCTCTTTATACAGCCTCTCTTGGCTAACTTATTACCTTATTTGGATTCCACTACCTGTACGCTCATGACACCCAGATATATCTCTCCTCCCCGGACCTCTCCCCTGCCGTACTGCAACGTGTCACTGCTTGCCTTTCTTCCATCTCTGACTTGATGTCCTCCCGCTTTCTGAAACTCAATCTTTCTAAAGCTGAGCTCCTTGTCTTTCCTCCCCCTTATACTGATTAGGGATCGACCGATTATCGGTTTTACCGATATAATCGGCCGATATTCGGTATTTTCGGCAATATCGGTATCGGCCAATTCAGATACCGATATTGCCGATAATACCTCCTGAGACCGCCAGGCTCATTACAAGCCCGGCGGGGGGGGCGGGCATCAAGCATTTACTCACCTCCCAGCAGCTTCTCCGGCTCCCCAGTGTAACTCTCGTGAGACCCGCGGCCGTCAGAGCGTTGCCATGGATCACCATGGCAACGCTCCGCGCGACACGCTGGCCGCGAGAGTTGCACTGGGGAGCTGGAGGAGCTGCTGGGAGGTGAGCCAATACCACTGGACCACCAGGGACTGCTATATCCCCCCTCCCTGGCCAGGCAACAAGCAGGGAGGGGGGACAACAAACAAAAAATAATAATTAAATCTAAAAAAATAATAATATTAATTTAATAAAAAAATGCCCCCTCACACACACTCCATTATATACACATACACTACACAAACACACTGTGTATATAATGCAGTGTGTGTGTGTATAGTGTGTGTGTGTATACAATGCACACAAATACACACACTGCATTATATACACACACTATACAAACACACACTGCATTATATACACACACACTACACAATATAATGCAGTGTGTTTGTGTAGTGTGTGTATATAATGCTGTGTGTGTGTATATAATATACTGTGTGTGTATACAATGCACACAAATACACACACTGCATTATATACACACACTATACAAACGCACTGCATTATATACACACTACACACAAACACTGCATTATATACACACACTACACACACTGTATATAATGCAGTGTGTTTGTGTAGTGTGTTTATATAATGCAGTGTGTGTTTGTGTAGTGTGTGTATATAATGTAGTGTGTTTATATAATGCAGTGTGTGTGTGTAGTGTGTGTATATAATGCAGTATGTTTGTGTAGTGTGTTTCTATAATGCACACTACACAAACACACTGCATTATATATACACACTATACAAACACACACACACACACTCTGCATTATATAAACACACTACACAAATACACACAAACACTTTGCATTTAGTATATACAGCATTCACTTTATGCACACTACCCACACACTACACAAACACCCTGCTTTCATTATATACACACTACACTAATACACACTGCATCCACTACACACACTCGACAAATACACACTGCATCCACTACACAAACACACATTGCATCCTCAACACACACTACACAAACACACGCTGCATCCACTACATGTGGCATGTATATTTTGTGCATTTACCTTTAGAAATAGTTTTTATTTTCCAAAATGGTAAATGTACAGAATATCGGCAAATTATATCGGCTATCGGCCTGAAAGTTCACAGAATATCGGTATCGGCTCTAAAAAATCAATATCGGTCAATCCCTAATACTGATCCTCCTCTTTCGCTCTCCCTTCAAGTGAGTGGTAACCACATCAGCCAATCCTTGCAAGCGCGCTGTCTTGGTGTTATACTTGATTCTGGCTTCATATTTGAGCTTCACATCCAGTCTGTTACCAAATCCTGTAGATTCCATCTTAAAAACATACCCCGCATCCGCCCCTTTCTTACACAAGATGCTACCAAGGAGCTTGTCCATGCTCTAGTAATTTTTCCACATGGATTATTCTAACCCTCTCCTAATCTTCCCAAAAGCTGTATTGCCCTGCTACAGTCTGTAATAAATGCTGCCGCCAGACTGATTTTCCTCTCTAGTCGGTCCTCTTACACCTCACCCCTCTGTCAGTCCTTACATTAGCTTCATGTATCCTATAATATTTACATTTAAAGTGCTAACCCATACCTATAAAGCATTGAACAATTCTAGCTCCTCTTATATCTCATCACAGATCCATAGGTATGCTCCTTCTCTGTCTCTCCGCTCTGCCTGTGACCTTCTCCTGTCCGCTGCTCGCACCTGTACGGCCAACTCACGCTTGGAGGACTCCTCTCCACCACCATCAGACTCTCCCCTAGTCTTCAATAGTTTAAGAAGTGCCTTAAAACCCATCTCTTAAGAAAGCTTATGGCCTCCCAGAGTTACCTCTACCTCACATACCTGTCTCTTGCTCTCTCCTAAAGGGCAGCACTCTACTCTCTCTTCCAGCTCTGCTTCACTCCCACCTTATTTGGTTGCTGTTTCCTGTCCTAATGTGTTTTATACCCCACCTCCTATAGACTGTAAGCTTGTTTGAGCAGGGTCCTCTTCAACCTATTGTTTCTGTAAGTTTTCTTGTAATTGTGCTATTTATAGTTAAATCCCCCCTCTTATTATATTGTAAAGCGCTACGGAATCTGTGGGCGCTATATAAATGGCAATAATAACAACATTTTGGGTCATTAAGGTCATCATCTGGAGCATGAAGGGCTACCTTTACTGCCATGATAATCTGTATTGTTATTTTCATACTTATTTCGATGGTGCCACCTTTGTGTATTGAATATTTGTTAATATTTCAGATAAAAAAAGTGCCACTGTCAGCTTGGTTGCTGTCACCAGTCATATCTTCATGCTGTTGGTGCTGTCGTTTTTCTTTGTGTAGGTTCAGAATTTAACACTAAGAAGCCAACCAATGCTGGAGATGTCATGTTCACAGAGCAATCCAGCAAAACAAGGCAACCACGACCAGCCACTCACTGTATGTCAAAAAACCACTGTAACCAGCTCTAAAGCTATCTACACAGATTCCTGTTGTGAGAATACCCACAGAGGAGAGAATTCTGAGGCCCGCTGTACAGCTGTAACACGCACGTCGAGTTTACACCAGCTCATAGCACCAGGCAGGTCTCAGACATAACGTTAAAGAGTTTTGTGTAAGGGACTATAAGGTTTATAGTATAAGGGTGTTTACATGTATTTAAGTGCATAAGGCATCTGATAGTTATGACTGATGATTGTTTTGGGCCGTACATATTTGTCAAGGGAAAACACTTGCTGTTCTTGAGCAAAGTGGTAAGTGGTTCTACCACATTCTATGGGTTTCCATGGTGATTACTTCTTCTTTAGTATTTTGCCAAGAATGTCACCTGCTTTTGCCTTGATAAAAATGACAAACTATTTGCTTGTCTTATAACAGTGATGTAAGCCTCAGTGCATTATGGGATTTAGGTTACTGTCCTATCCTTAAAAGGATTGGAGATTAGTGCACCAATTTTCCTGTCTAGGTTGCAGGATATGTAAATCTCAACCTGCATATCTGGTAATGCTGCTTCACTGGTAATGCTATTTTCACTTTGATTTAGTGCTTCACAGCTGAATAGGCTTTCGGAATTAAATTGTTCATAGCTCTGCTAATAAATATTGCCTTACCAGCATGTTTCAATTAGCATGTATATGGAATTTTGCACAGTCTTGCATATAATAGTCTACTGAGCCGTAAATAATTGCCGATTCACAGTAATTTGTGAGGTTATTCACTTAGGATATTTGTGATATAAACAAAACAGTAGGTAAGCAAATGTAAATACTGTTATTTACTTTTTTACAGTGTCATATTCTCCAATTCATCCGCATTCTCTTGGCAAATATCCAGCAATTCCACTCCATTCCGACCCCCCTAAATTGTCCCATCATAAAATGATATTACAGCAGCAGCAACAAATTCAACACAGGCATCAGATTCAGACCATTACCTTACACAATCCAAATATAGAAACCCCTTCTGCTCAGCAGTGTATACCAATTACCAGTATTCCCATTCATACCAGTACTCATTCACATCACTGCACCCCTGTTCCAACCCCACCACCCCCATCTCCAGTTCTCTCACAGTCAGCCCAGCAATCCGTGGTTGTGTCTCCTCAACCAAATCACTCCCCATGTCAGTCTCCTACTATAATTATTCACCCACAAGCCCTTATCCAGTCTCCATCACCTCTGCTCATGCAGTCAGCTCTTCCATCAAGAAATAATTCACATCACACTCTTCACAGTACAGTGCATTCAGCACCGCAGCTAACTCTTCCAGCACACCTTCCACCACTTCCACCGGCTCAGTCACCAGTAACACACAATGGATCATTACAGCACCAAGCTGTAGTTTCGTCTGGGCATCAGTTAATGTCTCCAATAACATCTACACCCCAGTCTGGAGACCATATTCTGCAACCACATAGAGCTTCTTCTCCACATCTACCAGCGACCCCTCCTGCTCAGCTTCAAACACTGCCGCTACAGTCCATGCAAGCAATAGCAGTACAGCCTGAAATGTTAACACCTGGTCAAGTTTTGATGCAGAATGCATTGCTTTCTGAAGAGGAACTTCCTGCAGCAGAAGCATTGGTTCAACTACCATTCCATCCTCTTCCACCACCACAGACTGTTGCAGTAAACTTACACATACAGTCTGCGCAAGCAGAGCCTCCTGTGGTAAGCATTTGGGGCTATATGCAGTTATTTAAACAAAAATTGTCACTTTCCAGAATTTCTTATATTATGTTTACAAGCATAGAAGTAGGAAATAAGAATTTGAGAGGAATGAAAAATTTAACCAATTGTAGAAATCCACACGTCTTTATCCTCCAACTGGGTGCCTCCATTTTAGCTCCTTGTTCGTCATTGTCATAAGCTATGTGGTAGACACCTGTAGGTCAGCACAGAGAAACTGATAAGTAAAACAGTGTTTTTGTTGTTTTACATACCTCCTCCTCATTTGCAAAGTTATCCCTGGCTTTGCCGTGTTTGAACTGGATTAGGATATAATTTGATACATCCTTAGTATTAACATAGCGTCTCTTGAAAAAAGGGAAAAAACATGTTACCGGTGATTTATAATGTTTTAGGGAACGATGTAAATTCTAGAGAAATTACAGCCTTTTATTAAAAAGTGCCCTTATCCAAAGTGCTTTGTATAGATACGCAATCAAACAATCTGCATTTACGTTGAGATAGAAAAGAATATAGGACATAATACACAATGTTGCACAATTCCAATTTATAGAACACAAGTTGCAGTGAACTTATAGAACAATATGGTTGCATAGAAAAAGAGAATAATACATATGTATCACCATCCAAACCGCGTTACAGCTGGGTTACAGGTATTGATCAGTGTGATGGATACTGTTAGGAAAGTTGGGATATTGGGAAGGGTTTAAATCAAGTAAAAAGAAAGAGGAACCGTAAAAAAATTGTTATAAAGTTATTTGTTAGGTGAGGTACTTACAAAAGGATGGGAGAGAGAGGTAGCCGTTTGGATGTGGGTGGGAATTTGTTACAGTGGTATAGGGCTAAGAGTGTGAATGAGCAGAATTGGGAAGGATCGCATTGACAAGAGCTAAAGGAGAGAGAGCAAATGCTTTCCTATGGGGATTTAACTGATGCTGGATGTCCTCATGCAGAGTGTGAGGACGTCCAGTATCAGTAAGGCGATCAAAAGTCACCAAGTGCCTCTAGTGACTGTCAATCAACTAGAAACAAACTCTTAGTACTGCAATGCAATTATTGCAGTTTCTCTAAAACTGCAATGATTTACATTGCATGACTAAGGGGGACAGGAACACTGCACCCAGACCACTTTAAGGAGGTGACACCTGGGTTGTGAGTGAGTGGGAAATGGTCAAAGGATGGTTTATGTGCATAAAAGTGAGGACATCCCTGTCTTTTCCTCATGTTTTTCCTGTCAGAAAGGCAGAAAAAAAATGTAGGAAGAGCGGTCTTGTGTATAGGGGTTCTGAGTATAATTTGCAAAGAAATTAAAGCTGTGAGAAAAGATACGATCAGTTGATGGTGGGAGGAGGGAGGAGGGTAAAAAGGAAAAGGTGAGGGGCCAAGAACTGAGCCCTGAGTTCCCCTCTTGGAAAGGGGGTGGGTGCAGTGAATGTCTTGTTGAAAGAAAATCTATCTAGGATTGATCAGAAATTAAGGATAATATGGAGAAGTGTAATGATGATGTAATTTTAACGTAATTGGGATAGCAGACAGTATATGGGACATATTTCTGCAGGTCTTTGCTGAAATTCATAGCAATAGTAACTATTTACTTAAAGGAACACTTTAACGTTAGGAATACAAATCTACATGCCTAATATCAGGGGCCCTGGTGTGCCTGTCACTACAACCCTTCTTTATTTACCTTGTTTCCAGTGCCAAGGCTCCCTTTGTGTTACTTACCTCTCTTCTCCAGACGCGAGGATCCAATCCAGTGCTCCTCATGGAAGAGAATTGGGAAGATAATGAGCATGCGAGGCAAGCGCTGTGCACATTCAAACTTTCTCATAGCAAAGCATTGAAGCAATGCTTTCCTATGGGGCCGAGTTTTACTCAGTCTGTGCTGCAGAAGCACCTCTATTGGCTGTCAGTATGACAGCCACTAGAGGAGGAGTTAAGCCTGCAATGTAAACATTGCGGTTTCTCAAAAACAGCAGTGTTTTACATTGCAGGGTTAAGGGGACAGGGACGTTGTACCCAGACCACTTCATTGAGATGAAGTAGTCTAAGTGACTACAGTGTTCCTTTAAGAGCAGAATGGATAGAGAAGCCAAAATCAGTCATCAGAAATTCAAAACACACACATAGCTATATAAGGACAATAAGAAGACGAACTCTACTAAAATATATATATATATGCATGTAAAAGCAGGAAATACAATGTAAATGTTATGTCGTAAAGATAGTTATGCTGTATTTTTGTAAATTAGTTAAAAACTATATGTACATAAAAATGCAAGGAAAGCAAATGTTAAAATGGATAATTTGGAAGACATTCAAGTGATTTTGTTCCAGTTCGAGTTCTTGAACAAACACCACCTGTTGCTTTGTTTAAAATATGTAACTAAGAAAGGGCAATTAGGTTGTACTGTTCCAGCAAATCACAAAAGGATTAATGAGTAATCTACAAAGAGCTTGTTATAAATGGCACATGGCAATCATGTATCAGCTTAAGATATTTAATATAGCATGTAAAAAGTGTAGAATTTTATTTTAGCCTTCTACATTTTACTTTACCCTTTTAACATGTTAAGTAAAATTAACATTTACTGTACATTTGTACAGAGTTGACATTGTAACTGTATATTCAAATATATTTTGCATTGGGTAAGATTCATATTTGATGTACAGAGCTGCCAGAGTTCTCCATTGTGAAGCACTTTGTATTCGTAGGTTTATCAGGTTGAAAACATGTGTACTGAAGATATGCCTGTGGTTCAGCCAGACTGTGTCCGTGTGATTGCACACACTCCTACACCTCCAACACTATCTCCACCTGCACTCCCCATTGGAAGTGGAGAGGAGCTTCCTGTAGATCACGTACTGCAAGGTAAACATCAACTCCAGTACCTTCCAAGATGGTTCCCTAAATTGTAGGCTGGGGACAAAACAAGCATAAGAAAAAGTATGTGTGTACAGATGAAAGGCATCCGGTCTGCGAGGAAAGATTTCCATACTTAGAAATATAAGCTGCCTTTTATTTAGTTAGTACAAACATACAAACCTTTTAGGTGAGTTCTACATCTGCATTAACAATTCACCTTGCTGTTTTCAGCTAAAAGGTAACATATATAATGAGACAGAGAGGGGTATTTTTCTAAACTTCTACATACTTATTAACCCTCAAAAGGGAACACATGGGGTGGGTGGCAGCACTGTGACATAACTGTGTAATACTAAAGCAAATACAAACATACAAAATTAAGCCCTGCGCTCAAACTCCCACTACTCCTGGGCGGCAGCAGTGACTATAATACACAGCACTAGCACATATTATAACAAACATTACTTGCACACTACCCAAATCCCTATGCACATTGAAATGGCTGGAGGTTTTTAAATATCGCTTCAATTTGTTTAAGTTAGCCTAGCATTCTGAGCCTGTCATTGCTAAGGATGGACGGATTTGCACTTATTAATGCTGAAATTTGATTTGTGTGATGGGAAGAGCCTGGTATTTTGTCAGACTGCTCCAGAATGGTTTGACCGTTAACTCTTATTACCGTAACCACTAAAATGAGTAACAATAAGCAACATTTTTTATTCACCAGTCTAAATAAAACAAAATATAACTAAACAAAATTTTAGAGCTTTCTTCTCCCCCTTTTAAGTACTATTAAGCAGGTGTATTTATATAAACATAAAACATTTAAATTCTCAATGGGCAGAGCAGGTGTCCACTGCAGGTGAGAAAAGGCTCAAAGTGACTTAAAACAAAGAGTACCTCATGGACGACCTTCATAGAATTGTTGGTGGTATTCACTTAATGAGCAGAATACCTTGTATATTCAAAGAAGACAGACCCAGCCACGACACACCGCAAGAAAATCTTCTGGTGTTCCATAAGTCCAGTCTGACACGTGATGTGATATATTGTGCACACCCAGCAGAACCTATGGCTCTCTATGTCTATGGGTACTTCTCAGAGTACCAATCTACTGATTAATATACTTATGTGTGAAAAACACTGATTTACTGATTAATATTTTATTTATATGATTATAATATAATTAATCTAAAATGTCCACTATAATTTAACACCTATATTTAATACATTTATTGAGTCAGCCAAAGAGACATCAATGATATAAACACCAATAAAGTTGAAAAATAAAGACAAAAACTATTTTCATGACCAAAGCAATAATAATAAAAAAAAATGTATATAATCTCATGCCAATAATAATTCCCCTAATTTCAGATATATTCTTTATCAGGAGTGGAAGACCCTGAGTTCATATGTTTAAAAATAACAAATTATAAATGGAATTAAATACAGTTGGAAACGTGATCAAATTGCACCCCATTAACAGGTTCCACAAGCATAGATGTAATACTTTTATCAAAAAAGTATCTAGGTTGTGATTTGTGATGTTTTGATCATATTTGATGTTTGATGATTTCTGATGCTTCTTGACACCTTGCACAGACTACCTCCAGCTGTGCATTTCAAACAGCAAATGAATAGGTGTAGATCTTAAGTTTAGGAATAGGTCATCATAAAACATATATCCATTGTTTACAGTGCATCTATCACTATGAAAGTACAGCTGCGGGAAGAGAATAAATTAAAGGTGATGTGTAGAGTTTTGTTCTTTTAACCCCACAGGCCTACCAACTCTGGCATCTTCAGTGAGCGCGTCAGTGATTAAATCTCCGTCTGATTCGTCTCATGCCTCCATTCCGGCACCTCCACTTCTCCTGCCCGCTGCTACCACAAGGAGCAATGGTGCTTTAAAACCTAACAGCATCCCGGGACCAGATAACAAAATACCACAGGCCATAGTGAAACCACAGATTCTGACCCATGTTATAGAGGGTTTTGTAATTCAAGAGGGATTGGAACCATTTCCTGTAAGTATGAAAAAGGCAACACTACTGTAAATAGAAAGGAGAGTGATTAAAAAAAAACAAAAAACTATCTTTAATATATGTTCAATGTCTTTTGTTCATCCATTTGTTAATAGGAATGTTATAGTTCTGCAGTGTTACAATATTCTCCATTTTTAATGACCCCTTATGCTGCCTCTTGAAAATCTAATGTCAGCATGTAGTTTTACCCACTATGGAAAGCAAATTCTTAATTGCCTTGTCAAACTCAGACCTTTCTACATTGATTCAGCCCTGAACTGGTATGTCTGGTCCAGCTTAGAGGCAAGGACCATGGGCTTTCCTCCTTCTAGTAAACCTTCCAAATTGGTCCTGCCTTGGATGACAGAAATAGGCTGTGGACATGTCAAATGACATGGAGCACATTGTATTATAACCATACAAGCTTGATAGGTTTGATTGAATAATGCAGATTTTGGACTTCTAAAAAGCTATACATTGCATGCCAGGATAGTTCTAGTTTTTATCAAACTACTTTAAAATGGTTTGACAAAAAAGTTCTGCAGTCAGTTGATACATCCATGACCAGGATTCCTCTAATAAAGAACATAATTAATGTTCTTGAAGACAACTTCCCTTCATCTGAGTGCATGCTCCAAGTGAGCAGAAGCCCTCCACAGCTGGCATGGAGAATAAACCAGACCAGCCAAGAGTGGAAGAGGCGGTTGTGATTCTACAAACACAGAAGAAGTACAGTTTTGCCACTGTTTTAAACTAACATTGTTTCATAGGTAAATCGGTCTTCACTGTTAGTTGAACAACCTTGCAAAGGGCAGACTTGTTCAGATGAACACAACATGGATATCACTCACATGGAACCTGAGATGCAGACCTCAGCAAAGCTTCCCGATAATTCTACTGACACAGATATTGAGGACCTGACTGGTGAGGGTGAGTACTTATTATCAAGTATTAAGACAACAGATCTTCTCTCTTGTACGAACAATTAATGCATTTTGGGGATTTGATCCATTAATTCTGTTTTTACAAATGGTAAAAAAAATCTAGTCTCGTTTTTTGAACATCAGAAAGGAGAGTTTCTGTTTGTGGTTATTCTTTTAGGATTGAGAGAATAATTTAGGGATTTCTTCACAAACTATAATCGTTATATAACCCGTACATATGGGTGCAGTTTTAGAATATGTCATATCATTGTCAAAAGCAAAAACTTATATAACTTAAGTTATATTAACCAAAACTCACATTATTGAAGTCAACGGGCTTCTTTATACTTTTATATATTTGGCCCACTATTATAGTTTTTCTGTTTCTAACAAATATGTTTTTTTTTTTTTTTAATTCCTGTATTATGTATACATTTTCCTTCACTGTACAAGTGAGGTGGTAATGTCTTTGTAAATAATGAGTATTCTTAATTCCCAAAAAGTTCTTAATTTTTAACGCTAACCCCATGTTGAGGACAGTGGGTTTTTTTTCTTCTTCTTTTTAATTTAATCAGATATTTTCCCTAATCTCAGTCTTACTGGTGTACCCCCAAACAGAAGTATCAAAATCCAAGCCCAGGAAGAACTACTCGGACGATCTATCGGTGGAGTTTAGCAGGTGAGGTGCAGGCAGGTAATGCTATCCCATAAGAAGACAGGCGGTGTAAGATCTATTGCTGAAATAATGATGCTCTATACATTAATTATATAAACCAGAGGTTTTTTTTCAGAAATCAAACAAGTGAAATAGAAAATAATGTACTGGGTCTCTAGAGTAATATATGAATCAACATCAATATATTTTTATAGATTATGTTTTCTTAAAAACATTGTAGATGTAGTTGGTGGATAAAGAGCATAAATTAAACGTAAACATACGCAACATACTTTTACCATTGTGAAGAAGAGTGTGAACTTAGATTTGCACTAGGAACTCTACCTCTTTTTTTCTTCTATATACCCTGTGAGCTCTATATCGGGAGAAGGTCTGGTATTACCTCAGTATACCCAAGCTACTGTGATTCGAGCCAATCTTTAGGCTCGGTACCATGTGAGTTGGACATACATTCTCTTCCACTTCCTACATATTCTACTTGCATACTGCACCATGATGTGTATTATCTTTTTGTTTTAGATTTTATACGTTGTTTATTCCCCTAAGTCAACTATTATTGTAATAGGGGTAAGGTATTCATTTATCTTAAAGCGCTCCACTGAGTGATCTCTGTTGGGGGGTAGTATCACCCACTAAGTTCACACTCTTCTTCACAACTTGTTTGTGTAGGACTGGGATACCTGCACGTGTGTTGAGCTGCTGATTACTATTTGTATCACTATTAAGCGCCTTTTTGCACAGAGCACTTTCCTTTTTTATGCTTTTACCATTCGCTATTAGGTTCATATTAAGAGAGCAGATTGATCTGAAAACCTGTGTAACCCACAGTGCACATCTGGGGTGTTTATTTATGTTTTTCAAGTTTGTTAATCGTTTTAAATGTAAGAGGTCTGTGCTGAGCTTCCTTTAGTGGCCAATCCACTCTTGTAATTTCAATGGTGTTTTAAAGTGACTTAACGCATATAAATTTCACAAATGTACATTCGGCAATTGATTTTGTACCTGCAGAATGAGCACCATGATATATCTTTCATACTGCCAATCAAATTGAAAACATATATAAACACTGAATCTCATTGTCATATCCCGAAGACTTTCTGTGTTCTGTCATTTGTGGAGGGTTTTCCATTTATACTGTAATAGTATAAAAGTAAAACATAGTTATATAGACATAAAAGAGACATTAATCCATCAAACCTTTCTCACATCTGGTTTGGTGTTGATCCAAAGAAGGTAAAAATACAAGCTTTTGCAACAAACTAGGGCACAATTCCTTCTCAATCCCAGAATTGCAGCCAGATCTCTCCATTGCTCATGTAGCCTTTACCCTACATATTAAGTTATATCCATGAATATTAAATTAACACTATGGTGTCTTGAATACAAACATGTATTCCATACAGTATAGTGCTGGAATCCATGTCTAGCTCACCGGCTCCCCTCTCTGTGGAGATAAAATGTACTAAACTTTCCTTTTCTCAACTGCCGTGCCTGGTCACACCTCCATGGCTGAGAATATTAATATTAATCCAGTGCTAACGCTGCGCTCCCCATATCAGCTGCCCTTATAGAGATGTATTGAATCAATGGGGAATGTTCAACGCCTCCATGCTGACGCTGAACGTAGGTGCTGCACACTGTGCAGCACTGAACTAGGATGCGCCTCTAATGGCCGTCTGAGTGACTGCCACAAGATGTGTTCCTAGGCAGCAATGTAAACACTGCCTTTTCCCTGAAAAGGCAGTGTTTACAGTACTAAGATTGCACGGATATGCTATAGATACAAGAACCACTACATTAAGCTGTAGTGGTTCTAGTGACTATAGTGTTCCTTTAGATTTTTGCAAGTATTCATCCAGCTACTGTTTTATCTGCACAGACTCTGACAAAACCAGTGCTTCAAGCAGAAAATCCCACATCCTTATTCTTACTGTAAAAAAACAACAACATTTTCTTTGACTAAATCTCATTTCTTCCAGTCTAAATTAGTGACCTTGTGTCCTATGTATAGTCCTGTTTATGAATTGATTTCCAGACAATGGTTTGATTTGGCCCCCAATATATTTGTATAATGCAATCATATCCCTTCTGAGGCACCGTTTTTCAAAACTTAAATTTAAATTTGTTAATTTGTTTTCATAACATTAATTTTGTAGCCCGCCTCTGCATTTTTTCTAGTGTCATAATATCCTTCCATAGAACAGTTGCCCAAAATTGCACAGCAAAGTCTGGTCTTACTATTGATTTATAAAGAGACAAAATTATACGAATGTCCCTTTTTATGCCTGACAATACCTTACTGACCATAGCAGCCGCTGATTGACATTGCACATTGTTGTCTAGTTTGGTGTCTATAACAATTACCAAATCCATCTCATGTGTTTCATTCCCTAATTCACTACCATTTAGGGTGTAATTTAAGTGCCCAGTCCCCTAATCTATCTATCCCTCAGCAGCAAAGTAATATCCTATTAACATTGTATTTGTCTTACCTAAATTTTGTGTCATCTGCAAACACTGAAACATGATTTTCAATGACTATTTCAAGATCATTTATAAATATGTTTAATAGAAGTGGTACCAGAACAGAACCCTGAGGAACACCATTTACCACTTTTCTCCAGCTTGAGAATTTACCATTAATGACAATAATTTAAAATTTTTGACAATAATTAATCATTTTCATCTAGACCAATTTCTTTTATTTTGAACTCTAACCTAATGTGTGGAACTGTAGCAAATGCCTTGGCAAAACCCAAGTAGGCTACATCCACTGCAGTACCCTGATCTATACTTCCACTTACTTCTTCACAGAATGCAATTAAAGGAACACTATAGGGTCAGGAGTACGTAATGTTAAAAACACTATCTAGGTGGCCACCCCCCTTGCCCACTTTATATATAGTAAAAACTTGCCTTTATTCCAGCACCACGCAGGTCTGCTGGCGCTTGCTCTGCCCTTGCCCCGCCTACTTGACTAAGCATAGCAGAACTGACCACCTCAGCGAATCCAATGCTTTTCTATGGGAAAGCACTGGATTGGATGAGATCGTCAATTCAGATGATCTCAACCAAGGAGGCCGGGGCGGAACCAAATGCTAAGCTGGCCAGTCAGCATCTCCTCATAGAGATGCATTGAATAAATTAATCTTTATAAGACATGTTCAGCGTCTCCATGCAGAGCGTAGAGATGCTGGACGTCATGGCTGAACAACGTGCAGCACTGACCCTGGAAGTACCTCTAGTGACCGTCTCAGTGACTGCCACTGGTGGTGTCCCTAGGCAGTAATGTGTACACGAAAATGCCTGTAGAGATATGATATAGATACCAGAAAACTACATTAAGCTGTAGTTGTTTGGTGACTATAGTGTGCCTTTAAGTTAGTTTCACATGACCTATATTGCATAACACCATTTTATTAGTAACAATGCTCTTCCCAGAAAATTCCTAAAATGTATCTCTTAATAACCCTTCAAATACTTTCCCAGTCACAGAGGTTAAGCTCACAGATATATCATTTCAAGGATTTTGATTTCTTTCTAACTATAGGAACCGCATCTGCCTTTCTCCCCAATCCTGTGGTACAAATCCTGAAAGAAAAGAATCCTGAAAGTTTAAAAGCAGAGGTTTGGCTATTTCCACACTTACTTCCTTAAGTACTCGTGGGTGAATACAGTCAGGCCCTGGTGCTTTATTTACATTTACTTTCTTTAGTTTCTGCAGCACCTTGTCCTCCAATCACAGTTTTTCAGCACATTTTTGAAGCAATCATTTGCATATCTCTTGCTATAAGCCTCCTTAAAATATACTGAGGAAACCATTATTATTTTAAATGTCTGCCTTTTCCTGATCTTCATTTACTAACACAAGCATCTCTGATTTTAGCGTACCTACACTCATTTATTTGTGTTTCTAGAATTTGCATCCTTATAAATCCATCATGGCTATAGAGATTGTACCCAAGTGTAAAATCAGTAGACATGTGCAATTCATTTTGGTCCGAATGTGAATTCGGACGAATTTCGGGCAATTTGAACATTCGGGTACTTCCGAATGTCCGAGTATATGAATTGCCGAAGTTCCAAAATTACCGAATTTCCGAAGTGCTGAAGTTCCGAAGCACAGTATTGCCTAAGAACTAATAAACTTACCCAGTGGAAGAACGAAGAATGTTACACTGTTTACAATTTTAAATAAAAAGTATACAAACATAGCCAGGATTCAGCTGTAAGCATTTGCAACACTTACAACAATCAAGTAACACACATTCATATAAAATTTAAGTTACTTAGTCAGTCAGTGTAATTACAGGAATGAATAAGTAGATAACTCCCTAATTACCATGGTATTAGGGAGCTATCTACTAAAAGGATGAAAGGCCTAAATTTGTTTTTCAGCCAAATTTACTAATACTAAGTAAAGATTACTTAGTATTAGTAAATTATGCCCCTACTCGCTATACCGTGAGTAGGGGCATGTCTATTAAACAGTGAGCAGCCCCCGGCCCCCACACCTGAACAGCCGGTGGGGGCCCTACAGTAAAATAAGGGGGGGGACCTAATGTCCTCCCCCCGGCCCCACACCTAAATACTAATAATGCTGCAAATACATCGAAATCTCTAGCACGATATGCAAGCAGCTGAACACCGCACCAGATGTATTTTGTGTCCTTAGGACAAATGTCAGTAAAATAAGCCATATATGGTTAGACAACGGAAGTATTCTGTGTATGCAGAAAACCCCATGGGCCGCTTATCTTTGCCTTGAGCAGCATTTATCACTCTGTGTCCCTGTGGATTAGAGGGAAATAATATGTCAATGTACCTGAGCCTTCACTGTGTGCTCTGAGAGCTGGTGCCGACACCATTAGATATAACTTAGGTGCTCCTAGAAATTATATTTGTTAGTGATCCAGTCACATTAATTGATAAACAATTCTTTGTGTGTTTGTGCCGTGCATGGGAGCCTTTTGCTACCATGTAGCATTGCAAGAATATCCAGTACTGCCAATCACAAATGAATAGCAAGGAGGAAAAAATATAGACCTTGTGCTTATGTGCCCAGAAAGATATATATACAGAAACAGGCCAACCACTAGCCCACAGTACAATAAACACTTAAACAGAAAAGGAACTTTTAACTTAATCGATCCAAAGGGAGATGCCTGGCACAGAAACTCTAATCCTGGACATAATGTTAGCTTAATGAAAACACGCCAAGATAGTGCTATGACTAAGGAGCGTGACATCCGGATCTTTTCGTGTGGCTCTTCCTGTGCTGCTATTTTTTTGTACTTATTGTAAGTGTCAATAAAGTTTTCTATTGTGGTGAGCATTATGTGCCCGTAAGCTAGAGTAACCTTATAAGCAGTTTATGCTGCTGTGTAGTCTCATAACAAATCTATACAGATGTGGGATAGGCCTGTGAAAATGTGACACATATTAATCATTGTATTTTACTTATATAATGTGTTTTTTTTTTTTTTTTTAAATCAAACAACCATGTGGACAGATGTATTGTTTTCCTTGGACTCTCAGAATCCTGTCTAATATATATAATCTCCCTAAATAAAAATGTTACCCCCCTCAGAAGACTAGGGGTCCCCAAACCCCTAGTCACCCCCGCCACCCAAAAAAATTAACCCCTACCTACCCCCCTCACCCTAAAAATAATGAGGAGGGGGACCTTTAACTAAGTACCTGTAAAAAAAATAAAACTTACCATTTGATGTTTTCTTTCTTCTAAAATCTCAGCCCCAAAAAAAGCCAAATAAAAAATCCATAATAACCGACGCAAAAAAAAAAAAGAGCGCAAAAATAAATAATCCATCTTCACCCATGGCGGGCTCCACACAGACTGAGCTCCGCATTAGGCTCAGAGCACTCTGATTGGTGGGTTTAAGCCATCCAATCAGAGTGTTCTGAAAGGTAAATGAAGAGACTGACAGGTAAGTCTCTACATTTACCTGTCACAGCACTCTGATTTGTTGGCTTGAAATCCACCAATCAGAGTGCTCTGTCTCCTTTTACACAGCGTGGGAAAGTTCTTTGGAATTTTCCCATGCTGTGTAATTTGACTCTTAACACTCTGATTGGTGGATTAAGTTTTTATTTTTAATTTTTTTAACAGTGAGCAGCCACAGGCTATAGTGGTATAGCGAGTAGGGGCAAAATTTACTAATACTAAGTAATTTTTACTTAGTATTAGTAAATTTGTCTGGAAGACCAATTTAGGTCTTTCAGCCTTTTGGTAGATAACTCCCTAATAGCGTGGGAATTAGGGAGTTATTTACTAAGTGGCTGCAAGAGAAGTGCCGAAATTCCGAAATGCCAAAGTTCTGAAGTGCCGAAGTTGAATACAGGACATGGCAGAGTGCTATGTAGAAATCTCAAATAGTTTTATTGCATCTTCATGCAAAGCCTGACTTCGTAAAACTCCTATTGGATTGAAACGTTGACTCAGTTTGCCAAATATGTTCATGGGGAGTCCATTAGATAATCGTCAGCACCGGTATTGATGCTTCTATGAAATGCCCTATAGCAAGAATTACAAGGGTAATTACATTTACACACAAGATAATTGCTAAGTCTCCTTAGGCTTTCTGTTTTATTATTGTTCTGTTGATCTTGTGACAGTAACTTATTTATATACCTATATATGCAAATAGTCATAATGTATTTGCTATGCATAGGGGTATGTTGAGTTCTATTTTGTTAATTAGTTCGTACCAGCCGAATAACTACACATCGGTCGGTTAGCTTGATAAAAGTTGTGTCTCTGGTTATGCTGTTCAAAGGGATGGGTGGGGCAGGACGAACCGATCCCTCCTCTTTCCCTACACCTCTTCTTTCGCTGCCTGGACGTTGGACGGGGCCGGGACCACGTTTCCTAACCCACACTCGGGCTAACCCATTGCGACTGGATGGCGGGCACAGGCGCAACCCGGACGGGCTTCCGGGGCGACACACCGCCGTGTCAAGTTGCTGCCCGAGTACCCTCCTGCCAGGAGGGATTAGTTACGGGATCTACGTAATCCCAAGAAGGACCTCTACACCTCACCTATATATACCTTCATACATCACTCCACACATACTACACTAGGACCTCCACACCCCACAGACGCGCACCTCCACTCATCGCTACCAACAAACTCCCACTGCGCACCTAATCTCTCTCGACCCCGTCTCCCCCCCCCCTTTTTTTTCTTCTTCTTCTTCTCTTACTACTTCCTCCCCTCTCTCTCTCTTTTTCTCTCCTTCGTCCGCGCGGGGGGCCCAGGGTCGCTCTCTCGCCGCGGGGGTTGGGGCTCCCCGTGCCTGAATTTACGGCATAGGGGCACAGTTACTAGTCTCCACTATAACAGATGGCGTACCGTAGGGCACCAATATCGATTCTTACCCTCCATTGCAGGGGTCTGAACGCTCCGGAGCGTAGAACTCATCTCTTAAGAGAACTGCCGCGGCTCACGAATGCCCTTAACGCAGTGGTGGAGGGGGGAGATTCGGCCGGGAATCCCTGTCCGCAACAATAACCATTTTACTAAAACTTGGGAAGGACCCACAATGCTTTGGTAGCTATCGTCCGATTTCCCTTATAAACGTTGACACCAAATTGCTGGCAAAGGTGCTTGCTACAAGGATCCAACCCTATCTTCCGCATCTGATTCATGTGGACCAAACGGGCTTTATCCCCGGGCGTGAAGCGTGGGATAGTACCCTGAGACTCTTCTCCATCCAACACCTAGCGAGGAGGAGGGGGGAACGCGGAGAAGGCGTTCGACCGCGTCAATTGGCAGTATATGCAGGCCACGCTGGAGGCGATGGGCCTGGGGCCGACCCTTTGGACGTGGATAGCGACTTTATATAGCACACCACAAGCTTCCATGAGGGTCAATGGTGCCCAGACAACCAATTTTGCGATACATAACGGTACTCGGCAGGGATGCCCCCTCTCCCCACTGTTATTTGCCCTGTCCTTGGAGCCACTTCTACAGGCGATCCGCTTGAACCCGAACATACAGGGGTACGACGGAGGGGGATCCACGCATAAAGTGGCGGCGTACGCGGATGATTTACTTTTTTTTGTCAAACACCCACGAACCACTCTGCCGAACTTGCTGGCGGAATTTGACCGCTACGGTGCAATATCAGGATTTAAACTTAACCTCACAAAATGTGAGGTACTGAACCTTACAATACCCGCAGCGGAATTCAGGGCGCTGGAATCTGAATTCGCATTCAGATGGTGTCACGGCAAAATGAAGTACCTGGGTGTCTGGGTAGCCACAGACCCCGGGAGACTCTATGAGAACAACTTCCAACCCCTCCTGCATACAATAAAAACGGATTTGGCCAGGTGGGCCCTCCCACACATAACATGGCATGGGCGCATAGCAGTGCTCAAAATGAACGTACTACTCAGGGTGCTATATCTCCTACAGACATTACCCATCACACTCCCGGTGTCCTTCTCCTCCCTGAAAACGGCAGTGCTCCGCTTTACGTGGCGTGGCGAGCGCTCCAGATTGCGGCATGACATCCTCTGTTTGCCCAGGTCCAGCGGGGGACTAGCTCCCGGACTTTAGGAAATATTACCAGGCCACGGTCCTCCAGCGCATCCTAGATTGGCACCAGAACCCCTCGCAAAAGCTTTGGGTACAGCTGGACAGGGAGGCAACGGAGGGTAGGATAGAAAGCATGATCTGGGGAGGGGACCTGGGGCCTCGGGAGCGGGGAGTCGAGGAGGGACCGGTCGCACGCACACTCCGGGGCTGGAAATCTCTAAGGGAAAAGCTAAACATATCACCCACGCCTAGTCCATTTCTCCCGGTGACACTTAACAGAGGCATTGGCGGAGGCATGCCGGCCGGAGCATGGAGTTTCCTGGGGGAGGGGGACTATATACCTATACGTCGGGTCCTGGGCGCCAACGGACTTAGGGGCCTTGACTCGATTCTGGAGGGGAGACCACGGACCCTCATGATTATCCTGCGATACCTGCAGCTGAAACACTACTACACGAAGCTGCCACACAGAGAACGTCTCCACAGGGAATCGACGTGGTTTGAAGACCTGTGCGAACGAGGCACCTCCATAGAGCATGCCATCTCCACAATTTACCAATACCTAATAATGAACGATCAACCATCCGTGGCCACCTTCAAGAGGCGTTGGGAGGAGTCCCTGAATAAGACATTCACCACACCACAATGATTTGGCAACATAAGAGCTCCATCAGCTCCTACTACCAGGAGGTTGGATACAAATTGATCTCATTTTGGTATGGAACACCAATGGTGCTACATCAAATGTTCCCGGCGGTGCCGCCGACATGCTGGAGATGTCGCGAGGAGAGGGGCACGCTGATCCACCTGTGGTGGGAGTGCCGAGACATACTCCCGTACTGGGACATGGTGAAAACCGAGACGACGCTCGTGCTGGGAGACGTGCCGGACTGGTCCGCCGAACTGGCTCTCCTGCACATCTCTCAGCAGACGATTTCGAGCTATAAGAAGTCAATCCTCCGGCACCTGCTGAAGGCTGCTAAGGCAGCCATCCTGGCGTACTGGAAACAAACTACCACACCGACAAAGTCGGAGTGGATACAACGGGTGGAAGATATACAGAGCACGGAGGCGCTCCACACCTCCCTAACTGGTAGGGAAACCAAACACGCAGACATGTGGAGCCCATGGTTCATGTATATTGCTCAACGCCCTCGGGCGGGGGGGGCCTCTGGGCCCGTGTCGGGGGTGGGGACGGGCGCGGGCCCCTCGTAGTGCGGACCACTCCACTTTAACTACCCCCCTCTATTGTTTTCCTTAAACCTCACCCGCTCCCAGAAATGCGGGAGGATTCCCGAGGCGAACCGGGTGGGAAGTTACAGAGGTGCGCACACACTGACACACCATTGAATACTGAGACAATACACACACTACAGCCACACAACCAACAAGTAATCACATACGTCAGCAGACTCCAGAAAAGTAGAAGCGCATTACCAAAAGTTACCTGTAACGGGACAGCCTCCTGAACACAAATGTTCCCCAACATACACGGATGCATACCCCTTCGACTGTCGAAGACCCGTGCTTTTCAACTAGAGATTAGGGATTAGAGCCGTATACTATAGAGCATGGTAAAGCTCATCTGTCAGGGTGCGGGGAAAAACCGTGATACAAGTTTTATAGCTGTACAATCACGGTTGATCAGGAGGCAGAACGACATGTCCCCTGTCAGATCACAGAAGAGACCATGGGCGACAGGACGATAGGTGACTTCTCCATGGTTGGGAAACCTGAGAGCTACAACTAGCCTAGGAACATAAAGGCACTTAAACACATCACATCCACTCTTACTACATGTGTTCTACATACGTGGTTTTCTTCTGTTCATTCTATATTTACTTTTTATTGTTTATCTCTCTGGCTTTACTCACTACTAGGGACCTGTGAGTCCCATATGTACAACTGTCCTGCTTCCTTGTACTCTTGTTTATGAAAATCTAAATAAAATGAGATTTACAAAAAAAAGAATTAAGCAGTGAGACTGCAGGGACATGATCTATACACTCAGACTGCTTCATTAAGATAAAGATGTTTTGGTGCTTAAAGTGTCCCATTAGCAAGTGGGGTTCAAAAACACACTTTTCCTTTAAACAGTGGTGTGCCCCAATATTATTGTCACCTTGTCACTACTTACCTCACTCAAAATAATATGAGGATATATGTAACAATATTTATTTCACTTTCGTACATTAACCATGTGTCTTCATTACTCTCTTTGCAACTTTTCATTCCTTTTGTCTATTGCTCTATCTTCTTCTTTTCCCTTTTCCTACCTTCTTTTCTGCTACTTTTGCCTTTTCCAATGCTATCCTGTGCCTTTTCCATGTTTGTCTCTTTTTTCTCTATTGCTCTACCCATATCTGTTCCATGCTTTTACATTGCATTCTGTACTTCAAATTTTTTTACTTTGACTTTTCTCTAAAACCCTCACCATGTTCTGTCTTCAAATCTCTTAAATGTTCTCAGCATCTTTATTGCCCTGACTTGTATTAGGAATAAATAATTGTAAAGTCTATCAAGCCACTCTCGTGTTTTCTCCTATGTATGGATTTGAAGTTGCGTTCCCAGGTGTCTAGTTGGGGGTTTTCTTTGTATGTTTTACTGCAGAAATTGCTTTCTACAGCAGTCTCATTTTTTCAGAGTGAGGACTGGATGTGATTAGGCCCAGCGCAACCGCTAGGCAGATTAGGCATTTGCCTAGGGTGAACCGACAGGGGGGGCTCAATGCCTGGGTGACCAGCAGGAGGGGAGCATATAGCACATCACTCTCCTTCTGCCAGTCTCTGTAAGTAGCGTGGCCAAGCGGGGACCAGGGTAGAGGACCTTGTTTCCCTCTAACAAGCTGATCTGACAGGAAGTTCACGTAGAGAGTGCCATACTGCTTCCTGTCCGGTAGAGAGAAACAAGCACCTCTATCGTAGTCCCCACTAGGCCACGCTACAACATGGAAGTGCGACATGTAACTCGCAACACGGGATATCAGCGTATTGCAGGCTCTGCCAGGATTGGTAACGACGCTGGCCCTCACGCATGCTAGCTACGAACTGGGAATACTCCCACTATTTTTGCGTGCTAGGATACACCTAGCGACACCAACACGGACCTACGGTCCCGAACCTAGCGGGAGCCAGTGGCTTGCCTTTCATACAATGACTTCAATTACCCGTTTGAAAGACCAGGTAACACAGTGTTATGTGGCTCCCGCCATAAATAGCTGAGAACGACCTCTCCCGACGCAACTCCCGTTTACCCTCTACGCACATACTGGCTAAGGGAAGCAACCTGTCTGTTACAGCCGTTCCATTTTATATGATACCACTGTTTCCCCTCGTTGTATAATTATATTGCTTTTAAAATGTCTCTCTAGGGGAAGTTATGTGGAGATTTGCATATCTCATTGTGTTATATTTTGTGTACTAATATACTATAGAAACCTGCGAGTTTCACATTGTTTACCAACTCACTGCTTACTACATAGTGACATATCTCAATCTCAATAAAAAGATTTTCAAAAAAACATGGAAGTGAGCCGGTGGAGAAGGAAAAGGGGAAGGGGTTAAAAAGACACATGTTTAGGGGCTAGGGAAACAAAGAGTCACGTGGGGGGGCTAGAGGGGAACAAAGACACGCAGAGGGGCTGTTAGGACAAAGACACACACCGAGGGGCTGGAAGAGAAAGAGACACACAAAGGGGCTGGGGGCGGACACACACAGAGGGGCTGAGGAAGGGGGGGAAAAGACACACAAAGGAGTTGGGGGAGAAATAGACACAATGGGGCTAGGAGAATAAGGAGACACACAAGGTTGGAAAAAACATTTTTTGGGGGGAGGGGAGGGGTAGCACAAGGTGCTGGTCTTGTCTAGGGTGCAAAACAGTCTTTCACCAACCCTGGATGTGATGGCATTGAAGAGAACCAAGAGAGCTGCACAATTGTTTTCAGTATATACAGATTATCCACCCTCGTGTATTATGTACTAAAGGAGATAGGTAGGGATCTGTTTTGGTTTTACTAGTGTTCCTTCTTGGGCAGTGGGCCAGGAAACGTGGGTAGTGCACCACCAAGCTAAAACAACATTTTAGCATTAAATACAAAAAGAAGGGAAGCTGAAAAAGGGGAAACTCGTAAAAGGGGTTAACCCTGTAAACTAGAAATTAGTGAAAGAGGAAGAAAATGAGTGCCCTTAAAATTGAACTTTTATTAATTGTCATATAATAAAATAAATATGAATATAATGTGCTTAATATATGCTTCAAACATGAATATGTTTCAGAGGTGAATTATATTTAGAGATGGGTCATGACCTGATAGGGTCAAAAACCCAGAAATAGTCTAAATATCCAAACAGATTCTACCTTTAAAGAGAAAATAATGCAAAATAAATGACGAAATATATTGAAGTCAATAGATGAGGTTCTGTTCAGAAGTTTTCAGAGACCTTCATCAAGTAATGTATGCAAAACTAAGTTTTGCAAATTCACAAATGCTGAAAAAACTGTAGAGACTGGATACTCAATCTAATAGACCTATTATGCACAATGTATCAGGCTACAATCAGCCTTAAAATAAAGGGATACTTTTGCCCTTGTCGGTTTGACACATGTAATGGTGATAGCAGATTAACAAGGTAAACCTTTTGGACACCCTATATCGGGCTATAATGTACTTAAAATGAAAAAAAGATACAATTTGCCCATATTAGTAGGTAATAATACAAATCAGCACAAGTGAATAAAAGCCCAGACTACCGTAGCTTGGAAAGACCATGATCTATTGCTATATCGCAAGAACGAAAACACAAACTTGCTATAAACTAATGCTATTGAAAAGCTAGAGAGGTTGAGCAATCCCGGGGTCCCGAAACCGCAGTGTTCTTAGATCTCTGACATACAGCTTCGGGACAACGGGCTCCCCTGACGCGCGCGTTTCGCCCACAACTCATTCTAGAATTATTATTCCAATAGGTTGACCAATTTCTAGCCTTGTTTATAGTTAGAAAATTATTTTCCCTACTGAGTATTCATAGTTTAAAGGCTCCCGTCAGTGTACAGGATATAGATTAAATGATGTAGAAAATAAGAAGATTGAATAGTGTAGTAGAGACATGTTGTGTGGGGTGATAGAACAGTGAAGGAATTACTAATTTATCAGAATTCTGGGCCCAACTAATTTTCTCAGTGTTCTGGGCCCAACAGCTGGAAGGCACCAAAGGACTAGAGGGAGAAAATTCACAAATTAAATTAAAACGTAACTTTTATTAATCAGCATGAAGGAGCGAGAAAAAAAATCACTTATAGCATGATTTGTAAGTGGACATGTGAAACAAAAAAATAAAGGAATACCAAGATAACTGCCCCTTTTTACCTCAGCAACTTTAGCCTGTAGTATTTATTTACAGCACTTAAATATTATGGGATATTTTGCTTGATTTAGGGTCAGTAGGGTTTGGTAGGTACTGAGGTAAATAAGGACAGCTACACAGGGTTTTATATCTGTGGTTTCTCTACTTGCTAGTACCTATCACCACTTTTTATATTGGTATGTTGCTTGCTCTGATCCCCTAAGTGTGTGTACCTTATGTGTGATTAATCTGACTATCATTAAAAGGTTTTTTTTTTGTGTGTGTGTGTGGCATATTGCCTGAACAGCGCTGTCTCTCTATATATATACATATACAGTATCTCTAAAAAGTGAGTACATTGAACATTTCCCCTTAGGGGTGTGCTCACTTTTGTTGCCAGCGGTTTAAATATTAATGGCTGTGTGTTGAGTTATTTTGAGGGGACATCAAATTTACACTGTTATACAGGCTGTACACTTACTACTTTACATTGTAGCAGAGTGTAATTTCTTCAGTGTTGTCACGTGAAAAGATATAATAAAATATTTACAAAAATGTGAGGGGTGTACTCACTTTTGTGAGATACTGTGTGTGTGTGTGTGTGTGTGTGTATATATATATATATATATATATATAGAGAGAGAGAGAGAGAGAGAGAGAGAGAGAAACTAGGTTTTCTTTCCCTAGCAAAGTGGCTGTTTTTCTGCCAAAACATGTAAAGTTTTTTACATTGGAAGGTCACTCATCTTTTTTTAAATAGCATTGTTTACTTGGTACCCCTTTTATATATCATCTGGGGGTACTGTTGTTAAGTCAGGTATTAACCCTAATTAATTTGAGTCTGTATCACTTATCTTGTATATGGGGTTTTTGTATCCTGATCCATCCCCCATTACCCCCCTTTTTCTTGGTATCCTTTATTTATTTGTTTCACATGTGCACTTACGTTATGAGTGCTTTTTAAATCACTCTTACATGATTGATTAAAAATTACGTTTTATTTTGATTTGTGACTTTTCTCCCTGTAGTGCTCTGGTGCCTTTTAGTTGTTGGGCCAAACATTGGGTCATTGGGTTACCCCCATTCAGGTAGCTTAGTTTGGTGACATATTTATAGTGCTTGCCTACCAGTCCTTGTGTTTGGAATACACCATTGCTTTGTTCGCACGATTCTACGAGTTACTAATTTAATTGATATACTGCTAAAAAGAAATGGGTCTACATTGACCTTCTAATAGTAGGAGGAAGCACATTTTATGGGTATAAAGCAGCTCTAGAAGAGTAACAAATAGGTGTGGGATGGCATGTAAACATGTGAAGGGAGCTAGTTAGATTCTTTTTAATAATCAGTGAACTAGTGTAAATAGGAGCATAGATGTGGAGAGTTTTGTAATACACTAATATGTTATATTGAATTGTGTGCTAAGTTATGCCCTGGTTATTACATCTATTACAGTCTGCTTATGTTTTATGTAAGAACAGACACATCGAAGATTATGGTATATTTTAATAGATAGTTAAATGTCAGCTGTTGTCTGTGCTTTTATTAACTTTTTCGTAACTTTCAGAAATAAAATATTTATAATGGGAAATGTGGTGCCATTCTTGGTGCAAAGTGTGAAAATTTGGGAGACAAACGATTGGTTTCCTTTGCGATTTGCCTCTACCACTTTGCCCCATAATAACATCTTTTTGTGCCTTGATAAAAGTTTGTATTTGCACCAAAAGGCAAAGCAGTTCTTCTGCGTCCTGGCATTTGATGCAAATTACAAGTGACACTTTAATCATCGCTAGTGACCTGTACATGTAGGCTCTAGGAATCACGAGAAAACATTGTCTGATGTGTGTAGAACTCAGGGAAGTTTTCAATCCCTATCAAACAGAGGTTCAGTGGAACTAATATGCATCTACTTGCTGTATGCTGTAGAATGCCCTCCAGGTAATGTATTAAATGAACTGTCTCCAACCCCCTAAAAAACAAAAGTAGTATTGGAACCACCCATGTATTGGTTTCCTTTTGTTTTAACAGAAGGAGTGGAAGAACCAGAAGGAGAAATCTTGGAGTGTGAATATTGTGGAAAGACTGGTTATCCTAGCACGTTCTTGAGATCAAAAAGATTCTGTTCCCAGTCATGTGCAAAGAGGTAATATACCCTGGCCACGTATAATGTTAATATTATGTTTTATAAATAACTGTTCAGAATCAATCATTATTGTCTCCGTCAATGTGCCAAAACAGCATTGCTTTAGCAGAGAGAATTATTTTTCTGATTTGAGCTAGAAACAAATTGTTTAATTGTTAAAGTATTGGACTGTTGAAAACAATAGAGTCACTATTTAAGCTAGGCAGTTCTGATTTTGGGCCTCTATCCCTGGTATTTAAAAAATAAATAAAAAAATTAACATCATACCTAGGTATGAGTATTCGCCATTGCTCATTTATTATTGTGTTAATCCATACCATGTTCATCATTTGTTGATTTCTATCATTGTTTTTATTCACATCGTTATGTTGAATATATTCTACTAGTTAAACAAGGAACACACACACAATCAAACTTAACAGACAAAATAAACTCACACAATCGACCCTAACAGACAAAATAAACACACACAATCGACCTTAACAGACAAAAAAAAAAAACAGAACAAAAAAAACACCAATCCATAACTAAAGATTATTGTTCCATACAGTGAAGGATACAAGCTCAATTTGCTTTTTTAACATACACCCTTAGTGGCTAAATTCCCTGTCTTCTGAAATTTATGTAATGCTTATTAAACCATGGTCTCCATAATATGTTATATTTATCCAAGCATTGATAATTCAAGTAAAAGGCCTTTTCCAATTCCCCTTGGGAGATTACTTGTGTTCCAACAGATATTGTCTTTTCATTTTCAGTTTCTTGCTATAGTGATCTTCAAAGCTAAAAAACTCAGTGTAATCAGATATCTATCTTTAAATTCAAATTCTTCCAAGTCCATGTGTAATAATGCCATCTTCGAAGATGATTTTCAACATCTCGGAAATGGTTTCAAAGATAGTTTTCCAAGTATCAGCTATTTGAGTACATTCCCACCATATGTGTAGACAGCTACCATTTTGATCCCCACATCACCAGCATGTTATAATATTTGTACTCTTGAATTTTGCTAAAATAGCTGGTACAAAATACTATCTATAGTTCAGTTTTAAGTGTGTTTCTTGTAGTGATAAACAACTTTCCTTATATGCATAAGGCTGTTTATCCAATCCTTAATGTCCAAGGGTACTTGTAGTCCCTTTTGCCATGCTATTATCGCTCTCAATTTTAATTCTTGTTTTAAAGTAACCATTATTCTATGAATCCTTTTAATTACACCTACTTGATATTTATTATTAAATATTTTATTCAAAAGTGGGTAGGTACTAGCGCTTATAAGTCAAGTACAATATATTCAATAAATATTAACAATTTTATCAATTTTGCAGGTAAATATACATGTGACTCCTTTCTATTATCACCAACAATTACAATACAAAAAAGACGATGTAGTGCTTATACAATAAAATAATCACCTTATGGTAAAAGGAAAAAAACAATTCTCAGGGGGAAAAATCCACAGCAATTTCAGTGTCTTTGAATGTAGAATAGAGAAGACTTCCACAGTATTGTCTACACCTGTAAGAATAATGTAATATAGTGTAGACAGTACAAGCATATAAATAAGGTGTTTGAGGAATATTTATACATTCACAAGCGGAGAGCTGTGTACCCAGCTCTAGTGTTAATTGCTTCTAGGTCCGTTTAGGCGACCCACCCCTGCCTTGGATGTATGTTCTTATCCTAGTGGGAAGTGGATAGGCACAAGATAGCGTATTACAGTCTGTAATGTAGCTGTAAGATAAAAATGTCCCAAACGGGTACTTACAAACCGGGAGTCATCTCAGACTCTATGTGCAGGCGTGGTGTAGTAAGGAACTACACTCCCATAACAGCATAAGACCGGGAACCAGGTTATCCAAATTTAAAATAAAATTTATTAAACAATTAAATAAAAATAAAATTATTTTGTATAATAAAATAAGATAAGACCGGTGACAAGAGGACATTGTGTCTTATCTTATTTTATAAATAGATAGAAGTACAGCCTAGGTACACTCAAGACAGGGGGGTAACCCCTAATGGAAATAAATATCAAAGAAAAATAAAGAGAGTACCTATTAATACAGACCAAAGAGAGAAAGGAAACTATCACTAAGTGCAAACTGTACAAATGAAGTACATATTTGATCACTAATACGATGAAAAAATGAAATAAATAAAATGAAAATAACAAATAACTTTATTAAATATAAATGCTAAAAAGTATCAAAAAATAAAGAATGGAACACTAGTAAGCTAATAAAATCAATCAAAACGATATCCCATAGTGAGAGGATATTCTGATGTCTCAGGTTACAAAAATACCACACTGCACACGTCTGCGCAGAGTGAAAAGAAGAAAAGAGAGGGGGGCGGAGGAGAGGACGCCTAAGGTGATGATGTGGTAACTTGAGTAGTATAAAGCATCAGAATATCCTCTCACTATGGGATATCGTTTTGATTGATTTTATTAGCTTACTAGTGTTCCATTCTTTATTTTTTGATACTTTTTAGCATTTATATTTAATAAAGTTATTTGTTATTTTCATTTTATTTATTTAATTTTTTCATCGTATTAGTGATCAAATATGTACTTCATTTGTACAGTTTGCACTTAGTGATAGTTTCCTTTCTCTCTTTGTTCTGTATTAATAGGTACTCTCTTTATTTTTCTTTGGTATTTATCTTATTTTATTATACAAAATAATTTTATCTTTATTTAATTGTTTAATACATTTTATTTTGAATTTGGATAACCTGGTTCCCGGTCTTATGCTGTTATGGGAGTGTGGGTCGCCTAAACGGACCTAGAAGCAATTAACACTAGAGCTGGGTACACAGCTCTCCGCTTGTGAATGTATAAATATTCCTCAAACACCTTATTTATATGCTTGTACTGTCTACACTATATTACATTATTCTTACAGGTGTAGACAATACTGTGGAAGTCTTCCCTATTCTACATTTAAAGACACTGAAATTGCTGTGGATTTTTCCTCCTGAGAATTGTTTTTTTTCTTTTACCATAAGGTGATTATTTTATTGTATAAGCGCTACATCATCTTTATTGTAAAGATTTTATTTAATTGATAATTTATTCAATTTTTATCCTCCCTATATAGGTGCACTCTGATATAGTTATTAATTCTTATCCAAGAATAGTACTGAGAATTTGAAAGATCTAGCTCTTTGTTTGATGTTTTAATAGGCTTTAATGTTTTTCCTGTAAAGAGGTCCCTGATTTTGATTTTATATTTATCATATGGAGATTTCACCACTAAGTTTTGAATATTATATATTATTATATTTTGAATAATTTCAGCTTTTATTGAGGTTTTTTTTTTCTTAAATCTTGTCCAGGCTTTAATAATGTTATCAAGGATATTAGAATTATTATATCTGATTATTGTTTTCATTTGGTTATGATGAGCCCACAAAATATTTTCCAAGTTCTTAATTTTTAAAAACTCACATTCTATCAGGTACCAGTCTTCCTGTTTACAGCTATCTACTTGAAATTTATGAGCTTGAGTAATCAGCACTACATTAGCATAGTTTTCTAATTTAGGTAGGCTTAATCCTCCTTGCTGTGCCGTAGAATATAGCATGTTTCTGCAGATTCTTGTTTTTAAATTCTTTATTTTTCTTGTGCATTGGAAAACATAACAGAGCAGCCTGTAGCGCCACAACAGCGGTTTCAGGCATTTCAACGGCATACTTGGTCATGGCAGAGATAAACAGCACATTTTTTAGGTAAAACAAGATAGAAACATTTTTGAGTTTATAAACATTAAGTGCAGGATAGTGTTGCATGTCAATTGTGTTGGTCACTATGGGGTCGACTAGCTTAAGGCAAGGATCATACCATGCTTCCAATGTGCATAGTGGTGATTAAAAACGATTGGGCTTTGCCTAACTAGCTAAGATTTACATAGTGGGCATATCAGCCTAACTGCGCACATGTTTGTCAAGAGATCAAGAGTGGCGCTTTTAAGGTACGGTACATAGTAACGTTCAGCTCGATTATGGTGTTTGCATGAAATCCTTCACACTAATGAGCTGCTTACGTTCTAAGCACATATAGAGATGGGCATGGAATTATGTAGAGATCTACTCAAGATTGCCTATGTGTCTAACCCCTTGGATAGTTATTTAAAGGATTTGTCTAGACTTTAATTAATTTTATGAAGGTGAAGACAACTGGCTTTGTATCTATACAGCATTAAAATATGTGATGCAACTAGAAAGCATAGAAAATACAAAACGATAAAACATAAAGATCAAACAGCCGCAGTGGGCTTGCATATAGGAGGTACGAGTAGGCTGATATGTATGGGTTAGGTATAGAGGTCCCCTCATTAACAGCTACTGTTCGTGGTTAGTCCCATGAGGGTGACACTGCCGTAGGCAGTGTGCCTGCTTCAGCTTATGCCCGAGGATGGGAAACGAGAGTCTCAATATTAAGTCAGGATCTTGTCGATAGGGTGTCTCCATGGCAAGCAACATGTTGTCAGTCCTAGTCCCAGTAGCTCTCGCTCAGCCCACGCCAAGACTTGGAAACAAGTGAGTGTAGTCCTGAGGTATTGCTGGACAGGGGCCTGGTATGGTCGCTTTCCAGCCCCAGGCCTTGTTTTGGGCCCACCTGATGAACTTGCAGACTTGAGGGCTTATGACAGGATCCTTTCTAGAGGTGGCGTGACCGGGTCTCCTGGGTGTTTGGCGCCGCTTGCGGTGAGGAATCTTCTGCTTTTGCGGTCTATGCGGCGGGTGAGTTCTCTGCCTGGGGGTACGGTGGATGGTATATTGTGTCGCCTGGGTGAGTGTCCCACCCGTGGGAAGTTTTCCCGCCATCCCCAGTGGACCTCTCTTCATGCCTCCTGTGTGGTGGGTGATTGTGGTACTTGCCTGCAGCTTGTCCCAGAAGGCTTGGAAGATTGCCTCCAGCCTGGAGTCAAAGTAGTCGAGGTTTATCTCATGCGTTTGGCTGGGGTTTTGAGATGTCTGTATAGGGGCCTCCGCCATCTTGGGTGGTCTGGGCTCCGCCACGTGTCCGCTATGCATGGTATGCGGTGGCGGTCGGGTGGGAGCTGGGCTTCCAGTGCGGACCGGGATAACCCCCACCGGTCCAAAGGGGGGGGGATAGGAGACCATCAGCGTCGAGTGTTGGTTCTGGCCCTGGGGAGAGCGGCCGCCTCCCCCCAGCTCCATCGCCATTAGGCCGCATGCGGCGTGCCGGCTACCCGGTTCCGACGGGCATCTGTGAGGCATCATTTGTTCAGCGGTGCTCCCTCAGTGTGGATAGAGCACCCTGGTTGAGCTGTGGGTTCAGTAGCCGTTGATTTCGCCCCGAATTCAGCCCGCTCGGCAGGAGCTCACGGCATGCACGTCTGTGCAGCTCCGAGGTCAGGCTCCGCCCCCCCAGATTCTTGTTTTTATCTCTAGCAATATGAATTTTTCTGTGATTTTTTTGAAAATAGTCACAATATTTTACAGGAATTCTAAGGGGGATCATGTGTAAGCAATATAACCATTTTTGAAATGCATAGGACTTTTGTATATTCATCCTGCTCATCCACAAAACAAAAAGATTTTTCTACTCTGCAAAAAAAATTCCTTGATTAGAGCAAGAAAATTAGCTCGACAAAGATTTTCAACGTTATTTGTTAACGTTGTTCACCTTTGAATCTTTGAATTTTATGTATAATTTCTTCTTCTATTGCTATTGACATCATTTCAGATTTATTTATATTTACTTTATAATTAGACAGAGAGCTATATACGTCTATCTCTTTAAATAAGTATTTGTTTTTGTACCACCCTGGGGCAAACCCAAAAAATGAAAGCGAAGAAAAATGACTTCTCTGGTGTTGCCTCTCTATCTGCCTTGCATACTTCATACCTGTTAAAAAAACGTAAGGGGCTGGGATATTTTGGTGACACCATGGGTTAGTCACCATACCCATTTCATCCAAGGGTTAATCTTATTTGTAGAGACTAAAAATATAAGATTAGATCCATAAGGAAGAACATGTCGTAGTCTTAGGAAAACTCTAAATCTGGAATCTAAATGTATTTATTAAATGTAAATCTATATAATTCAAGACATACAGGCGTTACACACTGGGAGTTTAAAAATGGGGAGAAATCACTTTTTAAACATACACAATTTCCACTGCCACTGACCTCGTCTTTTCCCAGTGCAAGGAGTTTGGCTATTACGAAAGAGTAGGAATTAAGCCTACTGTGAATTAAACGTGATAATTGCAATCCTTTGTCATACACAAAACAGCACTGTAATTAGCGGAGTTATTTGTTTTGAGCATGGACAGGTGTGGTTTCCTGGAATAAATCTCTGCAGGATTTGTTAACATAGACTATGTAGTCTCTTGGGATACATGCAAATTATAGGAATAATGTTTTTTTTCCCTTTGTTTTCATTGGTTTTGTTTGTCTAGTACACATGAAATATTCATAGTAAGCAACTATAAAAAAGGGGCTCAATCATTAGATTAAAAGTAAATATTTTCTGTTAATAAACCAGCCAGTATTTATTCTGTGTGATCTAGCGGTTGCTAGAAATTTGTGGTTTGCTTCCTGCAATTAAAGTTGTTATCGTGCTCCCGGCCAGGCTACCATAGATGGATGATTAATCCTTTATTTTCTTGAAACAAAACTTCATTTAAATGTGTTCCATACTTTATATTAATTCTTCCATCATAAAATACACCCTGTTTTAGTATCATAATGGAGCAGCAGTCTTCTTGGCTGGCTGCTACAGGTGTAATGGTTTGGTGGAGATATATCAAAGCAAAAACAGGTGCTATTCTGGGGCAAAGTCCTAAATAAATTGTAATCACCATGCACACCAATAGAATGTCTCTCACCATTTTGCCTTTTGCACTCAAAATAGCAGGTGTTTTGCTATATATATATATATATATATATATATATATATATATATATATAATGGGATGTGATGGCTTAGAGAGTGACATCCTAGGAGGCAACTATAGCTTTCTTCTGAGGACAAAAATTTCAAATTGACCTCTAAACGTTTTCATTAGACTTATCAGTCAAATGCTGGTAAAACTTCATCTCATTAAATCGGTCTGGGTGCAGTGTCCCAGTTCCCTTAACCCTGCCATGTAAAACATTCTAGTTTTAGAGAACCTGCAATGTTTTCATTGCAATGTTAAAACTGCCTCTACTGGCTGTTTATCAGGCAGCCACTAGAGATGATTCCTGTAGTATCTCTGTGAAACGACACTGGACGTCATCATGCTTTGCATAAGGACATTTAGCATCTTGAAAAACACCATAGGAAAGCATTGAGTCAGTGCTTTTTTTTTTCTATGGGGAAGGCGTGCGCAAAGCTCGCCGCAGATGCGCATTAGGTTCCCCCATCGACTAACGTTGGAGGAGATGGAGCCCGACCCAGCACCGAGGGACATCGGCGCTGGAATTACATAAGTGTTTAAGGGGATTTTTTTTAACCCTTTACGTGGCCGGAGGGGAGATTGGGAATTTGCTGTGATCACTTGTGCACATCTTTTATTGCACTGCGCAGCTGTGTACCGAGAACCTCCTGGAGTCCCGGCTCCCAGTATTAGTACATCATATTTATATTGCCAGAGCAAACACCTTCCACATGTTGAATTGGGCTCCAAATTCCCCACATCTCAATTCTATTGGGTATCTGTGGGATGTGCTGGAACAACAGATCCGATCCATGGAGACCCCACATTGCAACCTGCTGGACTTAAAGGATCTGCTGCTAATGTCTTGGTGCCAGATACCACAGGACACACTCAGAGATCTTGTGGAGTCAATGCCTTGACACAAGGGGGACCTACACGATATTTGGCAGGTGGTTTGTATGTTGTGGCTGATTACTGTATGTATAAGCATAGTTAAGTATACTTACAAACATAGAGCCTTATACTTTGCTCAGAGTGTAGGTGGGTTAAGTTGATTTTACTCCTCACCAGGCAGAGCTTTAAAATGAAATGCAGCAAGTTTTTTTTTTTCCGGCAGGTATCAAAGGATACATTTTTATGAAAAATTAAGCTTTAAAATAGTAATACATGGTAAATAAAAATAATAATGAAGCACAGCGCGTTTCGACCCTTAAAGATTTTTTTTTCAAGTGCATTACAATTTTTTACATTTTTATACAGAATTACACTATCAGTGCCATTTTGTTTCTTCTCATTTTGGTGAATATATTGAACTGCATTCAAATTTTGGCACAACCTACATTACACAGAGGCTTTTTCCTATCAGTTGTCTGGCATGAAGGGTCTGCTGGATTTTAGTGTTTGCTGCCTACTTGCATCTAGCGTTGTATAATTTTATTTTGTTCTATGAATAGGCAGGTGCTCTGTACACCCCCTGCTGCCTGTCACTCTAGGTGGACCTTGCACGCCTGACTGAACCTTAGAGATTGCCACCTATTGGTCTATCTCGAAGATAATGGTTAACTCGCATGCTTCCTGATCACTTGTTCAGCTGTATTATTGCAAATACACTACATAGCAGAGAGGGATAGAAAAGATAGGCCGAGGAGACAGGGTTAAGATGCAGAATGCTGAAAAAGTTTTTTTGCAAAAAGTTTATAGAGCTAAGCATGTAATCAGGGCTGTATTTACCACAAGGCAAACAAGGCATTTGCCTAGGGAGGCACTTTCAGGAGTGGCACCAAAAAAACACCACCCCATGTTTCTATCATGAACCCCGTTTTGTCTTTCCTCCAATGCCTTGTTTGCCTCATGTCCTGGGGCTGTCCACCTTAGACCCTCCCCCCCAGCAGCCTCAGCAGTGCTAGCCCAGCCAGCAGTATGAGAAACTGTATGTGTGTCTGTCAGTGAGTGTGCTTGTGTCTGTCAGTGTATTTGTGTGTGTCTGTCAGTGAATGTGTGTGTGTGTGTCAGAGAATATGTGTGTCTGTCTGTGAGTGTGTGTCTGTCTGTCAGTGAGTGTGTATGACTGTAAGTGAGTGAGTGTAGCTCAGTGTGTGTCTGTGAGTGAGTAAAAGTGTGTGTGTCTTTCAGTGAGAATGGGTGTGCCTGTGAGTGTGTGTCAGTTTGTGTATGTCATTTTATGTGTATCTGAGAGTGTGTGCCTGTCAGTGAGTGGGTGTGTCAGTGTGTGTCTGTCAGTGAAAATGTGTGTTGGTTAAACAGTGTGTGCCAATGACTGTGTATCTGTCAGTGCGTGTATATCAGTGCATGTATCAATGAGGGCATGTGTCTGTCAGTCAAAAAAGTGGCCTTGACACGAATTGGGGGGGCAAACTTAGATTTTGGGGGTGCCAGAATTTAGTCGTGCCTAGGGCAGCACAAATCCAAAATACACCACTGCATGCAATAATAGTTCATGCAACTCAGGCTGATGGCTAACTGTGGCACAAATGTAATTCGAATTGATGCAGAGCCAAATGAAGGCAGGATAAAGATGGAAACAAAATGTTCTTACAGTAAGTCAACCTAGTAACAGGGGTTATATTTAATATTGTTTCTGGATTCATGTTATGTTCTTAAGTAAATCAGTAATTTAAAAGGAGAATATGTTGTCTTCCAGGTACAATGTTAATGGCACGAAGAGACTTGGACTGTTCAAACCTGACAAAGCCAGTAGGTGGAATACAAAGATGGAAGGAAATTTTGGACGGCGAGGAAGACGCCCTAGTGGTATTGGTGGATCAAGCAGAGACAACTATCTTAGACAGGTGTGTAGTAAATAAAATGTTGCGAGATCCCACAGTTAGCAAGACTGTTCACTAATCTGCCCTTCTATGCACCTCACAGCTACCATCTACCTATTCATGCACAGATGAAGTTTTGGAGGATTCCATGGAAGATTCTGTACCTGTTGCTATGTCTACACGATTACGACGTCAGACTGAAAGGGAACAAGAATTAAGGCTTCTCCAAATCAGAAAAGTAACACTTGATTCCGAGCTACCACCAGATACACAGTCTGAACCATCCCAATGGACTGTTGAAGATGTTTGGGCTTTTATTCATTCTTTGCCAGGTATGTCTAGTTCCAACCCCCCCCCCTTTCAAATTCTTAGGCAGGGTTAGTACATACCTTTTAGTGTTTATACCTTCTGGATGGCTGTAACTCCAGGCAAATACTTGGTGGCCACAGAAACATAGAATGTGACGGCAGATAAGAACCATTCGGCCCATCTAGTCTGCCCAATTTTCTAAATACTTTCATTAGTCCCTGGCCTTATCTTATAGCTAGGATAGCCTTATGCCTATCCCACGCATGTTTAAACTCCTTTACTGTGTTAACCTCTACCACTTCAGCTGGAAGGCTATTCATGCATCCACTACCCTCTCAGTAAAGTAATACTTCCTGATAATTTTATACTTTTGCCCCTCTAATTTAAGACTATGTCCTTTTGTTGTGGTAGGTTTTCTTCTTTTAAATATAGTCTCCACCTTTACTGTGTTGATTTTCTTTATGTATTTAAATGTTTCTATCATGAACCCCGTTTTGTCTTTCCTCCAAGCTATACATGTTAAGATTCTTTACTCTTTCCTCGTAAGTTTTATCCTGTAATCCATGAACCAGTTTAGTAGCCCTTCTCTGAACTCTCTCCAAAGTATCAATATCCTTCTGGAGATACAGTCTTCAGTACTGCGTACAATACTCCAAGTGAGGTCTTACATGTGTTCTGTACAATGGCATGAGCACTTCCCTCTTTCTACTGCTAATACCTCTCCCTGTACAACCAAGCATTCTGCTAGCATTTCCTGCTGCTGTATTACATTGTCTGCCTACCTTTACGTCATCAGAAATGATTACCCCTAAATCCTTTTCCTCAGATGTTGAAGTTAGGATTCTATCAAATATTCTATCTTGGGATTTTATGTCCAAGATGCATTATCGTGCACTTATCCACATTAAATGTCAGCTACCACAACTCTGACTATTTTTCTAGTTTACCTAAGTCATTTGCCATTTGGCTTATCCCTCCCTGGAACATCAAGCCTGTTACATATCTTAGTATCATCAGCAAAAAGACACACCTTAGCATCAAGACCTTCTGCAATATCACTAATAAAAATATTAAAGAGAATGGGTCCAAGTACAGATCCCAGAGGTACCCCACTGGTGACAAGATCATGCTTCGAATATACTCCATTGACTACAACCCTATGTTACCTGTCACTCAGCCACTGCCTTACCCATTCAACAGTATTGGAATCCAAACTTAAAGATTGCAGTTTATTGATAAGCCTTCTATGTGCAACAGTGTCAAAAGCCTTACTGAAATCTAGGTACGCAATGTCTACTGCACCAACCCGCTCTATTATTTTAGTTACCCAATCAAAAAAATCAATAAGATTATTTTGGCATGACCTCCCTGAAGTAAATCCATGTTGTCTCTGATTTTGAAATCCATGTGATTTTAGATGTTCAACAATCCTATCCTTTAACATGCTTTCTATTACTTTCCCCAGTACTGAAGTAAGGCTTACTGGCCTAGAGTTTCCCGAATCCTCCCTTCTACCTTTCTTGTGAATGGGCACAACATTCGCTAACGGGACTACTCCTGTTAACAATGATTGGTTAAATAAATCTATTAATGGTTTTGCCAGTACACCACTAAGCTCTTTTAATAACATTGGGTGTATTCCATCAGGCCCCATTGACTTATTTGTCTTTACTTTTGACAGTTGAAATAGAAACTCTTCCTCTGTTAACTCACATGTAACAAATTACTAATTTGTCCTTTTTCCTAACTGAGGTCCCTTTCCTTCATTTTCATCTGTAAATACTGAACAAAAATATTAATTGAGGCAGTCAGCTAGACCTTTATCCTCTTCTACACAGACAGTAATACAGTCAGATAGGCAGGTAGCCAGGCACAGTGGCACACAGACAAGCAGACAGACAGTCAGACAGACCGGCAGGCACACAGACAGGCAGAAAGGCACACAGATAGGCAAGCAGACAGAGAGGCAGGCAGGCACACAGACAGACAGGCAAGCTCCCCCCCTGCACTCCTGTCACCCGGCCATGTGTGAGCTGTGTCGGCCGCATGGCGTCCCCTACTCCATGATTTGGAAGCTCTTATAACTTGCTTAGCCTCTTTCTGCCTAATCTTAGAGATCTGTCTATCTTCTTCACTCTGGTTTTCTTTTATATTTACTAAATGCTAACGTTTAGTTTTTTACTATTTTGGCCACATCTGCGGAGTACCACAGTGGTTTCTTAATTTTTTTGCTTTTAATGACAAGCCTAATGCAATTTTCTGTTGCCTTCAATAGTGCAACTTTTAAATAATCTCATTTCTCTTGGACTCCATTTAAATTGCTCCAGTCTGATAATGACTCCTCTACACAAATGCTAATTTTAGAAAAGTCTGTTTTTCTAAAGTCTAAAACTTTTGTATTTGTGTGGTGTGACTCAGTCACTGTTCTTATATTAAACCACACTGACTGATGATCGCTGGATCCTAAACTTTCGCCTACAATAATATCTGATACAAAATCTCCATTTGTTAACACTAAATCTAGTATGGCCTTTTTACGAGTTGGCTCCTCAACGACTTGTTTTAGAGACAATCCCAGTAGGGAGTTTAGAATATGTGTGCTCCTGGCACTAGTAGCTAATTTTGTTTTCCAATTTACATCAGGAAGATTAAAGTCACCCATGATGATAACTTCCCCCTTCATTGTCATTTTAATTATTTCCTCAACTAGTAGATTATCTAACTCTTCTATTTGTCCTGGAAGCCTGTAAATCACACCTACACGAGTTACTGTGTGATTACCAAATTCTAACGTAACCCAAACGGACTCTGTGTTCGCCTCACTAACTTTTATTAGGCTAGATTGAATGCTATCCTTCACATACAGGGCCACAGAAGGTGTCAAGAGATAATAAATTAAGGATGATATGTTGTTCATCTTGGAGTGGCTATTTCTAGTACAGCTAGAACATTATTTATGCAAATAAAGCTCATTCCACACAAAAGGTTACTGTACTATTAAAGCTAAAATCAGTTGGTTAAAATACAAATCTTGCTCTTGCATAGAACATTGGCTTAACAATAGTGTAGAGCAAGCATGTCAAACTCGCGGCCCACAAGGACCGTCTTTGCGGCCCGGCGAGCCGCAAGTACATGCTGGTGTTAAAGCAGAGTAGGCACCTGCTTTCCCCATATTGCAGGTGCCTACTCTGCTAACACTTACCCGGGCGGGGAGGAAGTAGGATGCTGGCGGCAAGTGAGGGAGCTCAGTGTTCCTGCTCCTCACTGCTCCCTCGCGCCGTCTGAATATGACGTCATGTTCCGGCACCTTGCATCACTAAACCGCGAGAGGGAGCAGTGAGGAGCAGGAAGGATCCCAGGGAGATGCCCCACATCAGCTCCATAAGGTAAGGAGCAATAAAAAAAAAAAGTATGTGTGTGCAAGAATGTATAAGTGTGTGTCTGTCTGTCTGTCTGTGTCAGTGTGTCTGTCTGTGAGTATGTATGTGTGTGTCTGTCTGTCAGTGTGTCTGTCAGTGTGTGTCTCAGTGTGTGTGTCTGTCTGTCAGTGTGTGTGTGTGTGTGTGTGTGTGTGTGTGTGTGTGTGTGTGTCTGTCAGTCTGTCTGTGAGTATGTGTGTGTCTCTGTGTGTGCCTGTGTGTGTGTGTGTGTCTGTCAGTGAGTGTGTGTGTGTCTGTCAGTGTGTGTGTCTGTCAGCAAGTATGTGTGTGTCTGTCAGTGTGTGTCTGTCTGTGAGTATGTGTGTGTGTCTGTCATTGAGTATGTGTGTGTCAGTGAGTGTGTGTCAGTGTGTCTGTATGTGTGTGTCTGTCAGTGAATATGTGTGTGTGTCAGCGGGAGGATCAGATTTAGCACAGGGTGGTAGAGGGGGGGCTGGGATTTAGTAGAGGGGGGTGCTGTGGTTTAGTAGTGGGGGATCACAGTAAAGGAGGAGACTATATTTAAAAGAAGAAAAACTACCACAACAAGATGACATAGTCTTAAATTAGAGGGACAAAGGTTTAAAAATAATATCAGGAAGTATTACTTTACTGAGAGGGTAGTGGATGCATGGAATAGCCTTCCAGCTGAAGTGGTAGAGGTTAACACAGTAAAGGAGTTTAAGCATGCGTGGGATAGGCATAAGGCTATCCTAACTATAAGATAAGGCTAGGGACTAATGAAAGTATTTAGAAAATTGGGCAGACTAGATGAGCCGAATGGTTCTTATCTGCCATCACATTCTATGTTTCTATGTTTCTATGATAGGGGGTTGGTTATACTGTACTTTTTAAAATAAACCTACGTTTCTATGAAAATTTACATTTTTTTTTTTTTTGCGGCCCATATAAACTTAAACCTTGTTTGTGTGGCCGATCCAGACTTTGAGTTTGACATGCTTGGTGTAGAGCGTAGCTGTAAATGGAAAATTTTAAAATTCAACAAAAGCGGTAAGTGGAGAGCCGTAGGGTTCTGTTCAGGCTGTAATTGTCTTTAATCAGTTTATATATGATCTTGAAGTGGGCATTGAAAGCCATGTGTTGGTTTTACAGATGACACAAAACTAGGTAAGATAACACAGTCTGAACACTATATAAATTCTTTACAGAGGGATTTGGATACATTGGAGGACTGGGCAGGCCAGTGACAGATGAAATGTAAGCATACAAATGCAAATTCATGCATTTTGGATTAAGGAACCTACAAGCAGATTATACATCAAATGGAGTTAAGTTAGAAATAACATTAAATAATAAGGATTTGGGAAAAATTACAAACTTGTTAACCGTTTGCAATGTGGTCTGCCAAAAAGCTAATATGGTGCTGTCATGCATTGCAAAATTTTATTTAATTATACAGTATAAAATTTCAATGCAAACTGTTGCATATGAATATGAGATATTTTAATCATAAGATATCGCTAACAAAATAATATGTAGGTAATATACCTATTAATGCTCATAAATAGGAAATTACTATATATGCATATTATTCAGTTTTGGCTTTACTCTGTGTGGGCTTTATTCTGTGTGGGCATTTTTACGTGTGGGCATTTATGACAGTCAGTTTTTTTTCTGTGTACAACTTTCATGTGGGATTTTTTCATAGAACCGGGGATATGCCGTCACTCCAGCCCGAGCATCACTAAACAGCTCACAAGGTAGCAGAGCTTGTAGATAACAGTAACATAGCAGCCCCACTAGACCCCAGTGAAATGATCCACTCCAGCTCTCCCAGAGATAGGGAGGCTGGTGGACTTTAATCAAAATAAAAGAACCCAAACAATAATGTGTGAGTGTGTGAGATACTGTGTGCGTGTCTGTCAATGACTGTGTGTGTGCCTATCTGTCTGTGAGTGTGTGTGTATGTGTCAGTGAGTGTGTATGTGTCTGTCTGTCAGTAAGTTTGTGTGTGTGTCAGTGAGTGTGTTTGCTTAGGTGATCTGCCCTCCCCAATCACATGGGAAAATTGTCTTTATTTACTTTTTTTCTGACGCTGTGTTGGTCTTGCTGCGGCTGTCCCCGGCTCCAGGGATGAGACGATGAATATTAATGATCTCAGCCATGCCAATGCTTTCCAAGAGGAAAGCATTGGGAGGCTATTGTGCATTGCGCTTATCAGCATCTCCAGAATCAATCAAAATCAGTGCATTTCTATGGGGAACATTTAGCGCCTCCATGCAGAGCATGGTGACGCTGAACAAAGGTGCTGCACACTGTGCAGCACTGAACTGTGAATTACCTCTAGTGGGTGTCTGAGTGACGGTGACTAGAGGTGTTACTAGGCAGCAATGTAAACACTGCCTTTTTTGTGAAAATGCAGTGTTTACATTAAAAATCAGATAGGTACAAACAATATGGAGGATACAGCTGTGGATCGACAATATAAAAACCAAATATAGTATAATACTGTATATTTGTGAAAAAGTGCGCAAAATAGGTATAATTCACAAGATAGATGAGAGTAACTCCAGAGGTGCCTCCCCCAATCTGTGAGGGGCTAAATCCACTTCCTTACTCTGACTCAGAGGCATGTTTTAACGTATGTAATTTTCAATTTTGGTGATTCCACACACTATATATCTTCATGTTACGGTGCACCACCTTTTTGCTGTTTTGTTTATATATATATCATGGTTTTCGGAGTTAACCGGTGTGTGAGGGCTGTTGGATAATGCACTAATTCCTGTTTTTTTTCTGTCTAGTAGTAACAGAAAACATATGAGATAATCTACCTAAAGAGGTTGTCCTATCAAAATCTGTAGTTTTTTTGTTGTTGTTTTTTTAAGTTTGTTTTTAAAACAAAAACAAACAACAAACAGAAAATTGAAGGATACTCTTAACATGTATGTGGGTTTTTAATTTAAGGAGAAATCTGCCATTATGCAGAGTCGAGAATGCATTTTCCCTTTTGAGACATAATTGGCCAGTTGAACTTTATGGACTTAACTCTTTTTTTCAGCCTAAATTACTATTTAACATATGGCTCTGTTCAACAAAGTTGCTCTTTTTCTATACATGAAGGCCTGTTTGCTTCATTACTGTTCTACCATGTGTCTTTGTTGTCTTGTAGGATGCCATGATATCGCTGATGAGTTCCGATTACAGGAGATTGATGGTCAGGCTCTTCTCTTACTAAAAGAAGACCATCTGATGAGCACCATGAATATTAAGTTAGGACCGGCGCTGAAGATCTGTGCTCAGATTCATTCGCTAAAAGAGACCTAGTCAAGAGTAGACCTGAACTGACAGTATTGATTGTGAATATGTAGTGACTTTTTTTTAAGTAAGTTGCATTCAACAGAATCCATAGTTTTGTAACTTTGTAAAATGTCTGTGTGTGAAGCTTCTTCACATCCATCAGCTTTAATGAATATCATTGCCAAACTAGATTCTTACATTACGTATACCCTCAACATTATGAATGAATCTTGGACAAAAGGATGGTATTAAAAACACACATACGTTTGCCCTAAAGTTTTTCCTTTTATTACAGTGTTGATTATATATAATTAATATACATTTTTAATCTTTTTGTTCTCAACAAACTACAATTTATTTATGAAATCTGGTGGTTCATATCATTTCAATTGGCCTGTCCTAAAAGCATCTTTTGTCATAAGTATTGTAAGACATATAGAAACTTGGTTGTAAGTTTTGCTATGCTAAAATATTGTATTAACCACTACACACACTAGCTCCTAATTGCTTATTTTATTTCCTGGGTGTATTGTCTTACCAAACTGCAAGGTTCGAATTACCATGTATTTATTGATAAACCATTTCATAACTGGTGTAATGTATTTTTGGTATTGCTTTCTTTTCAGAGTGATACAAACTACACCATCTCAGAAAAACACACAATGATATACTTGTTTTGTCCATGTTTTCTGTTTGTATGCAAGTCAGATGATTTTTAACCTTTTAACTTACAAATCTAAGTGCTGTTCAACTTTATGTGTTTCCACTATTTAAAGATAAGCTATTTGACAAGTCTTATACTTGTTATTATACAAACTACAATAAATACAGTATAAATAATATATTCCATTTAGACACTTGCTCTCTGCTTTAAAAAGTGTTAATTGTGTTGTAAATATCCCTTGCAAATATATATTGTAATTATGAATATGTAACACTTTATCCCCTTTGTAAATATTAAAATGATCAATGTGGTTTCAATGAAGTCTTATTTCAGTATGTAAATTATGGAATATACATGGTAAAGATAATGGCTGTACTATTTCACCGATTTACAGTAGATTGTTTAGAATAAATTTCATCTTATTTCCAAAGTGTGAAACAATCTGTAGATGCTTTTAAACCGATTTAAGTTGACTCATATGTATCTATATCTAATTGTTCTGAGGTGATCTCAATTACACGGGGTTTCGCACCCTTCCACCAACTATTATTTCTGCTCTTTCCACTGACAGGAAAAAACCCAAGATGCATCATAATGTGAAGAACATGTTATGGATAAACATATCAAAATGGTCCAAATCTGCTTCTCTTCAACGAAAACTAAAAATATTTATTTTTTAGTTACATAATCAAGTCGTCCTCTTATTTTAAATGTCTATCGAAATTACTAAAGGATCACTATGGCGTCAGGAATACAAAATTGTATTCCTAATGCTATAGTGCACCAGTCCCTAATTGTAGTCAAGTCCCACCGCCCGTGTGCAATAAAATGTTAAGAAAATAAAGGATTTTTATACAGTTTATTCAGCACTGGGGCTGCTAACCTCTTCGTCTGCTGAAACATCACGGAGAAGGCATGGTCTTCTCCGACGATGTACCATCCAATGCTCCTTACAGACGAGCATTGGGGACCTAATGCTTTCCTATGGGTACTTCCTTGTCACATGACCGACTTTTATTTGGTCAGTGCAGTGGAAACACCTCTAGTGGCTGTTATACTGATAGCAACTAGAGGTGGACTTAAACTTGCAATGTTAACTTTGTAGTTCCTGAAAAACTGCAATGTTTTAAACTGCAGGTTTAAAATGACTTGGACACTACACTTAGACCACTTCATTGAGATGAAGAAGTCTGGGTGACTATAGTGTCCCTTGAAGCTCAATTCAAATTATAGTTTTGCATTGTATTGTATTGTATTGCACTGCAGCTTCATGGCTTACACAAAAAATGTCTACCGTTTCAATGTGAAAAAAATGGAAAATGTGTCTTTAGCAAGTGCTAGAGTTAGAACCCGCATAGATACATATAGTCATTGGTAGCCATTCTGCATTTCATTACTTGTGTTACTTGTAACTTATAGTTACACTTATCTTTATTTTCTACATTTTATAATAATGATTTTTTTTCAAGCCTGCAGTAAAAATTAAACTAAAGAATAGTACTTCTTATGACTCTACTCTATTATATCAAAAAAGCCCAAATAAAAAGTTCCATTTATATGGATGACTTGGCAATAAACTGATTTTGTATGACGTGGTGTATTATAAAGGTAGATTCTAGTATGAGAATCTACCAATTAAAAGCCATTTATAAATCAATGAGTGTGGTTGCAAGCCTCTATTTATAGGTAAAGGATAACTGTCATCATTTTTATTTAAAAGAAAAGAAAATAATATGTGTATTCTATAGCCTGTGTCTGTATCATTTGTAATCTGTACATATAAGTAAATGACTCTTAAAGTGTGTATCTCCCTTACTCCATGTGGATGACCACCATTCACAGTGTTTTTCACTATAGTGAGAATTGACAGTAATTCAAATTTAAAGCTAAAATAGCCAAACTGGAAATAAAATGGACTTGGAGAATGGTTCTAATTCGGCTATACTGAACATTTTTATATTTAACATTTGAATTCCTAGCAATTCTCATGTAGTGACCAACCCTGTAAGCTTTATTTGGTCAGAAGCGCCACTTGTGTTTCAAGCGCAAGAGCTGGTAATCCAGGGCTAGTGTGCATTTACAAATCCTGACCGCATGCGCAAGCAGAAGGCATCTCCGTTTCAGATCTTCAAAGGGTGGAAAGTGATCTTTTATAAATGCTACTTTCGATTAAAGAAGGCTAGAGATGGCCGCCCCCATGGAACAAGGGTAAAGCAAAAGATGCACTAAAATAATTTGACTTCTATGTATTCACAACAAAACAAGACACAACAAGGCTATGCCAGTATTACTTTTAATCTATTATTTTCAGACAAAATTATGACAGTTTTCTATCAAGCTAAGCTAATTTAGAGAGCCTTGTGTCCTGCAGGATGTGAAATGGTTCAGAACTTTACTATTGCATTCTTACATATTCAGTGTATATTTCTTTACCGTTAATAAAATAGTTATCAACAAAATTTCACTGGTCACCGAGTTTCTTTGAGCTTGCCCAAACTGGGTCAGCATAAAGTCCAAGGGAATCTCACATGACCCAAGATGCCAGCAAGATTCTCTGACGTAACCAAAATAGGTTTTTCATTTGTCTAAAAACTAATTCACTAGTGTTCAGTATGGCAACGGCTCCCTGGAATCCATCTTCATCTCCCGCTAAAAGTGGGCTAATTTCTCAGTTGATTTTTTTGGGGGGGAGAGTACCATTGTGGTTGTTGACCATATTTACAAATTTTAATTTATGGCATAATGTGACTCAAATAGG